TAATAGCAATAGCAAATGTTGCCATAATATTAGCAATATAATTAAGAAGCAATACTATTTGATATTTATAATCTTAATTATAACTAAAGCGATTAAAACCAACAGCTCTTTAATTAGACAAATTCAGAATTAAATTCTGTATATAATTCATTCAGTTAGAAAAATATTTATTAGCATGATAGTTTCAAAAGGTAAATTCAGACATAAAATAATAAAAATACCTAAATTTCAGATGTAGAAAAAATTATTGAATAAAATATACAAATTCCTTAATTTTGTAAAATAAATGAAGAATAAAATAACTAACAAAATAATATTTAGCTGCAAGAATAATATTAAGATTTATACAACACAAGTTAATTTCAAACTTAAACTTATAATTTTTAAGCTACGTCCCAATAAATATAAGAAGTAAATTAATAATAGAATAACGAATAGATCTCTAATACTTGCTTAAATTTTAATTTATTTAAAGAATTTTATGAAATTTAATATGGAACGCTTGACAAAAAAAAATAAATTAAAATTAATACAAAAAAATTTTAACAAAATGAAATTAGTTTTTAATTTTTATATGTCTTAAATGAGTTTACGTCTCAAAACTTCGACTATTCAAAGTACTATTAAAAAAATAATAATAAGATTGTGCAACCTATTACTTTATAATAATATGCAATAGAATAATACCCTTTTAATGATTTAAAATAGAAATAGTTTTAAAATTTAGAGTAAGAAAGTGAAGATAGTTTCAACTATATTTTAGATTTGAGGAGAGGAGACAACTCATTTTTCAGAGCAACTATGACTGGTTTCTTAATATCTTTATTTAATTAAAAATATGATGATGAAGAAGAAGAAGATTATGAGCAAAATTAACTTATTTAATAAATATTCATTAAATTTTACTATACTGAATGCTCAGATATTGCTTTATTAGAAGAACCATATCAAGGTTTTTCAGATTTGAAATTATTGATGAATTAAAGAAATTACTTTTTGAATTGTATTCTTTATTTACTTGCACATAAATTTTCTGATTATAGTGATAGTTATATAATTTCTGAGCTCTTAAAAATGTGCTACAAAGATGAGGCTTTTGATTTTTCTATGATATGCTTTGGAATATCTATATGCAATAATGAGATGCTCAGATTAAAAAATGATAATGTTTTTAGCAAATACTATGATAACTCTTTTGGGAAAATAGTTTATTATTAATTTGAAATGAATGAAATATACTAATAGGCTTTAGTCTAATATCTATAAATAGATATAAGATCATTTAAGTTAATAGTTTATTAAAAGTAAAAATTTTTAGTGACATACGATTTATTATTTCCTCGATTAAAACAAATTATTTTAAGTGTTAAAATGATTTAACATGACAACATTTTTCAGTTGATTTTTGATCGTAGAGAATATAAAAATTTCAAATATATAACTAATAAACATAAAAAAACTGATTAAACTAATGAAAAAATCATAAAATAAATACAAGTTGACTAGGATGATTTTATTTGCGTTTAATGTGGATAAAAATTAGAATTTGAACCAAATATGCATAGTGTGTTAGATGAAAAAACCAAATATAACCTTTTATTTTGCATAAAACATATATATGAAATACTTTCTTGCAAATAAGAATAAATAAAAAAAGATATGATACATTATAAATTTAAATCATTTAATTAAAAAGAATAAAATATCATAGTAGATAAATATAAAATTTAAAGTTTGTTTTAATATATAAAAATTAAGAAGTTTGCTCAATTAAAAACACACTGTTATTTTTGTAAATAATAAGACTAAAATAAATTAATAGACTTAATTGGTTCATCAAATATGATACAAACTATGGTTTGTCTAGACTGTGCTTCAAAAAAAATTATAGAAAGTTAATCTCTTAAAAATAAGCATTTAAAGTTGAAAAATATATTAAACAAAGATGAAAATATAAAAGTAGTAGATTTATTTAAAAATTATTTAAGAAAATAGAGTTAAATTTCTAAAAATTGCTAATTTTGCCAAAATAATTTAAGCAAATATAAAAAATTATTTATTTATGAAGATATTTACATAGACCTTAATGTTTGCGAAGAGTGTTTATATAAACCTAAAATACAATTAAAAAATTTAAATATTGAAATAGATAATATTTACTATTAAAATTTTAAGAAGAATACTAAAGAAGAAAAGAAATAAGATTCAATAAGTAAATAATACCTAGATCAGTTATTGGTTTAACCAGAACTAGTAAAAATTTAAGATAAGGCATATGAATTAGAATCCATTAAAGAAAAAAATACATATACATTATAAAATAAGAATAATAATTCAAGTAATAATTATGTTAATAGTTAACAATATCATAATAAATTAGAATAATAAAACTAATTGATTACTAATAATAGCTAAAAATCAGATTAAAAAGCATATGAATAATCAAAAACATCTAAAATTCAAATCAATAAAGTTTAAGAATAAGCTTAAACAATAAAAAATGAAAAACCTTCAATAAATTAATATTAATAATATGAAAATGAAAAATATAATCAATATAAATATATATAAATGAGTTACCAAGATTAATAAACGGGCTAAAATATTTTTTAAAATGTGTAAAAATAATTATCATAGCTAAATAATAAATACTAGCCAAATACTTTATAAAATAAATAAGAAGTTTAATAAGTAATATAAAATAAAGAACCTAAGATAAATTAAACTGCTAATTATAATATTATTTAATAATCTGAGTTTTCGATATCTTCAAGCAAAATAAGTTTTACTTAACCTTTAATTTAATAGATGTATTTTCTAAAAAAATAAGACAATCTAATTAATATGTAAAAAGTTTCTAAAGAATTAAATTCTACTTCAGAAATTTAAATTATTAAAAAAAATAATTAAAAAATAAATTTAATCAATCAATCTAATATTTAACGACAATAATAGAATAATTATAATTAAAATGTTTTTTGCATTATATGTAAATAAAAAGATAATTCTAATTGTTAAGCATTGTTAGTAGATCTATAAAAAATTTCTTACCAATACAAAGGACACTATTGCTTATAGTGTATATGCAATTGCTTTTAAAGTTATCAGTAAAGATTAAACATGTATATAAAAGCCCTTTAATTAAATCTATTTTATTGCTATAAGTGTGGAAATCAATTTTTTGATAAAACTATAAAAGATAAAATTTTTAAGTGTTTAGAAAAAAGTATTTTAGAAGAAAAAATATAATGCTAAAAATGTAATTTTTATAATTTAATCAAAGTATATATATGAAGAAAAAAATAATATTCTACTTTTTATTTTTAAATTTATTTTTCCATCCTATTTTAAAACTTATGATATTATAAAATTTTATAATGGTTATTCTAAAAGCCAAATATTTATGTTTATTAATTCAATTAAAAAATAAATATATTTTATCAATAAAATAAATTAAATTTATAAAAATAATTAAATTATAGAAAATTTATAATTTTATGATTAAAAATTAAGGTTAAGTTAACATATCTGATTTCCTCTATATCTACATTGATAAGTTTTTTATCAATGACCAATATTATTTTATTTTTGTTAGTTTAGTTTATTTTATTTTTTAATTATTTTTTATTTTTTGCACTTCCATGAATTACATTAATAAAATAATTAAAAATTTATTAAATTTATTCATTTAAGCATTTTTTTATTATTTTAAAATAAAATTAATAATTTTAAATAATATTATTTATTTTTTATAATTTTTATTAATTAAAATATTTGCTATATTTTTGATTTATTTTTATTGATGTTAAAACAAATAAACAAGTAAATTTATTTAATTAATTATCTACCTAGAAATAATAAAAATTTTAAAATTTAATTCTTCAAAAATAGAGATTTAAGATGAAATTTCCAAAATTTCAAATTTAGTTTGTTGTAATATTTTAGTATTAATGCATTCGAAAAATATATTATTCCTACATAACATTGTTTTTAGCTTTTTTACATAAATTTTAAAATTAATTATTTTTGTAATTAACAATACAAACTTTGATAGTATTAAGAAATTAATATAAATTGAAAAATTAATAGGCTTAGACATAAATGGATAACGTATCTTAAAATAAAATTAAAGATATTCTATTGTTTAATAAATGGTGATTAAATATCCAAGAAATAGTTTATTTATTTATTTATTTTTTACTAATTAGAATATTTAATAGAAAAAATTTTGAAAAGAATTGAATTGGCTAAAAAATTATTTATAATCAATAACATCTTTATTAATTCCCTTTTTAATTTATATTAAAAAAAAGATAAACAAAAATATTGAGAAAATTTTTAAAGTCTTAGCTTATACTAAAACATAAAATCTTAAAGATAGTAATTAATAAAAATAGGTAATCATCCATTAATTGCATGTAAGATACAAACTTTTTAAAAAGCTAATAATTTCATTTTGGATTTAAATATAGAATTTAGGTGAATTTAAATTATAATTTTCTTTGTTCAAATTTTTTTATTTAATGAGATAATCTTTTTTAAAGAAAAAGAAATGGATTTTGGCAATTTTTCTTCTTCTGATGAACCATTAGAAGAAAAGTAAACAAATTAAAATGTATACATACATTACTAAAATTAATTTCAAAAAATAGGTCATAGAGCATTGAAAGCATTGATGATATTTAATATTTAAAAGATCATTTAGAAACAAAAGATTTACCATAAAATGAAGATTAAGTCCTAAAAATTAAAAATGAAATGAATTTATAAGGCTAAGCAGCTTTTAATAAGTCCTTTAATAGGTAAAAATATCCAAAATATTTAAAATATTAAATATTGATTTTAAAAGTTCAATTAGCATGGAAAGCATAGATGACATATTAAATATTAAAGAATATCTATAAAATAAAGATGTATCAGAAAATGAGTAATGCCATCAAGAAAATAATAAAATAACTGATCAATAAATAGCTTAAAACAGTATTGATATCAAAGTTAATCCTGAAATATAAAATATGAATCACCAAGGTCAAGGTCATGGTAATTTTACTTAGATTATTATCCACTTTTATTTAACTTTTCTTTTTAGAAAATCAAAAAAAGTTGTAAAATAATTATTTCCATCAATCTCAACAAAGTTCAGATAATAAGTAAATTTCCTATAATTTTTTTTAAATTGTGAGGCATATTTATTAATATTATTTAAAAAGACTTTTTTCAGGATAGAACTAGAATACTTTTTAAGAAAATTAGCAAATCCTTAAAAACAATTAAATAGAAAATCAAATACAACTCAAGCAAAATTTTGGAAACCCAAATATTTAATACAATATTTAGTAAATAGAGGAAACTAAAAATTAAGTCATTTAAGGCTCAGATAAGCTATAAGAGTATTATCAATAATAATAACAACAAATAATATAGCCTTAATTTATATCTTCATTTTAAATGCAACTTCCTAAATGTTTTTAAGTAGGTCAAAACATCTAATTTCAAGATAATTAATAATAAGGGTAATCATAATTTTAATAGAATTAATAAAAAGGGTAATAATAATTTTAATAAAAATAGTAATAAATATAACAATATTTTTAATAGAATTAGCAATAAGGATAATCTTAATTTTAAATATAGTAACAACACTATCACTATCAGTAATAGTTTAATATTAATGATGATAACAAGATAAAAGTAAACTAAAATGGAATTACTACTGAATGTTAAAATTATAATACAAATAATTTATTATAATTCTCTTAATCATAAAAAGAGTAAATTAATGAATACAAAAATAATCTAAGCTAGAAAGACTAATAATATAATTTTGCTGTCAATTAGCCTAATTTGGAAACTTAAAAATAATTTAATGGATAGTTTTACTAAAATATATATAATTAATCAAATAAGGTCAATGATTTCTCATTTGAGTCTTAAAATTAAATTAAAAATAATTAAGCTTAAAATATATTTGCTTTTAACAAAAATGCAACTTCAAACTGTTTTATTAACAACTCTAGCTAAGATTATCTTTAGCAATATTAAGTAAATTAAAAATAAAAAATGTTTAAAGATGGTATTTAATTTTCTTTTGGGTATAACTTCAAAAATGATTAATAATAAGAAATTAATCAAGATGAAAACGTTTAATAAATTAATAATGAACATTTTGAAGAAAAAAATATTTTTAAGTAAAATATTTAACTTGAAAATTAGAAGATTTTATTACCCAATAATTCAAACTAAATTGAAAATGTTTAAAAATAGCAATAACTTATAGAAAAAAATGATTATGATTAGCAATCAATTCAGCAAAAACTTAACTAATAATAATAGTGGTTACATTAGTAAAAATAGGAATTAGACTAATAATAAAATACGACATTATTTATTAATTAATTTAAAGAAGTTTATGAAATACAATATGGAAATAATGACAAAAAAAAGAAAATTAAAATTAAAACAAAATAATTTCAGTCAAATGAAATTGATTTTTAATTTTTATTGGTAATTGATCAATTGATTTCTGAAAATTTTGATTGCTCTAAGTATTATAAAAAGAATTAAAATAAAATAAATCAACTTCAAACATTTTACCAATATGGAGAAGAATAATATCCTCACAATATATAAAAATAAAAATAAATTTAAAATATATAAGAAGAAAATTAAGATAGTTTCAATTATATTTTAAATTTAAGGAGAGGAGACAACTCGTTTTTCAGAACAACTATGACAGGTTTCATAATATCTTTATTTAATTAATAAGATGATGATGAAGAAGATTTTGAGCAAAATTAACTTATTAAATAAATATTTATTAAGTTTTACTATACTGAATGCTAAGATATTGCTTTATTAGAAAAACCATTTGATGGTGTTTCAGATTTAAACCTATCTATTAATTACAAATATTATTTTTTAAATTGCTTACTATATTTGTTTGCTCATAGATTTTCTGATTATTCTGATAGTTACATTATTTTTGAACTTTTAAAAATGTGTTATAAAGATGATGCTTTTGATTTTGCTATGGTATGTTTTGGAATATCTTTATGCAATCATGAAATGATCAACTTAAAAAATAACGAAGATTTCAGCTAATTCTTTGATAATACTTTTGGATAAATAGATATCTATTAATTTGAGATGAATGAAATATACTAATAATCTCTATCCTTATCTTTGTAAGTAGATATAAGATTATTTAATTTAATAGTTGATTAAAAAGAAAAGTAAAGATATATAGTTGTTGAAGAAAGAATAATTCCAGGCCAAAAATAAATTATTTTCAAAATTAAAATGATAAAAAACGATAATATTTATAGGTTAATTTTTGATTAAAGAGAAGAGAGGAAATTCAAGTATGCAAAAAAGAAAGCTAAAAAAGCTGATAATTTGAAATAACCTTTAATTAAACTAGAAAGTTATAAATACTTTTAACAATAGTAAAAATATAATAAAATAGAAATAAATGAATAAAAATTGAGTAAAGAAGAGTATAAAAGTTAATCGTAGGATTATAAAATTTAAAATGATCAAGAATTTAATAAAAAAGAAAATAATCTTAAAAATTCAAATATAAACATTGATTAAAATAAAAAAGATATTAATTAAACAAGTAAATAACAATTAAATAAAAAATCAAGTTAATGCTAAATATTAAAAAATGATATAAATAAAGCATCTTAAACCATTTAAAATTAAAAGGAAATAATAGATAATTAATAATAGACATCATCAACAAATTTAAGCTATTAAATATAACAATAAAATTAAAATCCAATTTAATAAAATATAAATCACAACAATAATTAAGTTGCATAATTAATAAAAAATTAGTGTTCACCATCAATTAATAATTAAAAAAATCATCAAAAACTTATGCCTAATTAAAGCCTAGATAATATTAATTAATAATCTTTATAATAAATAATATTGACTAAAAAAGCATAAACCTTTGATTTTAGTTAACAACCAAACACTTTATAATAAACAAATAACCCAAATTAAATAAAAGAATAATATATTTAAAAGAATGCTTAACAAAAATTAATAGAAAAGGATTTTAAATATATTCCATAAATGATTGGCTCTCAAACAAATTAATAATAATCATAATAAATGCTAAATTTATAGCAAAATTTACATCAAACATAAAAAATATTTTGTATTAAATGCAAAAATTCACATCAAAAAAATTGCTAAGTCATACTAATAGATTTGGAATCTATTTCAAAATTATTCAAAGGAAAATATTGCTTAAGATGCATATGCAGTTTTTTTTAGAGTCAAATGTAAAAAGATCATATTTACTCAAAAGCATCAACAGATAATCTTTTTTATTGCTGTAAATGTGAGAATAGATTTACAGATAAAATGGTAGAAACGAAGATTCTTTCAAGTTAGTAAAATCATACTTTGGAATACATAAAATGTGGCTAATGCTAAATAAATAATTAAATTTAAGTATATTATTGAACTTTTTAAAATGTTTTTAGTTAATAATATTAATTCTGATGTCTTTTATATGTATCTTAGACTATTGAATTAAATTTTATAAATGTAGAGGTTGAACTCAAATAATAGATTCTTCAAATATAAATTTATTTATTTATTTAAAATATCAATTCAAAATAAATAGTAAAAATGAGAAATAAAATTTTGATTAAAAAATTTAAATCTGAAATTTTTCTATTTAAAAATTAAAAAAACAAATAAAATAAAATTATTTATTTTTTTAATAAAATTTTTTTTGGATTTGAGATAGGATTTAATGAATAAATAATGAACTGATTGATTCATTAAATTGTTGATAAATAAATTGAACATTTAGAAGATGAATTAAAATAATTTATATGGATGAAATTTTATAATTTGAGATAACCTATGAAATAAAAATTTTATGAAACATTTTATTTTAAAAAATGAATTAAAATTATTAAATAAAAGTATTTTAATACTTAAATCTATTATTGATTGTTTAATTAAACTTTTTTATTAAATAGTTGTGTTATTTATTGATAATAATAAATTTATAGAGTGGTGGGAATAAATGTTATAATCAATAATTAAATAAATAAATATATATATTCAATATAAAAAAGTAAATAGCAAAAATCAAATACTACTTTTGGGGGATCTTTTTGAATAAGGAAATTTTAATAAATTGAAATAAAGAGAGAGAGAAACTTTTGACGAATATATTAAAAATAATTTCTTCGTGTTAGCTAATTCTGAATTAGTTAATATAATTAAATGTCAGAAGAAGAGAAATCTTCAAAAATAGATAGAGATAAGTTAATTCTATTTCATTCACACACTTAACTAGCTTATTCATAAAGCTTAATTTTAATATTATTAAAAAAATCATATATTTAAAAGGAAATAAGAAAAGTTAGTTAGTTATCTTATATCCAATTTAAATTTATTTTAAATAAATCAATAAAGGTATTAAATTTAAGCCAGGAATTGCTACTCAAATAATAAAAATTAAAATTTTATAAATAACTCTCAGAATTAAAATTAAAATTATAATAATGACTCTCATAGTTATAATTTTTAAACCAAAAATGAACATATAAAATTTCTATCAAAAATATTTAAAGAAACACTAAATAAAACTGATTAAGATTTGAGTTTAAAAACAAATGAAGAAGAAGAAGCTTTATTCAACCAACGGTATAATTTAAATTTTTAATATAAAAATTTATAAATAATTGATATGTTTTAGGGATTGTTTAGAGTTATCTTTTTCTTAGAGCTAAAACTAGTAAGAAAGTTAATCTATTTTAAATTAATAATAACTTTTAACTTCTTAAATATGCTTTGATAATGTGAGCTAAAGTAATGTGTAAACAAATGCACAGTAACAGTAAAAATATTATTATATTTTTAAATAAATTATTACTTTTCCCCTTACTAATTGATCTATATTATTAAAAAATAGATAATCATCAATAGATATTCACATTGAAGAAAGTCTGTTTAATGAAAAGTCTTATAAAATTTTTAATCTTTTTCATTTATTAAATATTTTTATTTATTAGAAATAGCTAAGAGTTGTATTAAATCAAATAAGGTGTTAAAGTACATGAAAATCAATATTAAGATAACTAATAACCTTGTATTTTTTCTACTTAAGGATCATATCGTACATACGAAAGCTATATTGATTAGTTATCAAAGTTAAGGTAAATTAACATTATATTTTATTTTTTATTTATTTTTTTTTTATTTGATAATTTGATAAGGTTTTTAAGTTTTTATGAATCAGAGATTATATAATATCCCCCGAATTAATGATTTGAATTTGTTTTCAATCTTAATTTATTTCTCCTCATCAAAGACAAAAAGAGGAAAATTAATTATTTCTTACAAAGCTAACTTATAAATTGAAATAGATAAATAGAAAGAAAGAAATATGGATAAAGAGATAGATAAATAGATAGATAAATAAACAAATAAATAAATAAATAGTCTAAAAAGATACCTTTTTCGTTAATAACTATTTTATTTATAAACTCTTAAAAATTAATAAACAAAAAATAAGGTAAATACCTATATTTGTATTCAAATTAAATTAAAAATGCAAAAAGAAAAGGTCAAATAATGTGTCTATAAGAAATAAAAGGTTATTCAAGGCTTATTCATACAACTAACAAAATAACTAACTAACTTAAAAAACTTTGATAAGGTAATAAAATTGCTTTATTATAAAATTATTTATTTAAATTATTAAATCCTTTATAATCACTAAAGCAAATTAATCAATTTTACTGAGTGTTTAAACAGTTTTTATAATGTAATAAAAGTGATTAATAAGGCTAGTAATTATATTATATTATATAATTCTATACTGTATTTATTTATTGTATTACATTAAGTTTTAATGTTTTACTTGTTATCAATCTTCATGTAAAATATTTTTAAAAACCTCATAAAAATTTGTTTAAAATTGTGATATTTATTTTTTGAAGTTTTCTTTTATATTTTTTTTTGTTTGTTTTTTTATTATATTTTTGATTTTATAAGTAAATAAAATGGAATAGCAGTATGTAGATTTGTTTGGTTATTAGCTTACACATGAATAATATTAAAATATAACAGCAAATGATGAAGAATTTTAGCAGTTCTTGTAGATTATTAGCAAATAATTTAGAGAGCGAGGTCCTTTATATTTTTAAAAAATAAGATGCGAGCTAAAATCATAATTAAATTCATTGCAATAATTAATTAAAGTAGATGAGTATGGGCAGATGAAAATATCGAATTTGTAGCTTTAACAGGGTTATAGTTACGTTAGTAAACAATATCCTTTCATTTTAAAGATAAGAGGAGATGGAAACTGCTTTTATCGAGCTGTTATTATTGGAATTATGGTCACAATAATTTAAAACAATAAAAATGAATTTTTTAGAATATTAATAAGATAGGTCTAACATACAGAAAAATTTGTATACTAACTGAAAGACGAAATAATGGCTATATCTGAAACAGATGTTGGCCTGATTCTTATAAAGTTTTTTACATAAATTCTCATAGAAAAAACAATAAATGAAAAGTTTAGCATTCTTTAATTGTTTGCTGAATTTAATGATTTTCCTGAGATTGATTTAAGTCTAAATATATTCTGCAGGAATGTCCTCAATACTTATTTTGAAAAGTCTTTGAAAGACCCTCAATATAATTAATTTATTGGGGATGATATGAAGACTAAAATTCCTTTTTAATTATGCGTAATTGGAGAAGAAGCAGAAGATGTGATAATACCTCTATCTGCAAATGTAAAATTTTAATTTTTTAATCTTAAATATTCTAACAAAATTAGGCTTTTTCTTATAAAATAGTCATTTAGAATCTTTACATTGATAATAATGATAAACCCTACACAGATTAAATCATTTATAATCCCACGAGTGGGGAACCAGCTGATACAATTATATTATGCTATTCTCAAGGCCATTATGATCTTCTTCTTTCACAAAATTAATCTTAAATATTCTAAAACTATCCCTAAATTATATTGAATAGTAAATTCGTTTTAAAGATAACAAAGCAGCAGAGAATTCTCAAAGATGAGTTAATTGAAAGTGAATTACAGTAAGAAGAAAATGAAAAAGAAAAGGAAAAACTCCAACAATAACGTAAAATAATATGATTATTAATTATCTTAAAAAAATGAAATACATTTATTCATATTAATTAGTCTTTGAACAAGAACAAAAAGCACTAGAGATCTCTAATAAATAAAAAAACATTTATCAAAAGATAGTAGATAAATGCAAAAGATTAATATAAAAAGGTAAAACTAAAAAAGAGAAAGAGGTAGAAAAAGCAAGTTAGAAAGAGAATGATTCGTTAGCACTAAATAAGAAACAGAGTAAATAGATTTTATTTGCTAAAATTAAAATTAATTTATCAAAAAAAAAATAGGCGATAAGAAGAAAAATTTAAATTTTTATTAAAGACTAAATAGTAAAAAGAAAAGTATTGAAAGTAATACTTAACAGAGAGAAAAAAAAGGGATTTAGAAGTGTTTAGAATGCTAGAATGAATTTATTTTGAATTAAGGAGAAGAAATGTTAAATAGTGTGTATTTATGTGACAACTGTTATTAATTGCAAAGCAATCAATTAAGTAAAATTTTTATTCTTAAATAAATTTATTCTTTCTTCAGATCAGATAGTTGACGATGATAATTGTATTTTTTTATATCGAATTTAGTTGCAAGAGATAACAATAAGAAAAATTAAAATGGAGATGGCTCAAGGAATTGCAAAATCTGCGAAAATGAGTTTGATAAAGACGAAAATTTTGAGAGTGAGGGAATTTGCAAATAATGCATAAAGATGTAGATCCTGTCAAATTATAAAGAAAGTGAATGTGTTTCTTGCAAGAAAGAAGCTTCATTCAAAATTGAAAGCACAGTCTACAATAATTTTAAATTAGGGATCTGCCAAGAATGCGTGAAAGAAAACTATTTTTTATTTAAAGAGTAAGAAAAAAAGATTGAAACTCTTAAAGTTTATTTAAAGGAATTATCAACATATATTGTGTTTAAGCTCAGCGAAGAAATTTAAAATTATATATTGACATTGAAAGAAAAAAATGTTGATATCGAAATAGAAAAAAGCTAGCCTAATTGTTCTTTTTGTTTTCAGTTTGGAGATTAATTTTTGTATGAAACAGGAAATCCCGAATAGCTAATATGCCTAGATTGTTTCAAATCTTAGGAATACACAAAAATATAGGAGGGTTTTTAAGATGAATAAATTTAAAAGATTTTATGGGATATTGTTAATTAGTTAAGTATACCATCATGTTTCATATGCTTTGATCCACTAAATGAAAGCGAAAATAATATTAAAATTTAAGATATTATCAGAAATTCTTCCATTTAAATTTGTACTAAATGCTAAAAAGAAGGTATATTCGTTTTTGACTAGGATGATAATATCTCTGCCTTTAGTAGTTACTTAAATCATCCTTTAAATATAATTCCAAGAGAAGAGGATAAAAATCATCTTAAATCTGCACTTTAAAATAACTTAAATTGATAGATTAATATGTGATGAGTATCTAATATTTGGTATATGTCTTTAAGTATTCAAAAGAAGTCAAGTTGTATTCATTCATTTCGTAATGTTAATTTATTTATTTAGTAAGATATGCATTAACATTTTGTATGTATTTTGCAAAATTAATTAATTGTTTGTTTTTTATATTTTTAGATAATAAATTATTTAATTTTGAAATAAATAATTATATAAAAAGCACAATTAAATAAATTTTTTATTTGCTTCAATTTATAAAAAGCTCATAGACAGATAGATATTATTTGAAGCCATAACAAAAGTTTAAAAATGGAGCAAAAGATAAGCATTTTTGGAAGGAGTTATTCTCTTTAGTTTTTTGAAGAAGTTATAAGTAATCAGTAAGCACGACAAATAATATTATAGGCAAGTCAAAGGGGAACCAGTCCTAATTTTGATATTTAGAAGATGAGGCGAACAGTTGATTAAAGGATAGAAAGCTTAGTAGAAATAGGAACATTTTAACACTTTCTGAAAAAGGAAGCTTATCAGTAAGAAAAGACTGAAGCATACGAATTAGTTGCCAAGAAGTTTCCAATCCAATTAGTTGTAAGAGGAGATGGAAATTGCTTTTACAGATCCTTCATAGTCAATTACATCTTTAAGATAGTCTTTTATCAGTTGAAAGAAGAATTATTCCAATTTATAGCAAAAATATGGAATTTCAAACAGCTTTCGATTCAATTTGAATTTAATTAGGTTCAAATAAACTCTGATGAATTCAAAATACTTGCAATACGTTTTTTATTTGATGCTTTTATGAAAAAAGCTTCTAATTAAATGAATGTTATTTCGTTCATTCAGACATATAATAACTAGCCAGAGGTTGATGTCAGCTTTGTTGTGATCTGCAGAAACTTCATTAACAAGTGTTTCAAGCTAAATAAAAGAAACCCATCTAAAATAGGTTTCATAGAAGAATAAGATTTACAAGAAATTCCTGTCCTTCTATAAACATACGGATCCGAGGCACAAAACACAATAATTCCCCTAGCTGCAAATGTAGAAAATTATAATTGAAATTAATTTTTTTAATTCTAATAAAAATATTTTATTTAAAAATAGGCTTTTAATAATTCAGTGTTGAATTTTTAAAACTTATACAGAGACTAAGCCACTAAAAAATTCTTAACAAGACTAGATATATACAATGACCTAAGTTCAAAGAATGTTTAGAATTAGTTAAATGTAGATGTTTTATTCACTTAAGGCCATTACAACGTTGTCTTTGATTAAATATTTTGCTAATTGCACTGTTAAAACATTCTCGAATAAAAAAAAGATGAATAAAAAAGCATTATCTAATCTGTGTCTGACAAGATACTTCACATGTTTATACCAAATAAGCCTGAGCAAAATCTGATTCATCAAAATTACCAATTTAATAATGGTAAAACATAAAATTAAGGAAACTAAAGCTAATAAATTTAAAACAATAATTTAGTATAAGAGAACAATTTTTAAAGTTCAAACCAAAATTAGAGAGTAAGCAATCGTTCATTATCCAATAGCTAGTCAAAATTAAGCTAAAGTTCTAGTTCAAGTAAATTAAAATCAAGATCGTAAGGAGTAAAGCATCCCTTTGAAATTAGCTCCTAAAACATACCATAAAATAGCATTGATTTTCAAAACGAAAGTAAATAAAATAGTAATTAAGTTAATTTTTATGATTAAAATAAAAATACCTCTCAAAATAACAAACCAATTTAATCATATTAAGTTACAAATTATATCTACAGTCCTTCAATCAATTTAAATAATAACAAAAAGATCTAATAAACAAACAGTTAATCGTCATAACATTACCAAAATAATTTTATTAATGATCATTCTGATAGTTTTTAATAAACCAATTAAAATAAATTTAATTCCAATTAAATCAGTTTACCAGCTTCTAATTCACACTAAAATGTTTTTGAAAAACCAAAAAATAATTAAAACCAATAAAAATAATCTTATTAAAGTATAAACTTCTCACATAATCCTCAAACAAATATAAATAATAATCAATAAATTAATCAAAAAAATAGTTACAATAGCAGCTCCTAAAGAGTTAAAAATATAGAAAATTTAAACATATTAGAAAATTAAAGCAGCGAAATACCAAAATCTAATAATATTAATTAAAATTATCAAAATCAAGAATTTTCTTTCTTTAGTTAAGTTCCTGTATTTTAAACAGATGAATAAGAATTTATAAATACTGAGAAGACAAAACAAATAAAAACCAAACCTGTTTTGAGCTAAAGAAACTGCTGTGACATATGCAAATAAAGTAAAAATACTTATGATTTGCTATATGTATGTGTATGCCAAAATTGTTTATATAAAAGCTTTCTAAATTTAAAAGAACACAGTTTACAAATTTTAGCAGACTTATTTAGGTTAGTTAAAAACGAAAAATTTTGCTTGATATGCTTTGCTTCAATTCCATACTCAGTTAGCATTTAGAGGGAAAACTTAGATACAATTAATCTTCTATGTGGAAATTGCTAATAACAAAGTGAAGAACCTTTGTTTTTTATTAAACTGTTAAAATTTGTATAAGAAAACACATTATAGCTGAGTAATGTTGCTTAGTAGTAAAAATTAAATTACTAAGCCTGGGAGTAATCTCAAATCACAAAAACATAAAATTAAAATAAATTATCTTTGTCTTATTTGGTTTCTTTATTTAAAGAGAAAATTTAAAATTAAAGTAGATAAAATGTAGACATGTATAGAGAAAATTTAAAGTGTGCTATGAGAAACAAGACTGATGCTCAGAGAGACAGCTTAATTGAGTTTCTTACTTAAACAAATAGGTTCAAAGAGTTTTGCTTTGTTTGTGAATCTATATCAGTTAAATCATTTGAGTTGCCTCTTCAAAATGGCGGATCTATTAGATTGTGTGTGGAATGTATACACGAACTTGAAAATATCTATTAAGCAGTTGTAAGAAATAATGGTCTTACCTACTTGTACTGTAGCTTGATTGATTAAATGGTCATTCTCCACATGCAAAATCAGAATTTGTCTTATTATTTCAAAATTAAAAATCATTGCTATAGCTGCTTGGAAGAAACTCATTTTCCTTTTTAAGTTTCTAAAAACTTCTAGCTGTGTTTTAATTGTCTCTCAAATTAGATGGAATACTAGAAAAATGATGATAAGCTAGTTGCTTTAATTAAAAAGCAATGTAAATAATTCTAAAAATGTTTAGGATGTTTCTAAAGTGTGAATTTGGATGACTCAAAATTAGATAGAGATGTTTATCTATGTTATGTATGCTCGAAATATAACATTGTCAAAGACGCAAATCAAAAATGTTACTAGGTTCTTAATAGGGTTCATACTCGTCACTTCAAAGTCTTTGAAAAAGAGATTTGTGACTATATTATTGATGAAAAAGAAAATGTTATATTTTTGACTGAATCCTCCTCAGAAAATAATGAAGCTTCTGCAATAGAACAAGAAGAGTAAGACCTTGACTAACTCAAATAACAAATTTTAGATTGCCCGAAATGTAATTATTAAGAATTACCTAAAAGACTTTTAGACTCTATCTAATGCAGCTGCTAATTTGAAAATGATCTAAGCAACAAAACAACTCAAATCAGCGAGGGAGAGAAAGTGTTCTGCTTGTTCTGTCATAACTACTTAAACAATCTTGATAATAACTTGAGTTATCAATCGCTCTCAGCCAAGTCGATAATTTAGTATTTTGACTCATAAGAAATAGATGTGAAATACTATTTCAAACGCAAGATTAAGCTTGTTAGATGCTCTAATTGTAAGCACTTGTAATCAATTCAAGAGTAATACGAAAACTATCTATTTTGATGAAATTAGTAATAATTAATTGAGAAGTTTGATTGATTTGAATAGTAAATATTAAACATTGCGAATTCATTCAAATTAAATTTGTTTATGCGTAGTATTTTCATAGTAAATAAATAATAACTTTAATTAAAAAACCATGTAATTATCTCATCAAAAATTATTTATTTAATTTATATTAATTGGTTTCTTTTTATTTTTAATTTATGACGAAATTTGTTATTTGTTAATTCCAAAATATTGCTAACTATTTCTTTAATACATAGAATTTACCACAAATTTGTGGCAAATATTATGATACAACCTATAAATAATAAGTAAATAAATAAATAAATAAATGAATGAATGCAAATACTTTATTTTTAAAATATTTATTTTGATTATTTGCTAAGCTATTTATTTATATTCTTATTTATAATTCATTCACTCATTTTCGTACAGGTCATAAAATACTAGTCTTGGATTTACAATCATGTAGTCTTATATTTTATTGTAATAGACTATCGCGGATAGCAGCTTACCATAAATAGCTTAGTTGATATAATTATATTCTTTTGTTATGTTTCCTTGCTGCGTGCAAGTGAGCATAACATAATTGTTTGTTTGAGCAAGTTTGAGACTGATATTATCAGCAATTTAAGGAGTCGGAGAAAAGAAAATAAATTCTCTAATAAAGGAGTTAATTTACTTGTCTTTTTCAATTTGTTCTTATAGATTAATAAGCTGCATATTTATATTGAATACTATTTTTTAGTAAGTATTTCTGCCTTAATAAAATATCCTTTAGGCTTTATCGCATAATATTTGTGCTTCTTTGAAATGATATAAATAGAGCTTCATAAATTCTTGTATTTAAATGCGAATTACTTAAGGAATATAGATTCTCTTGACCTCCCTCACATGAACATTTTTTTTATCCTTTTCTTCTAATGAGATGTAATGATTAAGTTGCTAAACGGAGGTCAACTCGATTGTATCAGATCCATATTTTTTTGGTTTTATATATATTAAGTACGATTAATAGATAAATATAATTATGCTTAGAATACTAGACCCTAATGCAGTATATTCTACTGCCTTGAACGAATATCCTTTAAACGCGTAGAAGGCATTAAAAACAACAAAAGAGTATATTTTTATAGCAAAAAGTATTGAGTTTTAGAAGTAAAAAAAGCTTGGACCTAATTCAATAAGCACACTGTTTTTGTAGAAAAAATTAGCTATAAAAAAGAAGTAATCAAGGTGAATTAGGTTGAATATTGAATCGATTAATCCAAAAAAGAGCGAAAGCACTGTAGAACCAAATATAACATAAAATTTAATAGCAACTGTAGAAGTTACAGTAAAGAGAACACTCAAGATAGAAAAATAAACAAAGCTTTATCCCAAAGGAAATTGTTATAAGCAGTAATAAATCATTAAGTAAGAAAAGAAATGCACAGCAGTTGAAAAGTTGAAGAAACAGATTTTGCCCCACTTTCCAGCAAGTCCTTTAATTTTTCCGTGACTTGTAAAATAAAGCAATTCTAGTTTCGCTTCAGAGAAAGTAATAAATTGCATAGCTAAAACCAAGACCAAAATAACATTAATAATATTTGAATTGACGCTTGTATAAATAATAAATATAGACATTCCAACAGCGTGTAAAAATGAATTCATGTTGTACATAAACTGAAGCGATGAAAAGGTTTTATTGTATTTCTTGTAATTTTTAATAATCACCCAGTTTTAAATATTTAAAGCAATAGCGAGAGCCATGTAAAATTTATTTAAGTTTTTTGTGTTGCAAAAAAAGACTAACCAGCAGAGTATTTTGAATGCCAACCCTGCAAACATAATTTCAAAAAGCACGATCTATTTCTAATTAAAATTGAGTTTATTTAAAAATTGCTAATTTAAAATTTGAAGAAAATTAATTAGTGCAATTTACGTGATAAAACTGCAAGATGAAATAGCAATATATACCATAATTTATCCTGGTATAAATAAAGTAAAGAATTTCTCCCAGCATTCAGGAAAGTTTGTTGAATTAATAATTAATTTTAACTACTTTTTTATCAATTATTCTTCAAGAACTCACTATTCCTGTTTTTCTTTTTTTTTGCTTAAAATTTTTTTTATGAATTTTAATAATCTTTTTTAATTAATTTAATTTACAAAGTGTCAATCAGTGTAATACCAATTTTATTGATGATAGAAGATACTTATTTACATTTCTTTTTTACTTTCCAATTATCACTCATTAATTCATTCATACTTCCAAAGTCAGTCGTCATTTTTTTCTCTTTATTTATTTTGTTTAAAGATTTTTATAATTTATATTTTTTAAAAATTCACCTTCATCATAAATAAATCAATCAATCGTCTTATTTTAATATCCAACCATAAAGAATATATAAATTAGCAAAAAAGTAACACAGATATTTTCACTCATTTTTAATTTCATAAAAAATTTTAATCTAATAAATATTTTGTAAAAAAATGTAACGAAGCTGCTCTTATTTATGCAAATAAATTACAAAACATCTTTCAAATATTTTAAGAAATTAATTTTTGCTTTATTGAATAAAATAAATTAAAATTTTCAAAAAACTATATTGTCAAATCCACCGTTTAAATAAAATTAAGAAAATTATTATAAAATATTGTTAATCATCTTTTAATGTTTTAATAAAAAATAAATATTTTATTTTGAAATTCCAGATTAAATTCATTATCAAACAAATTATTTATTTTTAAAATAAAGAGATAAAAAATAAAATATTAAAATTTAATTTATTAAGAAATATCAAAGGGTCGTAGAATTGATATTCAGACCTTAATTAATTAATAAACAAATAAAAATTAAATATTATCTTCTTAAGGTTTGTTTTACATAAAATAAATATTAACAAAATATTTTAAATATAGCAATTCAGTTTGACTTTCCTTAAGATTCTAACTGGCTTTTTCACTTTTAATGTAATTTTTTTAATTTAATGATAATTTAATTTAAAAACAAAAACATTAATTAAATTTATTTTTGAAATTATTTCTTGATGATATTTTATCAATTATTTTTACATATTTTTGAAAGCAAAAAATAATATATTTAATTTTCTTTATTTTGTAGATTATTTTAATTGATTTTAATTTTATCTATCTTTATCTTGTTTTTTAAATATAGTTTGCTCATTAGTTTAAATTTTTTTGAATAAAATTAAATTTAGTTTACTAAATTTGAGTATAGAATGTAATTATTTTAATAGTTATTAAAAAATTTTTATTTTTATTTAAATTAAATGTTTGAAAGTTATTGATTAATTAAAATAGCAGAATTAACTAACTAACAAACTGATTGACTAACTCATTAAAAAATAATTATTTAAATAGAAATATTTAATAAAATTTATTTTTGTTGAATAGATTTTTAATGCTTAAAAATATTGATTTATTATAAACTTAGTATAAAAAAACTTTTTTATGATGAAATATTAGATTTAAATTTAGTAAGTCATATATAAAACTAAAATAATGATTGAATTTGAGAGATTGATAAATTATTTTAAAAAGGAAACAAGTAAATGAAATATGTTAACTAAAGATTTATTCATTCATTTATATTAATATTTATTCATTTAAATATTATATGTTTAAAAATATAAATACAGAATTATATATAAAATAATACTTTCAACTTGTTTATATAATATTTTTCATAAATGAAGACTCACAGTACGAACAATCATTAGCAGTAAGTTTACCAAGAGTTTTTGATTTGATCGGGGACATTGAAAGGTAATTTGAATTAGACGTTATTCTATAAACAAGGAGTGTCAGCGTCAAGGTATTTGCCAGTTTCAATATCTTCATATGAAATATGGAACTTGTAGCCAGTTTTAAAGCAACGGTTAATAGCAAAAAGAGTTCTTTCGGGGTTAGGATTTTACTCAGTAGGGAAAGGGAAGTTATCTCTAACTTATAAGCAGTTGGCGGTATCTTGAAGATCTCCAGTTTTAGAGTTTTAGCTGGCCAAATAAACAGTTGATCCGGCTAAAATGGTAAGAATTAAACCTAAACCAATGAGAGAAGTATTTTTCATTTTTCAATTTATTTATCTATTTAGCTTATTAAGTTTTTTGATTTATAATCTAATATTTAAATTTATTGTTTTAAAAATCTTTAGGGTTTGGCATATTTATAGTGTCTCATCAAAGAATTTTTATAGAAATAATAAAAAAAGATGAGTCATTCAATTCTTCAAATGTATTTCCTAAATACGTATTTAATTCTTTTATAATTTTTGTGTTTTCTTATGTTTTCTTATCAAAATATCAAAAATAATAATTATCAATAATAGCAAAATTTATTTTTTTATTGCGGAGTTAAAATAAAATAATAAAATATTTTTTTTTATTTATTTATTGATTTTAAACATCTCTATTTAAAAATAATTTTAAGGAATTAAATAAACAAATATTTTTTGTTAAATTTGAATTAGAAACAACAATTCAACACTTTTTTATAAAAGAAAATTGATTGTAAAACCAGAAATAATTATTCTTATGCATATAATTAAAAATTAATTACAGCGTTCCCTAAGAATTCATTATATTTAATCCTAATTTGAACTCTCTAATCAAAAATAGTCAAAATTATTTTTAAATGAGGTACTTTTAAAATAAAGTCAAAAATAAATGAATGAATAAATGAATGAATAAATAAATATGTTATTGTTTATGATAGTTAATTATTTTATCAAAATTTCTATTTTAAAAAAACTTTCAATAACAAAATAAATAAATTCATGTTATTTTTTAGAAAAAAACTAAAATAAAATTTACATTAACTTATTTTATTATAGAAAGAAAGTAAATATCTAATCCCGAATTAAATAGACTGATTTGCAAGAAAATCTGAAAAATATGTCTGCAATCAATAACATTAGCTAACAGTTGTGGATAACCTTAGTTAAAAAACCTAATAATATTTTAGTTTGCATATTGAAATATTTATTTTACATTTTATCTGCTATAAATTCTTGCCAATAGAATTCAATAGTAAATCTAAAATTAATTCATTAATTAATTAATAAAAAATTAACTATTAGCCAAATAACTAAATACATAAAAGAATAAAGTATTAAATCTAACAAGTAAATTTTTTGCATAATAAAATGCTAGCTAAAGTATGTGAACTGTTTCTATTTTTATTCTAAATTAAACTGTAAGTAAATAAAATAAATATTTTGTAAACTTGTTTTTATTCAAAAAAAAAAAATGGAAATATCTAAATTTTAAGGAATTTAATATTAAAAATAGAGCAAACAACTATAAATAAATAAATATTCATTGAGCTTAGTTTATATATTTAATTTTTCATAAATTCTTCTTATGGAAATATTAGAGAAATATAATTTCAAGATAGGTCATATTATTCATATTTTTATATTTTTATTACGAAAAGTATTAACAAACTCTTATCAGAAATCAAGCTATCAAAAATTTCAAATGTATGCAAATTATTTATATATCAAAACAAAATAATACAACAATAACTAATATATTTAAATTAAAATGACCTAGCTAAAATTATATTCCCAATAATTAATTAATAATTATGTTTTTTCTAGAAAAATACCTTTAGACATATTGCATTAACAAAAAGGCAAATAACTGATCAATAATAAGTCTTTGATTTATCATTTTATTTTCTTAAAAATATCAATTTTAAAATTTAATGTAAGCAATAATATTTGTATAATTCACTATTAAAAAAATATATAAAGTAGGATATCATATACATGAAAAGAATGAATGAACAACTTCATTTATGTATTTATTAAATTAATTTATTAACAAAAAAAATATTTCATAAAACAAGAAAAATGTTTGCTTATTGATTGAATTTCTATTCAGATATTTTAAATTTAATAGCCTTTATCTAACTTTGAATTACATTTTTATTTCAGAATTGAATAATATATTAAGTAAATAAATAATTAGTATTTTAGTTAAATCATTTAAATTGCAAAATGAAAAAAATTTAAAAGCTAATGTTTGATTGAAAGTTGATTGGATTCATGTTTAACTGTTAATAAAAAATTCATATCAAACAAATATTCTTGTTATAAAAAATAAATATTATGGTAATATATTTAATGTAATTACTTAATTAATATTTTAGATTTTAAGCAAATGTAGCAAATATATTTTAAAATTAGCTGAGAATAGTATGGCCAACCCCCAAAAATAATAGTGGATTCAAATTTAAAAATATATGGTGTAGTATTTATTGTTAATTAGGTTTATAAATTATTAGAATTACTATATATTTCAAATCATTTTTTTGTGAAAATTTATGGGTGAAGTATAAATAAATAAAACCTAACTAATTAACTAAGATCCTTTTGATTAATATTTATAATATATATATTAATTGACGCATAATTAACAATAAAATCAAATATCTTAAATATAAATGCGTAATTTGTTAATTAATTTTTGGATAAATATAATATGTCTTACTTGTTTTTATTAGCAAGCTTTGATAAAGCAAACAAAATATATATTACCTTCTAATAAAAATGCTTGTAATTATTTTTAAACTAATGAAATATATTCTTTGATTTAGTACATTGATTTATTTATATACTTAACTTCTATAAAATAATTCTTTTAATTATTAATAAATTTTATTTTTATGCTTGCTAATTATTAGTATTTAGAATAGTTAGAAAGTTATCATAAAGTTAATAACTAAATTTCAATTTGTTGTTTGGGATTTTGTTTATCATATTGAGTGATATTTATTTTGTTTATTTTTGGGGAAGATATATTCTAATAACTTATTAATTTATTATCAAATAATAATCAATTCAAAGATTTTAAATATTTTGATATTAACTACTTAGGTAAGAATAAGAAAATGAATTAGATATATTCTTTTTAGAGGCACAGCTCTTTAAAAAATGTATAGCACAGCAAAGACAATATATATGAGATAATGAAAAAGAAGATTAAGGATCTTATAAATCAGTTTAGAAAAAACCCATACAATTCAGGTTTAAGTATTTATAATATTAATGATTTAGAAGAATACTCTAAATAATACTAAACGAAGCAAACATTGGATTCAATATAGAAAATCAGCTTAGAAAATAAGATTTGGCTAGGCATAAGAGGTGATGGAAACTGCTTTTACAGATCAATTATAATCCTTTACTTGCTGGAGCTGTTTAAATAAAATGATTTTACAGAATGCGATAATTTTATAAAAAGAGTTAAAAGCATGAAGAATATTAGCATTAACTCTATTAGAGAGGAGCCAGAAACTCAGGCGCTTCAATACATCTTAATTTGCTTTTTGTATCAAATAAAAAATATGAAATAATTAAAGAATATGGATATGGAAGATATTATAGAGTAGTATAATTCTAGACCTGAAGTCGACTTAGCAGCTATAGTCATTTGTAGGAATCTTATCTTTAAGACATTTTAAATCTGTAAAAATAATCCTAGCTTTAGTTTATTTATAGAGGATCAAATGAAAAGCAAAATTCCTGAAATGCTGCTCAAATATGGTGAGTATGCTGAAGACATTATTATTCCCCTGGCTTCTCAAGTACATTTATTTAGAAATAATTTTAAATTACTAAATCAATCAATTAATTTTTCTTTAAAAACTAAAAATTCAAAGGCCTTCAGATGTAATTTGTTAGTTCAGAATTTTTATAGATAGTCCCCAACTAGTATCAATACTGAAAAGCTATTATATCAGCCATTTAATTAGACAATTCCTATTTTTACTACATTGAGTGTTCTTTTCACAAAGGGTCATTATGAGTCTTTGATTTCTACAACTTAAGCTAATTCTTTTGAATAATTCTACAAGATTAAAAAATAAAAATTAAGTTATTAATAAAGCCATAATTTTGAATTTTACTCAGAAATACTAGACTAATTAAATATAGATGAATTTTAACTTCAAATGTAAGTAGAAATTAAATCTTAAGAATCGATTCAAAATAATAGAAATGACAAGAATGATATAGACCCATAGTAAAAATAAATTTAAATAAACAATTTTATTCAAACAGATGAAGATTAAAACCTCAATAAGAGCTCTAAAGAAGTGTCTTTAAAACAAAAAAAGAGCAACGAGCAATTAAAATAACAAGAAAACTCAAATGAAATAATACAAAAATAATAGAGCTAGAGAGAGCTACAAAGTAATTAGGAACATTAGAAAAAATTATATGAGTAGTATTTAGCTTAAAAGAAAGGGTAATTAGAATAAAGCATAAAAATGAAAGAAATAAATGAAAAATAGAATTTATTAAATGAATAAAATATTAAAGAAACTAATAATATTTCGACTGAAGAAAGTATTCAAGTTAATAGGTAAACTTCTAAAACATATTTATCAAACTAAGGATAACCTAAATAAATGAATTAAAATTTGATTGGAAGCAGGTCATAAAAAAATTTGGAACAAAATATTTAACTTACTTTTAAATAAGAACAATAAAACAAAACTAAAGAATCAATAAATGATTAATAATAATAAATTATACATGAAGAAAGGTAAGAATAAGAGATGTAAAGCTTTAACTCAAAAATATATACTTAAGAATAAATAAAATAGCTTTAGAATACCTTTAATCTAAATACTAAAATTGATGAGAAACACAGCTTTTCAAAAGAATAAATGAATGAGCAATAAAAAAACATTAAGAATGAAGAAAATATCAGATATTAATTACAAAACTCAAATTATTTGACAAAAGAATCTCTTAAATAAAGCCAAGTAAAAAATTAGAATTTCGCTGAAAAAGAATTTCAGAAAAATTGTTAGCCAAAGAGTAAAATAGATGAGAAACTAAACCATTCAAACGAATAAAAAAATGATTAATAAGAGAAAATTATAATTGAAGAAAGTTAAGGAATATAAATCCTAAACTAAAACATTTTAATAAAAGAGCCACTTAACTAAAATCAAGCATACAATTAGAATTTTTTTGAGAAAGAACATTAGAAAAGCATTATGCCAAATACTTAAATTGATGAGAAACAAAGCCTAAAAGAATAAAGAAATTCTTAATAAAATTAAATTATAAATGAAGAAAAGATAAGAGAGTAAACACAAAATATAAGCTCAAAAATTTAAACTATACAAGAATTTAAATAAGATGAAATAAGTAATTAGAATATTGAAGAGAAACCCATATAAAAGATAGACAAAAATCAAATAATATAAGAAAAAAATATAAAAAATAATTCTAATGCCATAACTTAACAAAATAAGGAAATATAATAAAAAGATAAAAATATCTAACATAATAAATAAACTCCAAAAACAATAAAATGTGCAAATTTTCAACAATGCAAAAAGATGATTCCTTTAAATGATCTGTAAATTTCCAAAAAAGGACCATAATAAAAACCAGTATTTTTATGTAAATAATGTTAAACAGATCTAAAAAATGATACTATCCACAAAAATATCAAAAATCAAAAAGATGAAAATCTTGAAAATGAATATACTAATAAGTTACTTATTCAATAAAAAGATGAGTAAAAAAAATAAGAAATTCAAAATAAATAAGCAGAAAATAAAAACAATAAAATAGAATTAGAAACCAAAAATAAAAAATCAGATCTTGCTAACTAAAACAAATAAAAATTAACTACAGTTTAGAAAAATGGTACTAAAATGGAAAAAAGTCAATGTTTTTAATGCTAATTAAATGTTGAAAAATTAGGTAAATTTAAAAAATTTATTTTGTGCTCTGAAAAATAAAATAAATGGATTTGTGTTAATTGTGCAAAAAAATTAATTGAATAAGGTATAATAACATAAGATTGCATAATTATAGAGGGAATAAAATATCAAATTAGTAATAGCTTTTAAATTTATATAACTTAAAATTATACTTCACACCTCAAGGATTAAGAATAAATATTAATAAATAAAGATATTTTGATCAACTAAATACCACAATAAATAACATAATAAAATAAAATAAATAAAAATTAAAATTGTGAAGAGTGTAAGCTTGATGATAAAACTTTTATGCTCAAATTTAATATAAAATTTATTTTACTTAATGACTAATGTTAAAAGCAATAAGATTGTATTGTGTGCTAAAATTGCTTAATATTATTGATGACTAAACTTAAAGAAGGAGAATATTGCATAGAGAGCGATAATGATAAAAACAAATTATATTTTGTAAATAAATAAGTTAAAGAACAAATAAAATCATTTTAACAGTAATATTTTAATTTACTTTTTAAAGAGGAAAAAGTAAAATAAATTACCAAAATAAGAGAGGAAACATATAAAAATAGTGAAGAAGAAGAAAAAATTAATTTGTCTAATTAATGCCAAAAATAGCAAATAGATTAAATTGGTGAATAAAGAGAATAAAGAAATTATGCTTAATATCAATAAAGAGATAAGGATATAGCAAGCATTTAAAGTAATTAAAATAATGAATTAATTTCTAATTAAAAAATAAATGAATTTAGTAAACATCTTCAGAATAATTAAAAATAAAATCTAAACCATATAAACATTTCTTCTGATGAATTTGATATAAATGAAAAATTAGAAGAAAAATAAATTGAAGACCTAAGTAAATGTGAAAGCTGCCAAATTTAGTTAGAAAACGATCCATATAAATTTTAAACAATTGTAAAAAAGGGTGGTAAAGATGTGAGTGCTATGCTTTGTTGTAGTTGCTTTTAATAAATAGTTATATAATATAAAACATTACCTAAAAATAGGATTGTAATTTTGAATTAAAAATAATTTATCATAGATAATGATTGCTACAAATAATAATAAATGCTTATTTAAATATTTTTAGAAAACAAAGAAGAAGAAAAAAATTAAGAATTTGAGTAATAATAAATTTAATTATAATAATAAAAACTACAATAAAAACAAAATGAAATAGAATCTAAAAAATTATCTTTATCTGATGAGCAAAATTAAAATGAATAGACAAAGAATATTTAAAATAAATGTGAAAATTGCCGACATTCTGTAGAGTAAGACATATGTAAATATGAGCTTTAGGTAATGAATAATAAATAGATATTTAATACAGCTCTATGTCTCTTTTGCTTTTATGAACTCTTTAATGAAAATGGAATGATTTTGAATGATACTTTTGTTACTTTTAATTAAAAGTAATATTTTATAGAATCAAACAATTATAGATCAAAATATAAAAAATTTAACAGTTATATTAACGAATTTTATTATGAGAATGATAATAAATCAGAAATATCAAAAAAACATTAAATTGAATTAAAATAATTTTAAAATAAGGATAAACAACAATTCTATTTAAAAAATCAACACACATAATAATAATAATAATAATAACTACAATAAAAATAAACTGAAATATAATATAAAAAATCATCTTTATCTGATGAGCAAAATTAAAATGAAAAGACAAAGAGTATTTAAAAGAAATGTGAAAATTGCCATAATCCTGTAGAGTAAGACATATATAAATATTAAATTTAGATAATAAATAACAAATAGACATTTAATACTGTTCTCTGCCTTTTTTGCTTCTATGAATTATACAATGAAAATAGAACGCTGTACAAAGATACATTTGTTACTTTTAATTAAAAATAATATTTTATTAAATTTGATAATTATAGTTAATATTGTGAAATAGCCAAAAGTCACATTTATTAATTAAGTTTTGAGGATAATAATAAAGAAATAACAAAAATAAATTAAATGGAATTTAAATAGTTTTAAATTAAGGATAAGCAACCATCTTATTTAAAAAATTAGAAAAATTCTTATTTGCCTATTTCTTATTTGAATATAAAAAGCTAATAAATTTAAGATAAATAATCTCCAAAAAATACTAATGACTTAACTAGATTCAGTAATAGTAAATATCCTAATTAATAAAGAATTAATTCTCCAAAATAACCTATAAAAGCTTATAACTATCAATTTGAAATGTCAAATATTCCTAATAAAAATGAGGAATTAGAGAGTAGAAAAAATAAAATGATGAAAGATTATTCTCTAGATTAATATACTGCTAATTAATAAAAAATTTTACCAGCATAACAAAGCTATTAAAGAAATTCATCTTATGATTCCAGATCTAGAGCCAATCAATATTATAGCTAGTAATCAACCGATTTGCTTTATTAAGATCATTTTTAAAGTAGTAATGATAAATATTATAGTTAAAATACAATTTTCTAAACAAGACCATAATCTTCGGAAAAGGTTTATAAAAATAATTTGATTGTATCTCCCAGACATTACTACACTTTGGATAAAAAGAGTTTTAATAATTATTATCCCTATAAAAAATGAAATTAAGTTATTAATAAATTGATCTTAAATTAATCATAAATTTGAGTCTGCATTAATTAACCTTTAAATTTATAAATCTTAATTATTCTATTTTTTTTGCTAAATTTATTATAAAATATCACAATTTTATTTATTAAATTTAAATTTAAATTTAAAAAAAATAAAAAATTATTTTTTATAAATCAAGGTAATTTTTATTTTTCTTTAGAAAAATTTAAAGGTTTTTCTCAAAAGAACATAAACAAAAATACTTATTTATTAAATTGACACATATAAAATTTTTTTAAATGGCATAAATTTTGTAAGTAAAATAAATAATTATCTTCAAATTTTAATTGTTTGATGGTTAATTTATGCTTCTTTTGGTAATTTGTTAGGAATACATCCTTTTTTTATTAAATCATAAGCAAATTCTATTAAAGTAGTTCTATGATGTTTAAAGTGAATATTCAGGTCTTTCATAGCAGGAGTGTTATCCAGAATTATTCTTCTTTAGAAAAAAGGCTTTATAAGTGCTACTTACTTATCAACACATCCAGCTAAGCTAAGTAATAATTTACTTTCAACAGTGAATGAAGTGAACTTATAACTATATTGTGAAAATTCTTCCTTTAGTATCTGAATTAGATCATACATCCAGTATGTACCTTCAGTAAGTAAATATCTTTTCCCATCAGTCAATTATAATTTATCCTGATCAAGAGGAATTACATGAGCTAATGCGCAATCTCTAACATCGATAGTTGCGAAACTTACTTTCGGAATACCAGGAAGTTCATTCTTCATAGCTTTTAAGATAAAATCAGCACTCAAAAAATCGTTTGAGTGAAAAGATGGACCCTATATTTAAAAATGAATGTTGACTAAAAATATAATTTTTAAAAAAATTATCTTAAATTAGTTGAATTAAAGAAGAAAATTTTAATCAATCATACTTATATGACTCCTGGAAGAATTACAGTCAATTACAAACTTGATTTATTCTTTTCATAAATTTCCCAAGCCTTTTTCTCTGCCAATGTTTTGGATTTTTCATAGGGAGGACATTATTCCTTTTTATTATTAAATAAACAATTTAAATGAATTATAAGCATTAATCTTTATGTTGTGAGAAAATGAATACTAAATTAGACCAATCTTCTGATGTAAAGAAATTTTTATGCTTTATTCCAGTAAAAACAGTAGCCATTGAAGAAGTCATAACAATTTTTTTAATCTTATGCTTTAAAGCAGCCTCAAAAATTGCTTCAGTACCCTAGACAGCAGGTATGATTAGCTCATCTTCATTTTTTGGAATTGATTAAGGGTTTGGAGAAGCTGTATGCACTACATAATCAATGTCCTTCATAGCTAAATCCCAAGAACTTTTGTCTTAGAGGTCAGCTTCAACCAACTCTAAATTCTTACTCTTTGATGGATTTATTTAATACAAATGATCAATTTTCTTATGGTTCTATAATGACCTAACTGTTCCTCTTACTTAATAACCTCTCTCAAGCAAACAAAACAGCACATGACCCGCAAGATACCCAGATGCGCCAGTTAAAAGCACTCTTATTTAGTTATTATCTCTTATTTAATTCCCAATCATTTAAAATTGCCTATTATTTTTTGATTATAAAATTTTCATTTTAATCGAAAGCTGTTGATTAAATATAAACAATAAAGTTAGAATTTAACAGATAAAAATTACAATCTTGTACCAAAAATTAAAAAATTTGAACATTAATGTTTCTTAGTTACATTTAATGTTTAAATAAAATAAAATATGAATAATCAATTCTAACTTCGTTCTACTATATAAAATTGAAGCTTATTAGTAAAAAGAAAACATATTTAAATTGAAAATTATAAATTTTAGTAAGCAAATTTAATTTTTATAACACTTAAGACGAAAAAAAATAATTTTCTGATCATAATTTAATTTTAATATAAAAACATTTTTTTAGTAAAGTTTTATTTTATTGAACTTATTTTTAGTTACTCTTTATTATATTTTTTTATTTAAATGCATATTTTTTATTCAAACACTTTTAATGCAATAACTAAAGTTAATAAAAATTGTATAAATATATTAATAACCTGGAATTAATCAAATTATTCTTTTAGAAATTAGAATAATTAATTTTTTATTCTAAACAATAACTATTTTGAACAATTTACATTTTTTATTTCAAAGCAAATTTTTTTTTTTGAACAAAGAATAAATCCAGAGATTTTCCATAAATTAATTGAGTATGTATTATCCATAATAATATAAAATATTAAAATTTATGTATTTCATTTTTATGTTTTAGTTGAATCTTTCTATCTTTAACTAAATAATAAATTTGTATTATTAAATCTAGCTTTAAAAGAATAAATATCATTACATATTTTATTATAAACTAAAGAAAGATATTATTTAATATATTTAATTAAATATTTATGACAAAATAATATTCTTAAGTTTTAAAAGTTTATTAATCTTTTTAAAAATTCATTTTAAATAAATTTAATTTTTTCAATCAATTTTTCTTGTAAAATTTGAGTTTCATCTTCAATGAAAAACGAATTTATTAAAAATAAATATCTTTTTTCTAAATTAAAAAACTCAGAAACTTTGAATATTTTTTCATTTTATTTTATGGGTAAAATCAAAAAAAACTCTAAAAATGATATCCATATGTCAAATTAATAAATTTATTCTTAGAATTTCAAAAATGTAATTTCTTTGTTTTATGTTTATGAAGTAAAAATTAATTTTTTGGTGAAATTTCTTTTTTAAAGTTAAATTCTAAAATAGAAAATAATATAAAAAAATATTATTAAATATAATTGTTCATAAATTTTAGTGTTTTAAATAAACTAAATATTTGAAAATATGTTTAACTTAAATTTATTAAAATTATTATTATAAAAAAATTATTTTATTATTTTATCTAAAATCCCACTAATTAGGAGTTTAAAATAATAATTATTATTTGGGAGTGATTTTCTTCATTCAGAAATTGCTAATTTTATCAATAAAAATTAATGAATGAAAGAAAAAGCTTAATTTATATATTATAATTTCTAGTAATTTTTTACAAATAATTTTTTTAGGAATATAATTTAATATTTTTCAAGCCTTTTATATTTGTTTAATCAAACTAATCAAGCATACATAAATCATCAATATTTTATTTTAAAAATATATTTTTTTTTTTTGAATGAAGAAATTACAATCATTAATTTATTCAATAATTTTTTTAAAGAATATTTTTTAAGTTACAAAAATTTAAATCTATATTTTTTTCTTTTAAATAAATGTAATCAAAACTCAATAGCTAATAAATAAAATAAATTCATCTATATAAATAAAATAAATACGCTGTTTCAATATTTTATTAATAAAGGAAATCTCAGCGATTTTAAAATCCTTAAAATATAAAATATTAAACCTTATTTTTGTGAAGTTGATTTTGTTGATTAATATGGAGAATATTTTTATAAATTTTTTAATAATATTATTGATTAAAATATTTACTGGTTGAAATTTCAAAAAGATTTTATTATTATCATCTATCCATCATTTATTTAATTAAATATTTTACTATTAATGAATCTAATATTCTTGAAATAGTGTAATTTATATTAAATAATTTTTTTGATAATTATATTCAATTAAAATTTTGTTTGATATTTATCATCAACCTAAATAAAAGTCTACTTTTATTTAATTTTTTAGATGTTTTAAATAAACAATAAATTAGTATAAAGTATTACTTGCTAAAGACAGATTGACTTAAAAATTAAATTATCAAACTCATTATTTATTGTATAATAAAAATCTACTTAAATTCATAATATTTGGTTTAAGCTAATGTACTTATTTTCACCTTAATTTTTGATTTATTTACTTACTTCTTTTCTTTAATTAAAAATGCTTTAGATATTTATTTTTAGATAACTGTATTTTTTCAAAATAGAGAAAATATCTATTCGTTCTAACTTAATTTACTCATAGATAGCTAATTTTATATTAAAAAATTATTGAGAAATAAAGTGTCTTTGTTATAAAAATAAATAAATGAGAAATAACTTACCTTTTTAGTGATTAAATAAAGAGATGTTGGTTGAATAATAATTTTAGAATTTCAATTAGTATTAAGATAGAAATTATCTGACTTAAGTTTTTATAAAAATTAATAATAGAAATTACTAAACACTTAATTTGGTCCTGTGCGTAAGTAGAGGAAAATAATATTGTTAATAATTTGATAACACTAAATTCAAAGAAACATTAACTTAGTTAAAAATTAGTTAGATGATTTTATAAAATGTTATGTAAAAATATCAATAATTATTTAGTTATTTTGCTAATTAGTTATTTAATTAATTAATTGATTTACAGATTTGAATAAACAAATATTATTTGACTGACTAGCTTGGTCATCTTTTGAAATCTAATATCAATTTTCTGAAATAATTCAATTAATTAATATTAAAAAAATCAATTAAACATTAAAAAACATTTAAAAAAGACATGCCTTTTTCATTTACTTTTCTAATATTCTTAATAGGTCTTTTTAAATCAACACTTTAGGAAGGTTTAGTTAACTAGACTAGAAATCTTATTGAAGAGAATTAATTCAGAAGGCTTTAAAGCTGCTAATAGTATTGCGAAGTCTGTGATGTTGATGGAATATGCTTGAAATGCCTTGATGATAGAGTCTTTCCTAATTGTGTTTGTCAAATAGGTTTTTACAGTGATTCATAAGGTAAATGCTAGCCATGTAAATAGGGATGTTTGACATGTACAACAGCGAACGACTGCTCTGCTTGGTAAAATATATATTCATTTGATGCTGCAACATAGGGTTTGAAATGTAATATTCCTAGCACAGATGGTAAAAAATACTTTCACTTCTACATTATGGATTATTAATTGATTTAATTTGTTTAAAAAATAGGAACATGTCAAAGTCCTAATAATAGTGTCCTATTTTACTATACTAGGTTGCTAAACGATTATCAAACAATTGAAGTTATTTTTAACCAAATGATCTACATAAAAAGTGCAGCAAATTTTTAAAATTAGATAATTCCTTCACCTACTAACTGTGCCATATTTACTGCAGATTCTTCAACATTCATCAATTCTTTTAGTTCTTCATGTTCCATAGATTCATTAAAAAGAAATATATTTGTGATAAATTTATGTAAATAATTTAAAAGTTTTTAAATTTATAAAATGAATTATTTTTTTTAAATAATAAATAGAATCTAAGCCTTCAACATACAATGCTCAAAATCTTTTCCCTGTTCCTGAATTAGATCCAACTCAAATATCGATTTAATTAAATGAAAAATAAATATCTGTTACTAAAATATACAAGTTAGAAAATCAAATGAGAGTTCAAAACAATGTTCTAAACAGGATTTGCTTTTTTCCAAAGACTGAAGCGTTTATAAAAGTAGGTTCATCCTAACTATTTCTTGCTCAATTAATACCTGGTATGATATTCTATAGAAACGATATCCTAAAAGAAATTAATGTAGTGAGCCCATCATAATATGTTGGATAGAAATTTGATATATCTAATTATGATGATCCTAATGGGCTTTCAGGGTATTAAATTAGTTTCAAAAATACACCAAATGTTGAAGCCAGTCTAATTATTTCTATAAAATGCTCAATATTTGGTTCTTCAACAATATCATAAACAAAATTAAGTTTGTCTAATACTAAAGACACTAATAAAGAATAAGTAGCTCTTTAAATAACAGGACAACTTTATTTTATTAACTAAAACTTATAAATAAATTTTCAAGCTATACAGTTTTCATCATTTTAAGATTATGCAATAAAAATTATCACTCAGCCATAAGTTATGGACCCAGTTGTTAAATATTTAGCTTAAGCAGACAGTAATGGAGTAATTGGAATTGTTCTCCCTTAATTCACAGTCAAAGAGTCAAAAGAAGTTGTTTTTGTGGTAAATAATTGATTTGATTATCAATTTAATTTAATTATTTTTGTTAATTTTTTTTATGAACTTAACCATTAATTAATTAATAAATAAAATTAATTTTAATAACAAAATTTTATTAATAAAGTCTTACATTTATGATTTAAGTGGTTCTATTGTTTACCATTCATATTGCTTTGCTTTATTTGCAAGTGCCTAATATATCACAGAACTTATTTAGCCAATTCCAAAACAAAATCCTTTTTCTGATGTTTGGATCACTGTGGATACAAAAGGTTTTTTTTTAGGATAGTCATAAATATTAAGTTCCGATTTTTATGCTTAAACTTGGTATTGCATTGATCAAAACAAAAATTCATGTCTTAGTAGAACTGGATAGCCATTTTAGTTGAAGCAGCTTGGAAATAGAATGATGCTTCCAGCACAACAAATGTAAGTAAATATGAAATATACTTTCTACTACCAATTTAAAAGTATTGGTTTAGAATTTAGTAAGCAATACTAGTCATATATTGTTGATACAGGATCAACTTTTGCAATTGCAGCATTTTCTTATTAGCCTTTGAAGTAGGCAATAAATCTTAAAGATGTAGTCTATATAGTACTTTTGATTCAGGCAGATTTTCCTTACTAGATAGGAAATGCTCTTTTTAACTTAGAGATTTCAATTGGCAATAGTGAAACAAAAAAATTATAATCAGTCTCCAATCAAATATCATTTATTCCTGAAGATTATTTTCCTAACCCTGACTTCAATACTCCTATTTTAAATGTAAAATACTCCATTTATGACTATTACTTTTAGTAAACCATACCAATGCAAGATCCTAATTCCCCATTGTAGATCAATCTTAATCCTCCTAACTAAATGGCAATTAATATTGGTAATTAATTAATTCTTTTTATTAAATATTTAATAATTATTATTTTAAATAACTCATTTTTTTATTTATTAACAATATATTTTTAATTTAATAGTATCAAAGACTTATGTAGCATATTAAGATTAAGTAAAAATCTAATGCAATAATTGCCCTAGTAACATAAAATACTAATTCTTCTATTACACAAACTAAAGTGATAGGGATTTTGAACTTAAAAACCCTCTTTAAACAAAAAGAAAGATGCTTAGTTTAGAATAATAGCAATTATCAACCACTACGATCCTTCCTCCTGGAAACTTAATAATCATGATATTAGGATTTGATGTAGATAAAAACTTGTTTACTAATGTTACATAAGCTTTAACAGTTACTGGGACAACTTTTACAGAACAAACTTACACAAATTTAATTTAAAGTTAATATGCTAAAGCTTAGTTATATCAAAATTAAAATTAGATTCTAAATTAAATTTTGACCTATCAAACAATCATGGAAGCTATCGAATAGTATGAAAGCTCAAATACCTCTCCCTCAAACGTTACTTAAATCAAACTTAATATTTTAAATAATTTGTTGCAAGGCTAATGGTCTACTTAAATCAATAATATCTTAACTCTTTCAGGATAGATCATTCAAAGATTGCTATAAAGCTAAATTTAGTTAACTCAACAAATGTTTTAATCAGCTTCAACTTCTATAAAGAATAGAATATCCTTTATCTACTCTCAAGCAAAGGTACTTGACGCTGCTTCTTTAAATGCTGATACTATTTTGCTTTTTTAGAACAACATATAAATTACATCACAAATATATATGCAGCTAGTCAACAAAAGTGTTAACTTTGGAAAGTATTCGGAATCTGAGATAATCCAGAATACAATTTCTTTAATGAGCTCCTACTCATGTTTGCTCCAAACCAACCAGTCTCCTGTCAGACTTACTACTCAAGCAGCCTCTTTACAAATTGAAAAGTATGATGATATTACATTCTAATATAATTACTATTAATTAGTTGGTTAGAATCTAGATTCCATTACCCTATCCTAGAACTATTATGTCTTAACTCAACAATGGACCAACAGTACTTATGTGTATCGTGATGAACTTTAATAAATTAACTAGTAATATCTTACTTAGGTTAATAGTACTTATGTTCCATACCTTTAGAGAACTTATGATATTAAAATCCCTGCCATATTTACTGATTAACCATATGTTGTCTCTTCTTCTCGTAGAAGAAGATTCTTGCAAACAGCTCCACCTTCCTCTTTACGTCCTAATTTCATTATGAATTTTGGATAAGTCTCCCCTGATGAAAAGCTCTAGTGCATATAGCGCTAAACTACTGGTAATTGGGTTCACAATAGTTGCCAAACTAAAGTATTATATTAAAATAATGTAAGATCAATATCTTGTATATGTTAAACTCCAGATGTCACATCAATAATTGCTGATATCACTGGTTTAATAGAAAATAAAAATTTGTAAAAAATCTTTAGTGAAGATGGAATTTTAGGTCTCAGTAATCTAACAAACTGGTATGAATACGCAGCTATTTGGACTATGATAGGCCTTAATGTAGTCTTTATAATGTTAATAGTACATTTTATTGCCCTTGATAAGCAAGACTTTAAGGCTTTGCAAAGTAGCTCATCATAGAATGTTGATTCTAAAGATAAGCCTACCAAAAAGTAAAAAATGCTTTTGATCATTAAATAAAAAAAACTTGAAAGTAAACTCTCAGAAAATCTTATAGAAATTTAAAACAAAACGCCTTCTCAAAATAAATAGAATTACGATGAAATAAGGTAGACAGAAACGCAAAATGATCAAGAACTTTAATTATTGTCAAAGAAATAGCAAAGCAATTCAGACAAAAAAGAAAATATTTTTGAAAAATAATAACAAAACGAATTAAATAATAATCTCTAAACAGAAAATAAAATTTTAAGCAATTTAGACACTAAAAAAGAATCATCAATAAAATTGAAGAGCTAAAATTCAGTTAATGAAGAGGACTAAAATAAACTTGAAGCTGGAAAATCAAAATAATTAATTTAAATGAATGATAACAAGCAAAGCTTCCATAATGTAGTGACTACATAAAAAAATCTTACTAATGAGCAACTTAATGAAAATGAGTCAATTAATAATGAGCATTTATCCCCTAAAAATAAAGAATTACATAATATTAACTCAAAGAATTCTTCAGTTTAATATGATTCAGTGAAATCTAAAAAAATAATTACTGAGGAATAAATAGAAAAATAAACAAGTGTTTTAAATGAAAAATAGTTAAAATTGCAAATAAAATAAGAGAAGTAGCTTAAAGAAAAATAAGAAAAAGCAGAAAAAGAAGAGTAATAAAAAATAAAAGATGAGCAGGCAAAACAGAAACTTTAGCAATTCTTAGATAAAGAAAAACCTATTCTGGGAATATTTGCATTCCATTAATTCCTGTCTTTATTCTATGTATATTATGAAAAACAATCGAGACTTCTCAGATTGGCCATATATTACAATAAGTTAATATGGTTATTAACTTTGAATTCTATTTTTGGAAAAAATATAAGTGTTGTGTAGGTTATTGTTTTGAGTATAGTCACAACAATTGTACTCACTATTGTGACAACAATTATTTAAATGCTTTTATCAAAATAGAAGCTAGTCAAAATAGGTTTAGTTATTATATTCTTATTTTGCTTATTCTGTTATTATAGCATACTCGTTGTAATAGCAGGACAATCGGCTGAAGATGCTAACATGTGGATTTTATCCTATCTAGCAACATTTATCCTTAATGAATTCATAATAGGGCTTTTAATAAGTATTGGTATGTATTATGGTTGCAAAAAATTGATAACAAAAGTTAGCAACACAGTTCTAGAATTGTTAGGGGCTGCTTTGCTTTTACAAACCTTTAAATCTTGATAATACAATCATTACACTTTTAGTTACAAAATAAATATTTATAAAAATTACATTATAATTTATTTTTTTTACTATATTATATATTTTAAAAAATATATAATAAATATTCGTATATTATGTTAACCTATATATCAATTTAAATAATTAATTTAAAGACCTAAATTTGTTTAAGAAAATTTCATGTTTTTATATAATTTTTATCACTGGTTCAAAATTAACAAACACCCAGTTAATTTACATTTTATAAAATAATATATTTTAAATATAAATAATGCTTTATTAAAAAGAATATTTAAAAATATTTTTAATTTTAATTTTTATTGCTTACTTATTTACTTGACTGACTTAAAAAAAAATTCATTTAATGTTTTTACTATTCAAAATAAATTCCTCAGTTTTTAATTTAACTTTATTTTCTCCTATAAAAAAGTAAATTAAATATAAAATAAATTATTTGAAATTAATTTTTATTAAATTAGATAGTTAAAATAAAAATAAAATAAAATGAGTCTGAGTATTTATTTTGAAGTAATAATAAAATTTTAAAATAATATTAATCTCTCCTAATTATCTCAACAATTATTAGAATATAAAAATTTGCATTTTTGAATAGGAAATAAACATATTTGATATTAACCACAAATCTAAAAAAATAATGCTTGTTTTATTTGACAATGCTCTAGATGTTTTTTATTTATTTAATTGAAGATTAATTATTATAATCATTTATTTAATGAATTAGGACTTTTATTTAAAGCCACAAGCAAAAGAAACAGAGAAAGGTATAATTAATTACTTTAATCAAAGCAAAAGCTCAAATAAAACTTAATTAAGAATATAGTTTTTGAGAAATGGAGAGTTAGCAATCAAAGAATTCAATAGAGGATAGAAGCGATTAAATAAATAGAATTATCTAGGATTTGAAGAAAGATGATTATGATATTAAATTTTATGCTGGTTTACTCAGGAGATAACTCTGTATAGATATATAAAGCATTTATTCTGTTGGATCTATTTAAGACTATTCCCAAGGTTATAAAGTGCAATAGATGATTCAAGCAGTCAACTCTTTGGAGTCAACTTATAGCATTTGGTTAGGAATTAGAGGTGATGGAAATTGTTTTTACAGGTCAATTATTGTTCTATATTTATTACAGCTTTCTCAATAATAGGGAGTAGAAAGTTTAGAAAATTTTATTATAAGGATAGATAATATTAAAGAGATTGAATCATAAAATGATGTCCTTATAACAAATAAAAGCAAGCTATTTAAGCAAATATTTTTAATTTACCTTCTAGAATTAAGAGCAATTAAAATCAAACATTAGGAGATTAATCTGATGAAGATAGTTAATCAATACAACACTCTTCCTGAATTAGACTTTTCTGCAGTTGTTATAACTAGATATTTGATATACTAAACATTTTAAAAGAATAAAAGTCATCCCTCATTTTAAATGTTCATTGAAGAAGAAATGAGTAAATAAATTCCTCGTATCTTGCTTAAATATTCAGAATATGCAGAAGATATCATTATTCCTCTAGCCGCTTAAGTAATAAAAAAAATAAAATATTTAAAATGGTTATTTATTGACTTTTTAATACTTAATTTATAATAAAAATAGGCTTTTAAAATTCAACTAGTAGTATAAAACCTTTATAGATAAAACTCTGATGGTCCTATAAATACTGAAAAATTATTCTACAAACCTTTTTCTTCAAAATAAGAAAAGGAATATACTGAAATTCATGTTTTATTCACACAAGGTCACTATGAAGCACTCATTACTAATGAAACATATATTGATGATCCGAAATTCTATGACTACTTTGTTTCAAGTACCCCTCATTTTTTTTAATAAGAATAATACTACTCACAAATAATTAGAGATCTAAATTTAGAGCTATTTTAATAAAATAAATCTACATTCAGCAGGAATACAGAAATTAAAAATTAAGTTTCAAACTCTATCAACAGCTCTGAATCTACTAATTATACTGAGATTAGCTAGAAGACAAGTTAATCAAATAAAAATTCAGAAAATGCGACACCATAAACAACACTAAGTCAAGATTAAAGTATTTTAAGTAAAAAAGAATAGAATATTGAAGAGCACAGTGTTTAAGCAAGTTCTACCTAAAAAAATACTGAGATATAGAGTGACTAAAAAAGTTAGATTAGAGAAATTTTATAGACAAAAACAAGTGAGTAGAATTAGCTGGAACATAAGAATTTATTGAATGAAAAAAAAGATGGTTTAGACAACACGCACAACAATGGAATAAAAGGTAAGTTAATAATAAATAAATAATTCAAACAAATAAAATTAATATTTATTTTAAATAAATAAGAATAAGTTTAAGATAAGAATGACTAAAAGAGTAATGAAAAGGTTGAATAAATTAGTGAAGATATTTAATAAGAGAATAAAAAAGAGACCTAAAATGAAAATAGCAAGCAAGTCGAAGTTTAATAAGCATAAATAGAAGAGAGAAAAAATGAAATTGATCAAAGTTAAATCAACATTGAAAACATTACAAAAAATGATTAAATACAAAAGTAATCTTCAGATTTTATAGAAAAAAATAAGGGAGAGGCTTAAGCTTGTGAAAACGAAGAGTAGAATTAAGATTAATAATGTTTTATATGCAAAGAAAATTCAAATTAATATATCTAAGTCTTTCAAACACTGAGGAAAAAAAATCTTGTCCCTATTTGTGTTGCTTGCTTGCTTAAAAAATTATAGAGACTTTATTACTTAGATGTTGATAGTTATCTTGTATTTGGTATTAGTTCTATCTTTTATTTAGACAACTAAAACTCAGAAAAGTTAAAATAAATTATAAGCGAATAATTCAAGTTTAAATTATAAAATAGAAGATACGATATATTGAGAGACCCAATCACTTAATAAGATTTAAAAATCCATAAAGATAATTAATAATGCTTTGAATGCAAATAGAAAGCAGAGCAAAATATATTAATTTTTGAACCTAATTATAAAAATTCAAAATATGTTTGCATTTCATGCTTAAATAATAATTTAAAGATACTCTATACCGATAGCAAATATTTAGTGTATGGCCAAGGCCCTACCTATTATTTAGATGAACCAAACATGAACAAGCTTAAGCAAATTGTAGAAAAATAATTTAATTATGAGTTAAAAAATGGTAGATACACAATAGTAAGGCAGAACAAAACTTCAGCTGAATAACAATAAAATCAATAATTAAACTAATAAATTACTTAAAAATGTTTTGATTGTTAATAAATTTCTGAGCAATAACACATTTTAATTTCAGAATCAAAAATTAAAATAAATGCATAATATGTCTGTATTCCATGCTTACAAAAGAATTTAAAGATATTTTAAAGTAATGCTAAATACATTGTTTATGGCCAAAACACATTCTATTACTTGGATGAGATAAACTCTTAAAATCTAAAATAAATTATTGAATAGTAATTTACTTATGATAATTACAATGGAATTTATGAAATAAAAAGATAGAATAATTCATACATTTAATAAAACAATCAAATTTCATAAGAGTCAATAACTTAGAACTGCTCTAAATGCAATTAAAATTCAAAAGATTTTATTTAATACTCACAAAGTTATTATAAGAAAGATTCTTCAGTTATTTGCATCGAATGCTTGGAAAATAATCTAGAATAGTTTAACTTAAACATAAGTTTAATTTCTTTAAGGAGTCATTCTTTTCTTTATCTTGATGAATAAAACTGCTAAAAACTTTTAGCAATAATAAAAAGTAAATTTAGATACGAAGAAAACAAAGGAACATATTAAATATTAAGAAACGATTATTCTTTTAAGTAAGATTAAGAATCTTAGTGCTTTAAATGTAAAGAATTAAGTCAAGAATACATTTATGTTTCGAAAGAAAAAATAGCCAAAGAATAATTAACTTTATGTATTCCATGCTTATAAAAGAATATAATTGAGTATTATACCATTCTAAATTAATTCATGTGCAAATAAGATCTAAAACTTTTTGTCAACGATGAACAAACATCCTTAAAAATCCAAAAATTTATTAAATTAAATTTTAAGTATGAAAATAAAGGCTTTAGGTTAATAGTTTAAAGAGATAGCACTAGTAGCGACAAGCTAAATATAGAAAACTAGGACTCTAAATAACTTCAAAGTACAAATCAAGTAAAAATTAATAACTATACAAATACCCCTTAAAAAGAAAGATTTGAAGAAAGTAAAAATATTTGTGAAGGTAAAATTTAATTATCAGATTAAAAATTTACAACTCCAAAATAGGATAATAAAGACTCCTAAAAGTAGCCTTACAGCGAACCAATACTAAATTACCAAAATCAATAGAAAAAAATTTAACCACAATGTCAATAATTTGAACAAAAAAATTCAACAGAAAGTCATTAATTCCATGTTTAAGAGGAATGCATATATTGTCATCAAGATATCAAATAATTAAATAAAGAACTCATAATTTCAAGATATGGACATGGATATCTTTGTTAATAATGTGTTGATGATATTATTGATAGCTATAAAGAAGGAGAAAAATTTGTTTTGATAAATCATAAATTGTATGAATATTCAGATAACATGAAAAACAAGCTTTAAACTATTTTAGATAAAAAAAAAGAATAATAAAGCTTTATTTCTATTAGCAATGAAAAAAAATCTCATTTATCTTTAAATTCTGAAACAAAAGAGCTTTAGATAAGAAATAATTAAATAAATTAAATAGATTCAGAAGAAAGTAAAAAATAAAATCATAATTTGATATAATTAAAAAATTAATACTCAGATTTAACAATTTATAGTCAAAAATGCTATTCAGATTAATGCAATAATAGAGGGTTATATAATGTCTATTAATATATAGCAGATGATAAAGAAGAAGTAATGGAAATATACTGCAGAGATTGTTTAATTGATAAATTTTTAGTTGGATTTGAAAAAGGACAAATAATGGTGTATTTTGATGGTATGCTCTATAAGCTTGATAAATAATCTAAATATGAATTAGAAACAGAAAAAGATAACCAAAAATTTATTTAATAGAATTTTGATAGGTTAGATGATTTTATAGCTCAAAAAAAATGCACTTTTTGTTAGAAAAACATTACATTTTATGGTAGTCCTCTTTGCTATGGTTGTGAATACTCTTAAAGATCTTAAATTTCTAACAGACCAGCTTTGGCTACAGGACAAATGTCATTTAATGATAATAATTAAAATAATTTTTATCAAAAGAAATAGATAAATGATAAGGAAATTTCAAGCTCAGAAAAAAACACTTTTGGAAATTTAAATAACCAAGATAGATTCATCAATTCTAGCAATTAGTCTCCTTTAGAGTAGGATCTTATAAGAAACTCTATTGAGCATAAAAACAATTAAAGTTACAATTTATATGGTCAACATTATTATACAAGTCAAGATAGACAAATCTATGAAAGTAAACAAAATAGTGCTTAATAAAAGTACAAAATTACTAACGAACCTTTAGTATCATAACAGGAAAAGTAAAATTAAATGAACTGCAAAGAATGTAATAAAGCATTATATCGTAAGAGAGAAAATGGTTTATGCGATATTTGCAATTACTATAAAACAAAGTAATAAGAAAAATATTACATAAATTCTCATTGAAATCTGAGCAATTTATTTATTAATTAAGAATTTATAAAATTAAGTAAGTTTGCCTTTATTTATGTTAAGTCAATTACTATTTCTTAAAATTAAAAAAAAAAAAAAATTGAAGATTTAAATTAAAAAAAAGCATAGAAAATAATTAAAATATATTTGTGTGATATTTCTATTATTATTGCTACTTCTACAACTTAAAAAATATTTTGATAATAAGAAATAGATAGATAGATATAAATAGATTTTCCACTCTAATTTTTTATTATCTATTTTATTTTAATTGTTTAGTTTTTACCTAATAAATCTTAAAAAAATAATTTTCATTTAAATAATTCTATTTTGCAAAAAATAGTTTAATTTTTACTCTAAATAAATAATTTATACATTAAAAAATTTTAATATTCTTAAATTAATTTATGTAAAATTTTATTTTAACTTAATACTATCAATTAATTTAGTATTTTACAAATTTTTATATTCCATAATAGATAACAAAACTTTTACCTTATTTCGAATTAATTTAAGTAAAATATATATTATATTTTTATTTGTTACTTAAAAAATAAAAAAATCATATTTTGATTTTCAGCTCACATACAATAAATGGTTTAATTTTATAAAATAATCTCTTAATTAACTGATAACGTATGAATTTAAATCAAAAAAACTAAAATTAAAATAAATTAAAATTAAAAATAATTAAGATATATTTATAAATATTTTTTTTGCTTTTATATATTTAAATAATTTAATTATTTATTTGTTTGTTTGTCTGTTTGCTTTTTCGGAAGTTATAAAAGTAAATTGCTATAAAAATTAAATATTAAATCTCCATAAATATTAAATCGAATAAAGCTCTATGGAATCAAGTAAATATCAATATTCTTTAACTATATTTTAGTTTAAGCCTAGAGAGTTAAAAAAAATAAATTTTTTCTTGATGGTGTCAAGGATTGTTTATTTATCTTATTAGCTGTATTTAATTTATGCCCTAAAAGATCTAAGAAGAAGTAAAGAAATTTACTAGTAAATACCTTACTATGCTAATTTGTTAAGTATAGTTATTATTCTAATGAGAATGCTAGATTTCTAGTAATTTTTAAGCAAATTAAAAAGCTAATTATTGTATTAAATTCCTTTGAAGAGTAAAGATAACTATGAAAGAAAGTTATACTAATTAAGAGTAAGTGAATACCTAATTGATTAAGATTTAAATTATTTAATAAACTATAGTATGCAATTGCTATTCTGCTATTACTTGGTTTATGAGACAGAAAATTAACATTTATATCTCTTAACTCATCTTTTTAATTCTTTCTTTCAATTTTTGCTTTAAAATTTAAGAAGAAAAAAACCTGAGACATCTATATCTGTTATGAAAAAATCTGTAAAATCTGTTTTGTTTAGATTAATGATGTAGACTCTTATGTTTTTAGTTTTATTTAAACTTTAAGCTAAGATATTTTACCTGCTTTTGATAGGATTAAATATCTTGATTTGTTTCTCTCTTTAAAAGTTTATTTATGTTTACACTGAGTTCGAAATAAGTGTTCTTGAGTATTTTTATGCTGTTTTTTAAATGATGTTAGGCTTGCATTACAAACAAGATCTAGATTTACCCTTCAGTCATCTTGCTAAAAGAAAAAGTATTTTTTAAATTCTATAAATAATATTTTTGACATTTTTGGGATTTTATGAAGTTTTTGTTGGTCTATCAGATAAAAAATTTATAAAAGTTTATCTAAGAATTTTATTATTATTTCATTTACCATATTTTTGGATTTTCTATAAGTAGATAAAAAACTATTTTTGTTTAGGTCCTTACAACATCTACTGTTAGTTTAATAGTGATATTGAAGTATTTTAATTCATTTAAAATTATCAACAAAGTAAGTTAAAAATAACCAAACAGTAAGTTTCGATAAATTTAATTTCGTACCTTCAACTATAGGAGGATGCTTAGTAAAAGTTATTTGAAATAGCTATGAAGTTTTAGCATAAATATATATTTATTTAAGTTATGGGATAATTATTTATTAAAGTAAATCCAAAGCTAAAGAAAGTGTATTTAAATTGTTTTGATAAGCAATCAACTGATTTACTCTTTTAATTGTTGGAACAAAGTAGCTATTAAGATTATTTAATTCAAATTGGTTATGTAGAAAAAAATATTTCTGCGTTTACAGCAAGCTTAATCATTTAGTAATAAGAGCTAATACCATAATTGACCTTTACAGAAAATAAATAAAATATAGTATTAACTACTTATTTAAAGTCTTTCAAAAATGAAATATACAAATTAATAGTGTTTAATAAAAATATAAATTAAAAGCTATGTTTCTCTCCTTTATAAATTTACTATGATCTTTATGATTGATAAACTGTCTGTCATAAATAATTATGGATGAATGAACTGAATATGTTTGATAGTATCTCAAATAATAAAAATAAATTGTTTAAAAATATAAATTCACCAGATTTATTAGTATAAAATTTATATTTATTATCGCATATTAATTGAATACCCAATATTTTATTTAGAAAATTGAATATTTTTTTGACACTTATTTAATATTTTGGATAACTAAAAATATTAATAAATCGAAAATGGATAAATATATATATATATGTAATTTATTTTGAAAATTTAAATATTATTAGAATTAACTTTTATTTAACTACAAAAATACAAGTTGATTTACTGTAATTTATTTTTAAGGTTACAAGATTACCTACCTTATCTCACAATAAACTCATAGTAGGCATATGCAATAACTAAATAAAAAACAAAGTATCATTTTATTTGGTAAATTAATAATAAGAAAAAATGAATGAAGTAAAAAATTTATTGTCTAATTTAAAAACTTAAAAATTAAATAGTTTCTTTTAAATAAAAAAAATTTAAATTAAATTCAATTATAAATAAAAGATTTATAATATTTTATTAGTTAAATATATTCTATTTATTTTTTAACCCCATGGATTTATCTATCCACCATAAATCTTTAGATAGTCTGGATGCAGAAACATATCAGTTAAAATCAATACATATAGTTAAATTTAAATTAATAGGAAAATTTATAAAAGATTAGGGTGTTAATTATTAGAACTTGAAGTAAAATAATTTTAATTTAAACATTCTTTTATTTAATATATTTATAAATAATAAATACATAAATAAAAATAATCTTTTCATCTGATTTTTAATTTGCATAAAAAGAGCTATTTAATAAAATATACAAATTAGTACTTTAATAGTTTCTGTTTATGTTTACGTCAAATTATTAAATTTTTTATGAATTTATACATATTAATAAACTCAAAGGGAATTTTATAGGTATAAAAATCAAAATAATTATTTTATTTATCTATTTGTTAATTCTTTTTAGATTCTAAAAGTGTATCGCAGAAAAATAAGAAACTTATGTTTTAAATAAATTGCAAGAAAATATGTTTGTTTTTTGTCCCTTTCAATTATTTATTTTATGCAGTATAAAATTAAAATAAACTATTATAAAATATTTATAAAAAAATTTCTTATTAAATAAAATTTATTTAAAATTAAAAAAATTACCTTACAAGAAGTTAAGCTAAAAAAATTCAAACCATTAAAAATAAAATACTTTTCTTTTGAAATAAAGATCAATAATTTAATAAAAGGGTTTTATATTATAAAACTATTTGGAAAAAATTAATTGGAACTCTATAAAATACTAAATGTATTAAATTTCCAATTTGGTAATATAAATAAACTAAAAAAATTAAAAAAAGAAATTAAGCTATTAATAAAACAATAAAATATGGAAACAGATTAAATCATAGATAATTTATTAAATCAAGTTAAAGCGCTAGATTTATCTTCATTAAGAGAATATTCTTCCAACAGGAATACGGCAAATATTTGCTATATTGACTCCTTATTTAATATTCAATCTTAATAAAAAGCGGATGAAATTAAATAAGTATATAGCATATTGAGCTAGCAATATTCTTACTAATTAGCAGTTAGAGGAGATGGAAACTGCTTTTACAGAGCTATGATGTTAATGAAAATATTTTATTTAGCTTCAAATAATGACTCCCTACTTTTAGAAAATTTCATTTAGTTTATTTCAGATCTTAAAGACATTTAAATAGATGTATGTGCAGCTTAAGTAGTTTAAGGCTCTGGTCTATAACTTATTTTTAGAATTTTTCTAATGAAAATACTTTCTTGGAAACAGTAGCAAATAAATATTAACAGCTTGATGATAATAAATGAGTACAATTCCTTACCTGAAGTAGACTTTGCTGCATGTTCTATTGCAAGATTTATGATTTATCTTAGCTTTTAAAAATACAAAAGCCATCCACAAATCAAAGCTTTTGTTGACGAGGAGGTTTAATAGGATATCTATAAAAGTATCTTAAAATAGAATGAATACGCTGAAGGAATCATTATTCCTTTAGCAGCACAAGTAATATTTTATTTACATTCAATTTTTATTTTCATATTTGAAGACTTTATTTTATTCTTTTTGAATTCAAAGTAAAATATTCATTTATTCTAATCAAATTAGAGTTTTTAGTGTTAGCTTGTCATTTAAAATATTAACTGTGAGCAAGGATCTGCTTTAAAAATTAAAAAAGATAATATTGTTTATAAACCAATGGTGTTGCAACAACCTGACATTTGCTAAATTCACTTACTCTTTAGTAAAGATCATTATGATTTGTTATTTTTGAATAACTAGTGCGAGTAATTCCCTTTATTTTATAAAATATCATCTACTAAATTTAGTTTAGCTTTACAAAATATAAATTACTTCCAAAATTTCTTACTACATAGAATATTCTATTTGAAAAATCAAAGTAAATCTCAAATTTAAAATAATAATTTCTAAGCATAATAAGTAGAAATTTAGCAAAATTAAAACCAAAATAGTCTTGCAAGTTTTCGATCTTTCTAAAGCTGTAGAGAAACTCCTACAGCGCAATCAAGTAGTTAGCTTTAAAAAGCATAACAAGTGAACCCAAGTTATCCAAATAAGATACAATTAGATTAATCAATCAATATGAAATTGTAGGAAAACAGTAAAACTTAAAATAAAGAAATAAATCTTTAAAATAATTTATAGATAAATTAATAAAATAGTAAAAATCTTTATTTATCAAATTAATCCTCACCTAAAAATAGTGTTGAGTCAAATTAAGAAAATAAAGAATTAGAAATTCAAAAGTGTGTTTTATGCAAAAGGAAAATTTATGGCTTTTCTGAATGTTACTAGATTAAATAAATACAAAGCAACGTAATAGAAAAGATATGCAAAATTTGCAATTCAAAAGCTTCTCAAAAAGAGTAAGAGGACAAAAATATATTAATTATAAATTAAAAGTAATACATTTATTTAAACGTAAATTAAAATTAAGAAGATTAATAAAAAAAACAAAATAATCAGTAATTAAAGCAGCTTACCAAGCCTGAAAATAAATAATTCTTCAGAAATAAATCTGTTTAGCTTGATAGCTAAAGTTTTCCAAATTCAATTCCTTTAAAATAAACTCAAAGTGAGATCTAAAATAAATGGGATAGTTAACTAAATTTTGACTTTAAGAACTTTGATATGGATTTTAAGATTTAAAAGGAAGAAGTCTGCTTATAAAATAGTGCGTTTATGATAAATTAATCAATATAATAGAATACTACTAAAAATTCTATTTAAAATAAAATTAAATTGACTTCAATTTAATTACCTTTAAACATTAAGAAAAATTAAGTTGCTCCCTTATTATTTGAAGAAGAGGAGGAAGGAGAAAAAATAAAATAATCTTCAAATAATAATAACAAGTAATACTTTACAGCTACTCTTAAATCTCCTAATAATGCTGAATTTGGAAATTTATCCTAAAAAGATAATAATTAGAATGCATAAGTTGCCAATTAATTGCAAGAAAATTAAAAAAATGAGATATTTAAGTGTATTTAATGCAAAGGACCCTTCAAATCTCAAAAGTATATATTAAAAGGAAAAAAGATTGCTTTACTCTGTGCAGAATGCCTTGAAGAAATATTAAAAGATTTAAAAAAAGATCAAAATTCTATTACAATAGACGGTTAGAATTATAAGTTTGGAGATTCAATTATATCTAAAATTAAAGAACAAAAACTAATAGAAAAATAAATTTAAAAAAATAACATAGTCAATCCAAATCAATAATTATAAAATGACTAAAAATAATAAGGCTCTAAAAAAATTTAAAATTAAATGTAAGCATTTTGTTCTAAATTGCAGTGCAATTTATGTAACAAAAATGAATATTCAACATATGAAATTAGTGAAGTTTAAAAAGGAGGAAAAGAAATAATACAAAGAGTATGCACAAACTGTGTTTCCTTGTTTGTATCATATTATAAACACCCATCTTAAATAGTTAGCTTTGATAACAAAACATATAAAATAAATGAATTGTTTGGTAAATACATCTATAATCTATAGTTGTACTAAGTAAAAGCTGAAGCATATACTTACTAATAGTTTTTTAATAGAGAAGGACATGAGAAGCAAAAGTGCATTATTTGTAATTCTTTTTGCAAACAGCGATATCCTGTCTTTAATATAAACAATCCTTAAACATAGTAATTGTTAGGACATTTTTGCTTTTACTGTAATTTACATTGCATAAAAGATGGTAAATATTTTATTTTCTAAGAAAATACCTATATACTTGGCGAATAGCTCTAAAAGTATGCTTTTGAACATATGCTCGTTTAAATAGATCTATACAATAAAATTTCTAAATGATTTTAAAAAGTAAAACTTTTAATTCAAAAAAATTAATTTGGATTATTTTTTATTAAATAAAATATTAATAAGAATATAAATAATTTAGTTATTTACTGTAAAAATTTACCATTAAAGGTTATATATCAGTAGTTATTAAGAATTTAAATTATATTGCAATCAGAGATTAAAATAGAAATTTAAAAATTGCCTGTTTAATTTCAGCAAAGCTTAAAAATGAATAGATTAAAATAACTTTTTATTTTCTATTTGCAAAATAAATCAATATATTCTTATAAATGTATCAGATTTTATTTTTTTACTGATTTAAGGAAAAGTTTCCTCTATTTTATGACTTTAATATAATAAATCATGTAAAAAGTTGGCTTAAACACTGTTATTTAGCTCTATCAGAATAGTAGAATTTTATTTCATGGAAGTGTTAATATATTATTTTTGATTAAAATTTTTTAAATATTTTTTAAATTGAGTCATAAATATTATTTGTGTGAAAATTACTATCTTCATTTCAAACATATTCCTATATTTTTAAAACATTTTTAGCAACAATAAACAATAAATCGATTTTTAGTTTGGTTAATCTATTTTGATTCTTAAAAGTTAACTTTGATTAATAAATATATATTGCATTTTCTCATTAATCAAGACTTTATTACAATTAAAAATATTTTTTTTATATTAAGATTAAGTCAACTCAATTTATTGATAATAGAATTTTTTGTAGGCTTAAATAAGAGTATTTACTTAATGTATATTTTATTTACGAATATGAATTATAAATTAAATTTTATTTAATTATTTTTCATAAAAAGTTAGAATTATATATGTAGAGAGTTGGTTAGTTAATTAAATCTATAAAATATTTAGTTTTTTATTAATTTATCATATTTAATTTGGAAATTAATTTGTTTAAAATTGATTAATTGATTGATTAAAAAAATTTTGTTATATTCACTGTTGGTCATAATTTTAAATTATTTCTGATCATATTAGTTGGCAATACAATACCTCTATCTTTTGATGTTTTGGTATTTTAAAGAGTCTATCTATCTATTTGGATGGATTCTTTCTTTTTTTCTATCAATCAATATTTTTAGATAAGAATTAATTAGATTTTATCTAAGCAGATTTTGTTGTAATTGTTATAGAATGAATTCTTTTTGATTGAGAGTGGGAGTTTATCTTTATTTTATTGAAGAAAAGTATCTCAGCCTTAGCTTTAATTATCAGATTTAGTATTATTTAAAACAATTAAAAGATTAAAATTCAATAGACTGACTCTTAGAAATATAGTAGAAGAATGGATATTTAAGAAAATTAGTCGCAATAAGTTGAAAAACAAGAAAGCTTATAGAAATAAGATGAAAATGTAGACAAGTTGAAGCAGATTAGGGCTTCAATTAAGAGTATGGAAGTGAAATAGATCAAAGAATTGAGAAGACTTCTTAGAATTGAAAACTTGCAAAATGTTGAGGAGATAACTACTTTAGAGTATTTAATGATGATTATGAATAACAATGCATTGAGAAGTGCTTTAGTATAATTGTAGAACTAGTATAAGATGATGTATAGGACTCTAGGAGATGGAAACTGCTTCTATAGATCTATAATGTTAAATAAAGTCTTCTGGCTTGTTGAGTAAAAGAGCTGCGAGCCACTTGAATAATTTATAATATAAATAAATAACATTCCTTAATTGCAAACTATATTTTAAACAGTTCCAATAAACGCTAATAGCTTAAAATCTATTTATCTATTGTTCCTATTCAAAATTCTCGAAGATAAAAAGAGCAACAAGTAATTGAGAATGCTTGATATTATTAGGATGTACAATAGCTTGCCTGAAGTCGACTTCGCGAGTGTTATTATATGCAGATAGATGATCTTCAACACTTATGAGTCTTTTAAAGTTCATGACTCTTTTAAAGATTTTCTAGATGATGATATGAAAGAAAAGATAGAATTCGTACTGTTAAGATATTTCTATGAAGCTCAATATGTAATTATTCCCTTGGCTGCTCAGGTAAAATTTTGTGTTTATTAACTTTTATTTATAAAACTTTTTATATTTAATAGACGTTTTAATGCGAGCTTAATATTTAGAATTTTTATTAGCCTGATTAGTATTCAAGCAAAGTAAATATCGAAAAGCTGAATTACTCACCAATCGAAGTAGAAAATAAAGATGCTTAAATGCCCAGTTTCAACCTTATTTATAATGGTGGACATTATGAGCTAGCTATTTTGGATTCTTAAGCTAAAACAGACTTTTACAAAATAAATAAACAAATGATATCATTCAACACTCAATATTCAGACTAGCAATATTATTATTTCATATAAAACTTTATATAAAGATATCAAACAGAAATTATAAGAATGAATAACATAGAAGAAAGTGCTTTCTACAATTAATAAAATGGCTCTAACGAAGAAGAAGAATATTAAACTCTAGATTGGTAAAAATTGCAAAGAAGTGAAGAATACAGAAGATAGAATTATGAAAATTAAAAGTTGAAAGTATTAATTGAAAATTTGTAAAATGAAAACAATTAGGTGAAACAATAAGACGACAAGCTACAACAAAAGCAATAGTCGAACTCTCAAATAGATTCTTAATAAGAAAAAAACTCTAAAAACTAATAAAATGAAATACCTATTGAACTAGATGAAAAAAATTAAGTAAATAAAACTAATTAATATTAACCAAAAATTTAACAAAAGTCATAATCTTCTTAATTTGATTAAAACAATTAAAATTTATAGTTTCAAAATCTTCCTTCAAAAAATTCTATGACCAATTAATAGAATAACTCAGGAGAAAATGACGTTAATAATATGAAATATGACTAATAAGATCAGCGCGTATTAGACTTTTAAAACATGAAAAGAATATGTGTGTAGTGTAATAAAAAACTTCCATCCGATTTTAAATATCCTTTTTTTGTTCTCCCTATGGATGAAGACATACCAGATAATGTGGTCCTAAGAATTTGCACTGACTGTTTTATTGATCTTGCTAGTAAATATCAAAATGACTAAGAATTCATTGAGGTAAATGGCAAACTATATCAATTAAGTCCAAGATTAATTGGCGAATTAATTTCATTCATTTAATAATCAAGTAAAAAGAATTAAAAAAACTGACCTAAATCCTAAATTGAATAAACTTAATAAAAAATAAACAAATAAATAAATAAATAAAATTTAAATTATTTTTATATTCGATTAATTGTTTTTATTTTAATTTCTTCTTAATTAACTTTACTCAAAAAAAATCAATTGAAATGTATATAATATACCACATTTTATACTTAGTCCATATTAATTTAAAATATATGCTTTTTTAATTGGACATCAAAAATACACTGAACATAAATATTAAAATATTGTCAAATGTTTTAAACTCAGAAAAATGAAAATAATAGGTATTAAATCAAATTAATACAAAAGTTTTTTTAATAAAAGAAATTAATTGTGATTATTTAAAAAAAATAGCAACTTTATTTACATCCTTTGAATAGTTAATTCTAATAAAAGTTATATGAAAAACATTATAAAAATATATTTGTGTTTGCTATTTTAATATTACGTAAAGTTTTGGGTTTTTGTATGTAAATTATGCTTTATCTACTGTTATATTTGACTGGAATCATATGTTTATTTAAATTAATTAAGTTAACTGATCGTTTTTATTTTTTTTTGAGAATTTCAAGATTTAAAAAAACAAACAATAAGAAATGGAAAAAGAAATGTTCGGACTTCACTAGTAGTAAAGATTCTTTTTGGAAGAGTATAGTAGCAATTTAGGAATGGAATTAAAGGAGATGAACCATAGAAGAGGTCAATCATTAAATAGCGAAATAGATCTTTCGAAAGTTCACAATACCAGCGTTTAAAAAGATATTACCTATAGTAGCAACAACATTGCGAAATTATTACCAGAATATTATAAAAGTAATAGTAACAATATTAGAAATGATAATGAATAACTTATGTAAAATAACTTGGAGAATACTAATATTTAAATTACTGTCAATGAAAGGGCATTTACAGCTTAGTCTTTCCAAAATATTAAAACTGAAAACATAAATAATTAGGAAGATAATAAAAAATATGATTAGATATAAAAAAAGGCTTCGAATTAACAATCCTAAATATAAAAAGGAAAGGCAGCAAATGATGATCTTAGAAAATAATAAACTAAATCTAGGAAACAAGCCTAAAATATATTAAATATAACAAACCAAAAGTTTTAAAATATGAGTTTGATCTCTAAAGTAATGAAAAAAATTACTTACTTCTACTAAATGTATACTTCGAAAGGACGACTGAAGTTTTTAGAGAACTCAAAAGTTAGAGATATAATTAACGATAGCAGTGAGTCAAATTAAGTAAATTCCTCTCTTTTCTTTTAAATATTTGATATAGCAAACAAACTTTTAAGTCTCTACGAAGAACTTTCAAACAAATACATTCCACTAATAGATGCTTATGGAAATGTTAACTTGTTCTTGCTAACATTTTACTTACTATACAATTTCTCATTCTTCTATTTACTTTCTTTGGTATTAGTTTTTGATATGCCCTCAGATTTTTTTGAGTATATTTACTTTCTGACTGGAACTCTTTGGATAATTTAATCGCTTCTCTAGATCAATACAAAAATCTACAAACCATTTGAGCCTGAATACAAAAGGAAATAAATTTTTATTAATTACATAAAAAAAAGATCATTTTTTGATCTTTTACCAATTGTAATTGTATTTTATCTTCAATTTGAGCTGGATGCAAATCTATTTTTGAAGTGTTTACTATTTATTAAATTAAAAAACATAGTCACTAACGTTTATGAAATACAAAAGCAACTATGCATGATGTTTAAAAATTATTTCTTCATCAAATTGGTTAATTTGATCTTGTAACTCTTCTTAATAGCTCATATTCTATCTGTTTCATGGTACTTGTTAGGTTTATTTGAAGTTAAATATATGAATGAACCAAAAACATGGTATGACGATGGAATTTCTAGTGATTTAGTATGGTGGAAAGTGTATTTATCTTCAATTTATTGGTGTTTAACTTTGATGACTACAGGTTCAAACATAGCCACTACAGTATCACAAACAATGTTTACTTGCATATCAATGATATTTACAGCTATAGTGTATGGTTACTTAATTAATGTTATAGGAATCATACTTTCAGAACTTGATAAGGTGAATGAGACTAAAAATAGAGATATCAATATTGTTAATGAATATATGAGAACAAAGAACATTTCAAGGTTAAATATTTTTTAATTAACTTTTAATAATTTAATAAAATCACATACATAATTTTGGCAATATTTTAATTAAATCAAATTATTTTTCCAGCTTTTTCAGTCTAAAATATCATTAAAATATACATTTACTCCTCATTAATTCTTATATATTTTTTCAGCATAAAGTAGTGAAAATTTTCTATTTCTAAGAGTTTTCATAAAAGTGAATAAATATTTTTTTTTGTAGCTTAAATAATTAAATAAAAGGTATTTAAACAAACAAACAAACAAAAAAATAAATAAAAATAATTTTTGAATAATTTTTAAATCTATTAAAATCAATATTAATTTTAAAATTTGATTGTTTTTTTTCAAATAAAGGACTTTAAGAACAAAAGTAAATATGGATATCGAATATTACTACACAAATAACAAATCTGATGAAACAGAAGATGAAGCTGAAGTTTTAAATAAGCTACCTTAAGAACTAGTTGATGAACTACAGATGGAGTATAGCTAACAAATTATTTCTAAAATAAATTTTATTGCAGAAAATTTCAGCAAGTAATTATAGGATGACCTTGGATACGTATTTCAAGAAGAATCTTATTTCCCAAGCTAAACAATTTACTCAGAAAAAGATACTATGAATTTATCTATTTTTTACATTTTATAAGGAGAAGGTAATTTGTTAGTTACTTTGTTAATTAATTTCTTCCTTTTTACAAATTTTATTTAAATTATTTATTTTTTAATTCAAATTTAAAGTTACTTTACAATAAAAAATTGCTGATGACCCAAGTACTTTAAAAACTTATAAGAATCTCAAGAAGGGATAGATATTTGGTGAGATTTCTTTCATCACAGATTAGGCTAGGGAAAGCACAGCTATCGCTTCAAAATATACAAGAGTAGTTAAAATCTTAAGAAATGACTTTCTACGTATCATATAAAATGATACTAAAGATTTTGAAATTTTTAAGTAATTGAAAGATAGTATTATGCTTTATGAATCTTTTAAAGAAATAGATGTGAATTGTAATATATGTGGTAGCTTCTATCATCAAGAAATTAATTGTAATCTAGTTCATCTTTCTAAATAAAATATGTACTTTTCAAGTATGTTTAATCAAAGATAGGTTCAAAGTCGCTAAAAGCAAACAAGGAATAAAGCAAAATTTAATTCAATTTTAAAGTCTCATTTAGTTAGAGAAGGAGTAAATAATTTTGTGGAGACATATTAGGAAAATAGCGTCAATAGTGAATAAAGTAATTAAGAAGATGATTATGAGGAAGAAAAATAGAATTAAGCTTTACTTAAATAATAATCTACTCGCCAATCATAAGATATTACAAGCGTCAAAAAGTAAATTTTAATAGAAAACTTGTAAAGAAGACCCTCACAATTGAATAAAATGATGTAGTCTCCTTAAAGTAGCTAATTGATGAATAATCAAGAATAATCACCCTAAAATTCTAACCTCAGCATCGGTGAGAAGGTTGGTCATAGTAATTTCACTAAACAAAGTTCAATATTTGAAAAATAATAGAGTGAAAATAGATTACAATCTGAATAAGAAAGGAAAAATTCAAATCAAAGTATTTAATACTCTGTCTAAAACTTATAAATAGAATAACCTCAGATAATTTAGCATAAAGGAATTAGTCCTTGGCTTTTTGAGCAGATCAAAGAATATGATTATTATTTTCCCAAGGGTAATTCAAAGTATTTTTTCGCCAAAGCAAACAGGTTCATAAGAAAATAGATAGCAAAATTAAATAAGTAAAAAAAAAATAAGTGAAGCAAATTAGTAAGTAAGCTAAACAAGTATTTAATTATAAAATGTATGTTAGCTTTCTTTTTATATTCCTCCTTTAAACTATTTATTCAATTTGTTAATAAAAAAAAAATATCTACCTTAATCACATGTTTATAAATTTTAAGAAAAATTAAACTTAAAATTTAAAAAATAAATCAAAAAGAGTTATTTAGATAAAAAATAAATATCTAATTTGAATGGGATCTAAGGATTTACAGTAATTTGTTTTTTTTCTCAAAAATAAAAAAATATTGTTGCTATTTAATAAAAGTATAAAAAGATTAGTTAAGTATTTGTTTATTTTTTTTACAAGTTTTAAATATAAATAACACATTTCTTTTAGTTTTTACATTTAATGTATTAATTCTTTATTTTTTTTTGTTATCATGCTACTATTTTTGGTATATTTATAAGTCTAACTAGTTTTTTACAAATTAATTTTTAAAGATATTTATTACTTTTTAGATATTCATCTCTATTAAAATAAAATAATTTAATATATTAATTTTATTGAGAATTTGAAAAATTTTTATTTAAAAAAAAATGTGATGGATGGATGAATATAAAATCTCCACAAAAACTTTTTGGTTAAATGTTTTCATTTTATGTTTTTAATTTTCCTAATATTTTTGTTTGATACTGTAAGTGTAAAAATTTGGAATGCTTACTTCATAAAAAAGTCAAGACTGTTTAACTATGTAAGGGTCTATAACAGATTTTATATTTAAAAAATTAATTAACCATCATTATACTGATTGCTTTATGTTTAAAAAAATTTAGTTAAATATTATGATTACATACAGAAATATTCTTACTCAGCATATACCTCTAAAACTTTTATATTATTGCAAATTTTTATTTACTAAATTAGCTTCAATAAACTTAATTCACTTATTTGTGTTTCACTAATTGAATATGAAGAAAAATCATTAACTTAGTTGACAATAAAACTTTTAAAATTCTACTTAATGCGTATATGTAATGACTTTAACTCCTTAAAATTAGGAATGTATGAATTGAATTTATTTAAACCGTCATCTTTAATCTAATTATTCCTAGTTTTATTTTAATAATAAAAAAAATAAAATAATTTATTTATTTATTTTTTACGAAAAACTGATATTAAGATGGTTGAGTTTTAAAAATTAGATAGATTCCATGAGAGAGTTTATTCCATTTTCGTCTATTTCATTTTAACTTTATAAAAATATTTGATATATTTTAGAAATAAATTGACAAATATATGTAAAGCTAGTAATTACTAAAGTAGTAAAGAAAGGTTTTGCAAATTTGTTAGATAAAAAAGGCTTTTTCCTAATACACCAATTGAATCATGTGAAATATTATTATTTCTAATTATATTTAGAATAAAATTAAGAAAATAGTGAGTGAGTATCTGAAATTTTTTTACTCTAGCCTTAGTTCTAATTATTCTAATTAAATCAGCTTAGATATGTGTTTTCCTAACATTGAAACTCCTTAGTATCCTAGTGAATTTGATCTTGTAAATAATATTAAATATAATGAAATTAATATTATTGATTGATTAATCTTACGATAAACCAAGTACTAATTTCTTTAATTTTTTGGACAATTATAAGTTACTACCAAGTTAATCAATTGATGTATCAATTAAACCTATTCCGCTTTTTATTTAAATTTATTAAATTTTTTTATAAAAAATGATAGTTTTATTTACTATTAATAGAACATCAGTTCTTCAAGATTCTAAAATTTAGAAATCTCTACATAAGTATTATTCAAGCTCTACAAATGATGATCATTTATTTTTAGCTTTTAAAAATATCCACTACTTTAAAAGTTGATCATTAATTGAGTAATACTGTAGCATTTTAATAATTTATAAGCATTTTTATATGTATTTTTCTAAATATTAATTCTTAATTTCTTTAAATTATGACATTTGTTTAATTGATTTCCAAGGTCAGTCATTTCAACTTCTTCAAAATCACTGTTGGATTACAAAAATAAATTAAATTATTTTCTAATTTAAATTAAACTTTTTTTAAATCCAAATATAATATAAAACTATATATTTTAGTAAAATTAATCTATTGAGGAAGTTTTACAGTTAAACTAAATGCATTATTAAAATAAATAAATAGTTTACTCTAAAAAATTAAGCTGTAGTTTCGTCAAGCTCTTATTTTTATTTATTTCTTCTGCCAAATTGTTTTGACTAAGCAATTCAATACTATCAATTCTTAATGTTCAATAATAAATGAAAGTATGTTTAATAAATATATTTAAAGCTAAGAATTTACTTAATTAAGACCGATTAATAGTCTTAATTTGGATAATTTGATATCGACTCTTTGAGTAAATTAAAATTAAATAATTCTTCACCATTTCCCTTTCTAATATTTGTAATAAGTCTAACAATCAATTTCGCAAAATATAAATATGATACTTGAATTATATGCAAAAAAAGGGATAATTATGGGTAGACTAATTTAAAATAAAATATTTCTATTTATAATTGAATTCACTGATAAATAAATTACTTTTTAATTTGTTTCTTATATAATTTAATCTTATTTTTGCATCTTATTTGAAGAAATTGTTTTATTTTAAATAATATTTGTAAATATTAAATTGAAATAATAATTAACACTAAATTAATAATACTGATAAGTGCTATTAGAAACTTAATTCATTATCATAAATTATTTAATTTTTGAAATTCTATGTAAAAAAGGATATTTTATTTGCTTGGTTATTAAACCATAGATATATATATTCTATGAACATTTTTTTGTATTTTTTTTGGTTTATTATTATTTTCTAATATGAGTATGTTAGTTAATAAGGAATTTCAAATAACTCTTGAATTTAAAATAATTTATTTAAATTTCTGAAGCATAAAGTTTTTAAATAAAACCATGTACTCTCATTTATAAAAACTTTCATCAGCTCATAATATAACCTATTCAAAAATCTAATTAAAAAATTATATATAAAAATATTTTCTCAGATATCTTTTGAATTTATATAATACATAAATAAATAATTGGCTGTTTCATATAATAAATAATTTAAAACTCCTCAGCTGAATGGTTAAAATAATAAAATTTTAAACTTTACCTTTTTATGTTTTGTAAAAATATTGCTCCTAAATGCTTTTTTGTAGTATTCAAAATTTATTGAAGCAATTATTATTTAGCAATCAATAGAAATGCCACTTTCAAAATAAAAATTTAAAAATAGTAAGAACTTAATTTTTTAAAATTAATTTTACAATTTACTTACTTATTTTTTTATTAAAGATCAATTTGATATATTTAAAATAAAATAATCAAATAAAAAAATTTATTTTTTATGATAATCAGTAGAGAGAGTATGAAAAAATACATGATTTTTACAAAAATAACTCAACATTTAAACTTGAATAACTGCTGAATTCCAGCATCATTTCTTACTCTACACTTAGCAAAATTATTTGAGAAATTACCTTATTTATTGTCTATTTTTTTAGTTAAATGTAACTTATTTTAATGGAGAATTTATTTACAGTAGTTTGTTTTTTTACTCAAAAATAAAAAATAATTTCTAAAATATATCTAGTTTTTAATTAATAAAAGTATACAATAATAAAATAATTGTTTATTTTTTTACAAGTTTTAAAATATAAATAACACATTTCTTTTAATTTTTACATTTAATGTATGAAATATTTATTTTTTTGTTATCATGTTACTATTTTTGGTATATTTACAAGTCTAACTAGTTTTTTCTAAATTAATTTTTGGAGATAATTATTACTTTTTTGATATGTTTCTCTATTAAAATAAAATATAATAATTTAATTTATTAATTTTGTTGAGAATTTGAAGATTTTTCATTTTAAAAAGAAATATTGATGGATGAGTAAAATCTGCACAAAAAATAAATGTTTGGTTAAATATTTACATATGATACTATAAGAGTAAAAATTTGAAATGTTTACTTCATAAAAAAAGCAAGACTGTTTAACTATTTAAGTGTCTACAACAGATTTTATATTTAAAAAATTAATTTATGATCATTATACTGATTACTTTATGTTTAAAAAATTAAATTAAATATTATAATTGAAACAGAAATATTCTTACTTAGCTTATACATCAAAAATTTTTATATTTTTGCAAATTTATATTTACTAAATTAAATTCAATAGGCTCAATTCACTTATTTGAGTATAACTAATTGATTAAGAAGAAAAATCATTAAATTATTTAACAACAAAACATTTAAAATTCTACTTAATAAGCATACGTAATGATTTTAGCTCCTTAAAATTAGGAATATATGAAATGAATATATTTAAACCATCATCTTTAATCTAATTCTTCCTAGATTTATTTTTTAAAAATATAAAAAATATAAAAAATAAAATATTTAAATTTTTACGAAAAGCTGACACTAAGATGATTGAGTTTTAAAAATTAGATAGATTCCATAAGGGAGTTTATTCCATTTTTACTGATTTCATTTTTACTTTTTAAAAATATTTGATTTATTTTAGAAATAAATGGGTAATTTATGTAAGTATGTATGTATGTTTAAAGTCAGTCAGTATTTACAAAAATAATAAAGAAAGGCTTTGCATATTAGTTAGATTAAAAAGACTTTGTCCTATTACACCAATTGAATCATTTGAAATATTATTATCTCTAATTTATTTATTAATATTAGTTATATTTAAAATAAAATTAAGAAAATACTGAGTGAGTATTTGAAAATGTATTACTCTAATATTAGGTCTAATTATTCTAATTAAACCAGCTTAGATATGTGTTTTCCTAACATAGAAACTCCTTAGTATCCTAGTGAATTTGATCTTGTAAATAATATTAAATATAATGAAATTAATTATATTGATTGATTGATCTTACGATAAACCAAGTACTAATTTCTTTAATTTTTTGGAAAATTATAAGTTAATACCAAGTTAATCAACTGATCTATCAATTAAACCTAGATTACTTTTTATTTAAATTTATTAAATTTTTTAATAAAAAAATGATGGCTTTGTTTACTATTAATATAACATCAGTTCTTCAAGATTCTAAAATTTAGAAATTTCTAAATAAGTATTATTCAAGCTCTAAAAAAGAGGATCTTCTATGTTTAGTTTTTAATAATCTTCTCTGCATATAAAGTTGATCATTAAATGAGTAATACTGTAGCATTTTAATAAATTATATGCAATTTTATATGTATCTTTATCATTAGTAATTTTTAATTTCTTTAAATTATGACATTTGTTTAATTAATTTCCAAAGTCAGTCATTTAAACTACTTCAAATGATATAGGACTATTTATTTTAGTAAAATTAATCATTTAATTGAGGATGTTTTACAGTTAAACAGAAAGAGCTATCTATTAAAATAAATAATTTACTCTTTAAATATAAGTTCTAAATTTGCTAAACTTTTATTTTTATTTATTTCTTCAGCAAAATTGTTTTGGCTAAACCATTAACTACTATCAATTCTTTATTTAAAATAGTAAAAAGAGTCAGAAAATATGTTTAGTTAATACATTTAAAACCAACAATTTACTTGATTAACACAGATTTATAGCTTACATTGGGGTAATTTGATATCGCTTCTTTAAGGGAGAAAAAATTAAATAATTCTTGACCATTTGCCTTTCTAATATTATATTTGAAATAAGTATAACAATCAATTGTGCTAATGTATAAACTATGATACTTGAATTCTAAGCAAAAAAACTGATCATTTTGAGTAGACTAATTTAAAATAAAATATTTCTATTTATAATTGGGTCCATTGAAAAATAAATTACCTATTAACTTGTTTGTATGATAATTTAATCTTATTTTTACATCCTATTTGTAGAAATTGTTTTATTTTAAATAATATTTGTAAATATTAAAATAGTAATTAGCATAAAATCAATAATACTGATAAGTGTTATTAGAATAATAATTTGGTAAATCTAAATTCATTATCACAGCTTATTTAATTTTTGAAATTCTATATAAAAAAGGGTATTTTATCTATCTGTTTGGTTATTAAACCAATTTTTTATTCTATGAACATTTTTTTTGGTATTATTATTTTCTAATACAATTAAGTTAATAAGGGATTTCAAAACTTTTAAAAGTAAAATAATTTATTTAAATTTTGAAGCATAAAGTAAGTTTTTAATTAAATAAAACAATATTCTTTCATTTATAAAAACTAGTATCAGCTCATAATATAATCTAATCAATTAAATCAATTATGTATAAATAATTATATTATCCCTGATGTCTTTGGAAAAAATATATAATAAATAAATAAACAATTGACTGTTTCATATAATGAATCATGCAAAACTCCAGCAACTGAATGGGTTAAAATAAAATTATTCTTTTATAAAAAAATGAGTAAATTGTAAAATTTTTAAAATAAGTTCTTACTATTCAATTTTTATATTAATAGTAGAATTTGTATTATTCAATAATAATTGCTTCATAGATAGATAGATACTACAAAAAACATTGAGCAACAATATTTTAAGAAAAATGGAAATAGATAGTTTTAAAATTTACATAAATAATTTATTTTTTATATAAATAAGTAGGTAGAGAATAAAAAATACATACCGTATTCCCTCGATAAGACCCACCGATCGGTCAACCGAGGTAGGGCAAAAATGGGAGATTTCTTTTAATTTTTAAATTAAATTATGGAAATATTTATTTTTTTATTTTCATGTTACTATTTATGGTATATTTACAAGTCTAACTAATTTCTTTTAAATTACTTTTTGGAGATATTTATTACTTTTTTTATAGACTCCACTATTAAAATAAAATAAAATAATTTAATATATTAATTTTGTTGAGAATTTGAAGAAATTTCATAAAAAAAAAGAAATATGAAGGATGAATAAAATATAGACAAAAAGTTTTTGGTTAAATATTTACATTTTATGTTTTAATTTTCCTAATGTTTTTGTGTAAGTTTAAAAATTTGAAATGTTTACTTCATAAAAAAATCAAGATTGATTAACTATGTAAGGGTCTATAACAAATTTTATATTTAAAAAATTAGTTAATCATCATTATACTGATTGCTTTATGTTTAAAAAAATTTAGTTAAATATTATGATTACATACAGAAATATTCTTACTCAGCTTATACCTCTAAAACTTTTATATTTTTGCAAATTTATATTTACTAAATTAAATTCAATAGACTCAATTCACTTATTTGTGTTTAACTGATTGTTTAAGAAAAAAAATCATTAACTTATTTGACAACAAAACCTTTAAAATTCTACTTAATGCGCATATGTAATGACTTTAACTCCTTAAAATTACGAATATATAAAATGAATTTATTTAAACCATCATCTTTAATATAATTCTTCCTATTTTTATTTTTTAAAAGTGAAAAAAGAAAATAATTTATTTATTTATGTTTTACGAAAAGCTAACACTAAGATGACTGAGTTTTAAAAATTATATAGATTCCATGAGGGAGTTTATTCCATGTTGATTGATTTCATTTGTACTTTTTAAAAATATTTGATTTATTTAGAAATAAATTGACATGTATGTATGTATAAAATCAGTATTTATTTACTAAAGTAATAAAGAAAGGCTTTGTAAATTAGTTAGATTAAAAAGGCTTTGTCCTATTGCACTAATTGAATCATTTGATATATTATTACCTCTAATTTATTAATTAATTATATTTAAAATAGAATTAAGAAAATACTGAGAGAGTATTTTAAAATATTTTTACTCTAACCTTAGTTCTAATTATTCTAATTAAATCATCTTAGATATGTGTTTTCCTAACAAAGAAATTCCTTAATATCCAAATTTATTAAAACTTTTAAATAATTTTAAATATTATTAAATTAATTATATTTATTTATTTATAGATTGATCTTACGATAAACCAAGGATTAATTTCTTTAAATTTTTGGACGATTATAAGTTAATACCAAGTTAATCAATTGATGTATCAATTAAACCTAGATTGCTTTTTATTTAAATTTATTAAATTTTTTAAAAAAAAATGATAGTTTTTTTTACTTTTAATAGAACATCAGTTCTTAAAGATTCTAAAATTTAGAAATTTCTATATAAGTATTATTCAAGCTCTAAAAAAAAGGTTCTTCTATGTCTAGTGCTTAATAACCTCCAGATTAAAAGTTGATAAGTAAATGAGTAATACTGTAGCATTTTAATAATTAATATGTGTGTTTATATGTATTTTTCTCATTATTAATTCTTAATTTTTTTAAATTATGACATTTGTTTAATTAATTTCCAAGTTCATTCATTTCAACTTCTCCAAATTATTTGTGTCTTAATAAAATTTAATTAAATTAAATTATGTTCTGAAAAACATTCAGCTTTTTTAAATGTAAATATTTATGATATAAAACTATTTATTTTAATAAAATGAATCATTTAATTGATAATGTTTTATAGTTTAACTGAATGCATTAAAAAATAAAATAAATAGTTTACTCTTTAAATAAAAGTTCTAGATTTGCTAAGCTATTATTTTTATTTATTTCTTCTGCGAAATTGTTTTGACTAAACCATTAACTACTATCAATTCTTTATGTTAAAAAATAAAAAATGTTTGAAAATATGATTAGCAAATATATTTAAAGCTACTTAATTAAGACCGATTGATATCTTTAATTTGGATAATTTGATATCGCTTCTTTGAGTGAGTTAAAATTAGATAATTCTTAACCATTTGCCTTACTAATATTTGAAATAGAATATCAATCAATTTCGCTATAGTACAAATAATGATACCCGATTTCTATGCAAAAAAATGGATAATTATGAGTAGACTAATTTATAATAAAATATTTCTATTAATAATTGAATCCACTGAATTATAAATTACTTTTTAACATTTTTCTAAGATAATTTAATCATATTTTTACATCTTATTTGAAGAAATTGTTATATTTTAAATAATATTTGTAAATATTAAAATTAAATCAGTAATTAATACTAAATCAATAATACTGATTGATAAGTGATATAAGAATATTAATTTGATACAAATCTTTAACGCCAAGTAATCCTTGTATTTAATTTTGCGTATTTATTATATAATATATTCATTAAATTGTTTTATATTCTTTAAATTATTAATATATTAAATCATATCAATTACATACCGTGGGTACGCATGAATAAGGATTATCAAAAAAAAAAAAATCTTTACAAAAATTTTTTATTAATTTTTAAAATGATAAAAATTAAAAATAAAAATTAAGTTTTAAAGCAGGATAAAATATGGTAATAAATTAAATTTAATTTAAAATGAAAATTATTGTAGAAATAATAGAAATATTTAAAAGTGTTAAGCCGTTTAATTTATTTGATGATAATGTAAATAAAAATATTATTAAAGTTTGTTTTTAATTATTGTATAATAAATAGATAATTATCAAAAATTTTGTAGTTCTTATAAAAATGAAATATTATTTATCTTTCTTAATTACTCAGTTGGCATTAATTTATCTTCTTTTTCTCATATAAGTTATTTTAGTTGAGATATTTTAACAACTTTTTAAAATAATAAATTAATTAATTAATGATTATTATTAATATTTAAAATTTAATTATTTTTTTAAAAGGACAAATTGGAAAAATAAATAAGGGAGTTAAAATTTATATATCTCATGCAAGATAATTAATTATTTAAAACTGAATAAGTAATATATATATATTCTTAGTTTATCTTTTTTCTTAAAAATTGCTAGTCAGTGATGGTGGTATATATATCAATGGCAAAAAATGATGATTAGATAATTCAAGTTATTTATGTATTTCTTAAAATAATAAAATATAAGATATTTTTAATTATTCGACAATTAATATTTATTAAAATGTTGCAATTTAAAAAAATAATGTATTATTAATTAACTAATTAACTAACTAATTAATTATTTTTGTTTTTTTTAAGTATAATAAATCATTTTTATTTACTTTTATGATTGATATTATAAAATCATTACATTTTTAAAAATATCACTCTGAAAATTTAATTAATTTAAATCTTTTATGGTTTTTATTGTTATTTAAAAATTCTAATTGTTTGATCAAATTCTTATAAGTTTAAAAAAAAAGTGAATGAAAATTTAAATAGTTCAATTTGATATTGATTCAAAACTGTATGAGTGATGTGATGTGTAAATTCCTAGTTTATCTTTTTTTCATAAAATTCTAAGTAAGTGAATGGCTTATTGGATAATATATAGACTCGATATTAAGCAATATTCTGTAAATAAAGAATAAATTCAATTTGATTTATATTCTAGAAGTTATCTTTGGGAGTAAAACAATCATCTGATTTTGATTATAATTTTGTAAGTTTAAATAGTAAATAATTAACCAAAAAGATATTAGAGTCAAATGCAGTAGGGAGATTAGATAATAATTGAGTGGAAGCACTACGAATTAAAAACATTTAGGATTTTATTAACCTCAGTATTTTTAGTGTATAGGATTTTTACCCTTTTTGCTCTCTGCAAATTGTTTTTAGATGAGTATTACAAGACATTTGCCTTATTAGTTATTAGCTAGATATTGCAATTATCTGTCACTTCAAATATTGTTTATTCTAGTTTTCTAAATAAAATAAATGCTCAAGCTATATTTTGGGAAATATTTTATTGGATACCTAGAGACAGAGAGCACTAACTGGATCTTTTAAAAAGTTAGCCGTTTGGTTAAATTATTAAAGTTTTGATACCTTTAGTAGAAAATTTAGCATTTCTCTCCATAATAGTGTTCAACTATAAAAATCAAAGCATAGTTTACTTAATCGCATAAATGATGAGCTCTTTCCTCTTTTGCTTTCTTATTGAAATAGATAATTACAAGCAAAAGAGCTTTTTTTAAACTGTTTTAAGTTGTGGATTTAAATTTGTCATGATGAATGTTTATTTTGGTTACTTTTTGATTTGCCATCGTTCTAATTGGATCTACTTTTACGATATTACTATATTAGTAGTCTCATTTGGTATTATCTGCTCTAATCATTTTTCTCACATTCTCTTAAAGTTTGGATATAAGCATGATCGACTGGATAGTCGTTTAGTCCAGCTTGTGCAAACAGGATTGATAGTACATAACTTTGGTTTTTACTCTGAATTCAAAGTAGGTAGCAAAGATGAAAAGGAGCAGCAAATGTCAGATTAGACAAATATTTTATGCGGTATGTAGGTATTTTAGCTTTGCATATTCATTTTATTTGACAATCTTGTAAATGAGAGAGTAGAAAATGACATCTTTAGGACGATTCTACATATTTACTTGATATTAATTATCTATTACTTGGCAAAAGTATTTAGCTGGTTTATTAATTATATTTATTATGGTCCATTCAGGAGAGCCATTTAAATAGATTGCTTAGATATTATAAACATGTCTCTTAAGCAAATCGAAAGAAACTACTTCCGATTCAACTCGCTCCAAGTGAGTGCCACAATTTATATTAAGAACTTTTTACCTTAACAATTCGAAAGACTATTCAGTTATCTACTAAAACAAGATATTAATTTAAATATTTTTCTAGAAGGGAATCTGAAGTTGAATTACTTTCTAACAAAAAAAATTGAAGGAGTTATTAAGCTTAGATTGATGAACAATGAGTTTACAATACAAGTTGTGAACTAAATCATTCAAAACAAGCATTACAAGTTTATGTATTCTCTCCAAGTCAATAGTCACAACTAAGATCTCATTCTCTAAAATTTTGTAAAAAACTACTAAATTATACCAAACATATTGCTGAAAGAAAGCTAATTAAATAACTCAATCTTATTTATAGCAACAGAAGTAGCAAAAATTATTGTATACAACAAGCTAATCTAAGAAGAAATGAGTTTAAACCCAAGACAAATTTACTACGACCTATTTGATTTCTGAACTAAAAAAATAGTATTTTATTTATATGATTCTAGTGTATTATATTTTTAATTTCATTTGTCCTCCCAAAAAAAAATTGATTTCAATTTAAAATAAATATATTTTTATATTTATTTTTTCATGCAAAATTAAATTTTATAAAATTTATTTACTTTTAAAAAGTTAAAATCTCTTATTTCTTGTAATTTAATGCACAAACATAATACAAAATTTATAAACACAAAAATAAAAAAGCATAAATAAAATCATTTATAAATTTATTTTTTTATATGTTCATTTAAAAATAAAAATTAGAAAAAATGTCTTTAATATTTTTTTTAATAATTAAATTTATTAAAAATTATTTAAAAAGTATAAAAAAAATTGTAAAATTTAAATTTTTTAATAATTGTAACAAATTTATTATATATTCATCAATTTTGTATTAGATTTTTTTTCTCATAAATTAAAATAAATCATATTTAATAATAACAAAAAAATAAATAAATAACTTATTTTTATTAATTAAAAAAATGAATTTTTATTAAATATTTTTAAAAATAAATTTAAACTTTTTATATTATTTTCACTGATTGCTTGTTTTCCTATTCATTTTATTTAGATTATTCTCTTTTAAAATTTATCGACAATTAATTTTATACATAACATCGATAATTAATTTAAAATAATTTATTAATTTTATTTATTATAGACTAAAATTTTTTATTTATTTAAAAAAATGTTTATTTTGATTTTGCTTTATCAGATATTTAAAGATTTTTATTACTTTTTATTTATTTGTATTCTTCGAAAATCTTATAATTATAATTTCATACAAAATAAATTTAATTAAAATCTGCTTACTAAGGATTAAGGAATTAAATTTTTAAGAAAAAAAATGTAAGAAGCAAAAATTTAGAATTTAATTATAACAGTAGTAAGCCTTTTGAGTAGAGGGTTTACTTTTGCTTTAATAAAACATTATCTTAATACAAATATGCATAACTAGGCTTATTTAATAATGATTTCTTAAATTTACTTCATATTGGCTAATTTATAAAGGATGTTTAATCTGAAATAAAAAGGCAGTTTTCAGCTTGAAGTTATTAATTTCATCCCTAACGAAGTTTATTAAAATATAATAGATGTGGTAAAATAAACATTAGATTATCAAATATAGACATTGATTAAAGTTTACGAAAATCTTATATTGCTCTTTATACTTATCCATCAAAATTATTAATATATCACATAAATAACGCTCGTTTTGAATAGTTTAGCTCTATTTGTGTTAATACATCTTTAATACAGCTCTTCCATGCCTCTCAGAGTTTTTATAATAAATATCTTCATAAATGCATGCATCTTTATTATAATAGTGGGATATCTCTTTATACTTTAAAGCTTTACTTTGATTTGCGTAACCAACTCTTAAAGAATTTATTTTCTATTTTTTTCTATTCCAAATTTAATAATAAAATTTTAAATATTTAATTTCGAATTTAAAAATAATATTTTATTATTCATATTTAAATTAATTAGCTTATCTTTTCAATATTCTTAATTGGACACTCAAAGTTTCTATCATGCTATTTTTTGTCTGTTGGGAATACTAATGATGTGATTGATAAAAAAATATACAGCATTCTTCCTTACAAAATGGTTTTATATTTTGTTGGTGTAAGATTGAGAAAATTTTATTCTTCGAATGATCTAAATGATCCAAACCACTTTTACAACATGATATCAGGCATTTAAGTTATTTATCTAGTTTGTCTATCGATTGCTGATTTGGTGCTTTAATATGAAATCAAAGACTAGAGATTTAGAATCTTTCTTTTTGGTTGCTAATTATTATTGCTCTACTATTTCTCAGTTGTACTCAGTTAATTTGTTAATATCCTTAGATATGGCCCTTATAAGAGAAGGATTAAGCTTAATTGTGATAAATTAGTTGATTTAAGTCAAAACTAAATAGAAAAAAGGTATTTTAAGTTTAAAAAAATGTAAAACTTAATAGTGTTAGAAATATAAAATTACAAACCTAAAGAGTTTTTGAAGGTAATGCCATAAGTGATTGATTTGATTAAGCAAAATAAGACCTTAAAGTTATTTGTAGAAGAAAATTAATAAATGCATAGCTCTATTCAGACTTTCGATAATATTATAGTTAGCTTATTGCTAAATAAGTCATCATTAGTTAAATTATTAATAAAAGAATTGGCTACTTACGATTTCAATCATAAGTATTTTGATATTTCTTAAAATGTTTCATAATTTAATCTTATAATTTAGCAATGTATTGAAAATTACAAAATAATTCCCAATATAATGAGTGAAAGTCTCTTGATAAATAATCAAATGTACTATTAATTACCAGCTGGGCATTTTCAGTAATGCGAATAACTACGATAATTTAAAATTGAAGTTATGAAAATAATAGTCTTTGATTAACTTATCAAAATGCAAATGGATTTTCAGCCTCAATAAATTTACTATGACCTATTAGATATTTAATGATTTTATATTTTATTCATAAATCTTATTTAATGAGCAATAGAAAATCTAATTAAGTTTAAAAAAAGCTATATTAATCGAAATTAGTAAATACATCATACAGACTAAAATTAAGTTTTATATTTATTTATTTTTCATAAACAAATAGGTTTTCTAACTATTTTAATAATATTAAAATGTTTAAATTCATGTTTATGAGTATAAAAAATATTATTTATCCAATTTTTTCTATTTGTTTAATTGTAGATAATACTCCTTGATTAAAATGCAAAGCGGGGACAATAATCTGCATTTTTATTAACCAATAAATAATACATATATTAGGAATTATTTTCAATAATTTTACTGTTTTTAAAAAATAATTAATTATTGGTTTATTAGGCTTTTATTTTATAGCAAGATGCCATTCAAAAATTCCGTCGTTTGAATGTCACTTGTTATGGGATAGATTTTTTAGTTTTTTATTAAAAAATCTATTTTTTAAATTTTATAATAGAATTATTATTAATAATTTAACTTATTATAATTTCAAAAATAAATAATTTTTTTACATCAAAATTTTTAAATTTAGCTAAATCAAAATAAAATTTTTTTATATTAACTTAAAAAATAACACTAATTAAAATGCTTAAAAATCAAATTTTTGGTGAAATAAATAAATAAAATTAGGTTTAAAAAATATTATTTTATATTTTTGATTGATTGAATGAAAAATATGTTTTTTATATTTTGTTTTTTGATGATTAATTATTTTTAAAATTAATATAAAAATAAATAAATCAAAAATTTTGAAATTGTTAATTAAAGGAAAAAGATAAATTAAAGATGAGAAAAAAATATTGTGAAAAATAAAATTAAAGTATTGTAATAGCTTGCTACTTAGCTGGTTTTATAGGAGTAATATACAGATATTTTTATTTTATCACAATAATACAATTAATTGAATAAAAATTTACTAAGACCTATATCTTAATGATACTTCATTTCATATTAGGAACACTTTATCCACTTCTTGCTAGTTTAATTTAAAAGGATCGAAAATAATTTTAGCTTCTTCTTTAGGATTTTTTTTATTTAAAGATCAATGATTTTAGATGCAATATATAATATTACAAAAGATTTAGGCTAGGTGATGTTTTCTTAAAATTACAATCTAAAATATTCTTGTATTAATTAATATTCTATGAGAGCAGATAAAATTGGATTTTCATAATTACTTAAGTACTTACTTCTCTCTTGGTTAATATTATAAATTATATTGAATACAAGGAATCCTCCTATGTTTTTAATATTTATCAATAAAATTTTTTGATTAATTTTGCAAGAAATAATTTGATATTTGGTCTATACTTATTATGCCATAAATATTCATATTTTTACATCTACTACGTGATTTTATTTTCAATTATTTATGCATAGAATTATTCTCAATTGTTTTAAAATCATGTCCTCAAACTAGGCTACAAGAATGATTCTTTGGACTTGTAAGGATTTTTTAAATAATTTGCTCTTTACTTATAGTTATTGGGATTTTAGGTTTCTCACAATAAACACTTATAAGCTGTAAACACTTAGCAAAATTTTATGAACGAGCTTTTCTACTAAAAATGCATTGAAAGTATTTCAATTATATAGATTATTTTACTTTTTGTTTTTGCTATTGTAGTAAACTAATAGTATCATATAATGAAAAGCATATTTACTGCTCTATTTGTTTGTTTAATCTTTCATATATTTGAGTGCTTGAGATTTTTGTATAGGTACATAAGATACGGTCCAAACAACCGTGTAATTCATATAAACGGATTATAAGTAAGAAATCTAAGCTAAGAAGAAATTTACCATTAATATTTTAGATTTAAATCTGAATAATAATTCATATTTGTAGATATATCTAATTTTGATACAATTATGCTCTATCAGCTAATAGTTTAACTTCTAAACTCAAACAAATTCTTTTTGATTACATAAAAATTTGATTTTTAGTTGAACTAATTTAGCCGTATTCTGTTCAAATAAGATAACTAGTCTTTGGACCTAAATATGAACAGCTAGTGGGTAACTGAAGCAGCTCTGTAAGCTTTAGATAAATTTAAGGATAAATTTTAATCAATTCATATTAATTGTTCTTTTGAAATTGAGAGCCTAATTGAAAACTATGTTATTTAGAATTATAAAATTATTCCTATATTGAATATTTAATTCCAAAATGAAAGGTTTTAAAAGATAATTTTACAAATGAAAAACGAAATAATAAAGTTTATTATCTATTAAAAGCATTTAAAGTAGTATTTAGTTGTTAACCCTTAAATGGTATATTATGATTTATATGACATGTGAATAAATAAATTCTAATAAATACAAATATTCTTTTTTTCATATTATTATCAAATATATATATCAATTTAAAGTTTTCTTCTTTTCTTATCATTTTTTCAATACTAATTTGATTACTTAAATTATATTTAACTATTTTAATTTTCTATGGAGTTCAATATATGACGAGAAATGAAACCAATTTATCTATTTATTCTAAAGAAAGTTTGTTTCTTTTTTTACCATAAAATCTGTCATTTATGAATACAACAGGTCCTCACTCAACTTAGTTTATTGAAATTACGAAAAATAGCTGAGAAAAATGTGAAATGTCTTTCAAAAATTCACTTTCTGTTATCATCTATGAATATTTATCAAAAATCTCTCATTTTCACCCTACCTCTGTTGACAAGTAGGTGGGTCTTATCGAGGGAATACATATGGATTTAATTATTAGTTGAATTATTCTAGTCTGATTCTCATCCATTAAGATTAATACTTGTAACCTAAAAACGAATAGTTTGTGGTTGACTAAAGCTGCTCAGTAAGCTTAAATTTAATTTAATAATAGATTTTACTAAAAGCATAAATTGACAGCCAATTTAAAACTGCATTGTTTAGAATTTTAAAATGATTTTTTATAAAAAATAAAATTCCAAAATTAAGGTTTAAAATAATAATTAATTTTCAAAATATATAACTAAATAAAGAAATTTATAATATACTAAAATCATTTAGATTTGTATTTAATAGTTAATTAAATGGAAATCAAAATCTTCTTTCAATTATCTTAAGTTTATTAATTTTATATTAATTTCTGATGATTGAGAAAAGAAAATAAATATCTTTCTTTAAATCCTCTTTTTTAAGAAATATTTATCTAAATCTTATAAAAAAGCTTTTTTGTCAAATTAGTTAAATATATAAAAAATTAATTAATTATTTGATAAGATTCTCAATAAATAAATCATAGAATTATTAAAGTTAGATAAATAATTTATCTTAATTTTAACAGAATGAAGAGAAATCAAAAGCTTGCATTAGTGACAATTGGTGGATCTGCAATAGCTGCAGCAGCGTTTTACTATTTTTACAAAAGAAGATAAAATATTTAATATAGATATTAATCAATATTGAAATCATTTAGTTAGTAGGTTTTTACATGTGATCAATTTTAACTCAATAACATGAGCCTTAAGTTCGATTAACTAATTCATCTTGCAACATACGATGAAAGTGATAACCAGCGTACGTTAGCTGAAAAATTAGAATTTTAGTAAAAAGATTAATTAGAGAATGAAGGAAATTGTAAGAAGGGTTTCAGATAAGGCTCATAATTTTATGAATGTCTTGATTGCTCACTTATTAGAAGAGAAATCTAGAAAACTAAAAAATCTATAGAGGAAGATTAGTTTTACTTAGCTTTATGCGAAGAATGTTTTTTGACTCCCTAGCACAAAGGTCATAGATATAAAAAGATTGAAGGAGGAGATACAATATAATTTAAGTGCCACTGTGGTGAGTCTAACATTATGGATAAAAATTGCTTTTGCAATAATCACAGAGGATTCGAAAAATCGAAAGGTTTTTTTGAAAAAGAATACTTAACTAATACAAAGTTGTGGAAAGGAATCGAAGTTTTCTTTTTAGATATGTTTCACTTATTATTTGATAATATGGTTGATTTAATAAAGATGAACGAAAATGGGAGAGTTATTGATGAAAATCAAAAATAATCAAACAATATGTAAAAGAAAAATAAAAAAGATTGTATCACATTAGAATAATACAAGCATAGAACTGAAAGAATCAACTTTATTTTGAGACTGATCTTAAACAAATTTAATGAGTTATTAGAAATTAATCCTAATATAATTCATTTTATCCCTATTATATTCTCAAAGACCCTTAAAAAGCCCATCGCTTTGCAATTCAAAAGATTAGATAAGATCATTCCTGATAAATGCAAGTGGGCAAGAATTTTCAAAGAATAAAAGGAGATAAATAATGATTTAACTATTTATGAATATCTCCTTCTTTCATATGAATTGGTAGATGACTAAAATGATGAAATAGTGGCTGAAATTTTAAGGGCTGCGTTAAAAGTAAACAATACATTTTATTTAACACTTTGCGAAAAGTTTATGAAAATGTTTGCTTTTTCATGTAGAATTTAGAATGCTATTGTAAAAAATGGTAATTATAATGTAGGCTTCTTTCCATCTCTTTCTTATCTTGTAATTGACTACATTTCATTTTAGAGTACTTTTGATCATTTAATTGAAACTTTAGGTGATGATATTTTAGGTCCTTTGAGCTACTTAAACGCCTATCTCTCAGCTAAATCAAGTGTAATTTCAGATTTTGATGAATAGTTATATATTTTATTAAATATTTGCTTTGAAATGCTTAGGTTCGTAAATCAACTTAAGGTACTGTTTTTAAAGTACCCTGAAGGAATAATATCAAATTTGTATAAAATTTGTTTTGCTTTGTTTACAAATAATAGCATTTAGATTAATTAAGAAATTTCAAAAAATTTACCAGAAAATATTAAGCAAAAGCTCTAAAAAATGTATGTATATAGCCAGTATAGATAAATAGAGAAAATTATGATTTTTGCATTTGTGAACATCTGCGAAGGCTTGCTACTGATTAATAATGAGGAATTGATACAAAAAGTTCTGCCTTTATTTGTTCATTATTTCTATTTAGGAGTGCATAATTCTCAATTATTTTTAAATAATTTAGCAAAACAAAAAATAGAATTTTGCAGTTTTTCTGCTACAATTATTAGTCATTTACCTTTACTTGTAGCTCTTTCAGAAAGAAAAATGTTCTCTGAATCGGTTGTTAAAAATTTTTTTGCAAAAAACTTTAAGTTTAAAACCGAGCAAGATAGAAAAAATTTCTTTAGAAGCTTACATTTAATAGCATCTAAATTCATAATTATTAATAGTGAACCTGGAATAATGAGCTAAACAGAAGTATGGCTTTTGATGGTAAATAATAATTAATTTAACTAAGGTTTAAAATCATTTATGTAAGCTCTGAAAGACTTTTTATTTTTACCATATTATAGAATATATGACTTTTTTACTCTTACTCACTCGTTAATTTTGTTGGCAGATGATTAACCTTTCATTTCTACTCCAGAAAGTTTAATTTCTAGATACTTATAAGGCTGCGATAATTTAAAGCAAAATAATGATCTAACGTAATTAATAAAAAATTATTAGTTTTTTTATATCCTATGTTAGAATTTAATAGATTCTACTCCTTTCTATAATGTTTTTTCAAAATGTCATGATTTATACTTCCCAGAGCTAAGTTAAAATGATGAAAATTAAAAAATATTTTAGCAAAACATTAATGAGATAATCATTACCTGCATAAATTAATAAGGAGACAAGAAAATATATATAAAAGATGTTGAATAGTTTTCTAAAATTATTCTTGATTAAACTAATTTAATAGAAAGCAATATCTAACAAGTTTGTACTTTTGAGGATTAGAGCTAAAACATTTAATCTTAGTATCTGAAAATTTAAAATGGATATAAGCAAAAACTATACTATAGACACTTACTAAGGGTGAAAGAAGGTTTGGAAGACCTCTGCATAGTGGCTTCAGATGTAAACAATCAAAATTATTCAATTTTAGGAAGTGATTTTAAACTCTAAAATTTATTCCCTTATCAAAGAGAAATTTACAAGAAATTGATTTTAAATGAAGAATTTATTGGTTAAATTGTATCAATAAATTTAAATGCAGAAACTAAACCAGCATTTTTCTCAGCAATTAATCACATAATTCTTCTAGCAATTTAGTTAATCTAATCGAAAAGTGAATTAGAATTATTTTCTGAAGAAGAAATTACAAAAATTGAAAAAATTGAATCAATCTTAAAAAATGAATAACTAAAAGAAAAATACATGAATGTTAATAATAACTTAAGCGCAGCACAAAAATAGGATTTATAATATACGATGAAAATAAACTAAATGATTTCAGAATACTTAAATCAAAAAGAATGAATGAATAAATGAATTTATTGTAGCTTAGATCAATATTTATTTTTATATTCATATTTTAAAAAAATAATAATTTTTTATGTATTGAAATTATGCATTTTATTTTAGATGACATATTATGATTAATATAACATATCAATACATAAATTAAAATAAATAAAAAATTATATTATTCTCATATTTATTAATGCAGGATTGCTCTAAATATTTCAGACAAGTAAGAAATAAATCTTAAAAATATCTTTTTTTATTTTCCATAACTAAAAAATTAAAAATTAATTTCATTCGTTATTGACTAAATTTTTCTTTTTATATAGGAAATAATTCCAAATTATATATATTTTTTTTGAACATATTTTTTGTAATTTTTATATTTTATTTAAAATCTAAATAAAAAAATTAATTATAATTATTAGTTTAATAATCATATTATAAATTTAAAAGAAAATGTATTTTTCATAATAAAAAAATTATATATGTACATACTTGATGATTCATAATCAGTGATCAAGTATTTTTATAATAGCAAATTGCTGTATATAATATATTTCATTGAGATGGATAGTCTTATAGCATAAATATGAACTAGCATCTAGTCTATGACTAAAGCAGCTATGTAGCCTTAAAATAAATTAAATTATATATTTTAATAAATGCATAAATTGAAACCCAATTTAAAATTTTATTGCTTAGAAAAATTATTTCCTATTGAAAATTTAACTCCAAAATGAAAGGTTTAAGAAATGATTTTAAAAATAAATAAATAATGAATTTTATAATATATTGAAACATTTAGATTTTTATTTAATTCTTTATTAAATGGTATATTATGATTTATGTGGTATATTAATAAACAATTTCTTAAGTCTTCTTTAAGCTATTCTTAAATTTATTAATGTTTTTATTAGTTTCTGATGGAACAAAAAAAAGATAAAAAATATCTTTCTTTTAATCTTCCATAATCAAAAATATTTATTTGATTAGATAAAAGTTTTTTTAATATTTTTTTCTCAAATAAATAAAATAATAATTAATAAAATACTCAAATAGAAAAATTTGAATTATTAAAGCTACATAAATAGTTTGTTTCCTGCTATTTTTATCTAAATGAAGAGAAATTAACAGCTTGCATTATTGACATTTGGTGGATCTGCAATAGCTGCAGCAACGTTTTACTATTTTTATAAAAGAGGATAAAATATTTAAGATAGATATTTATCAACATTGAAGTCATTTAGTTGGTATGTTTTTACTTGTGATCAGTTTTAGCTCATTAACATGAGTCAAAATTTCGACTAACTAATTGAACTTGCAACATATGATGAAAGTGATAGCCAGTGTACGTTAGCTGAAAAATTATAATTTAAAAAAGAGGAGTTTGAATATGAAGGAACTTGCAAGAAGGGTTTCAGATAAGGCTTATCATTTTATGAATGTCTTGATTGCTCTCTTATCAGAAGAGAAATCTAAAAAACTAAAAAATCTATAGAAGAGGATAAGTTTTACTTAGCTTTATGCGAGGAATGTTTTTAGACTCCCTAGCATAAAGGTCATAGATATAAAAAGATTGAAGGAAGGTATAGAATCTAATTTTAGTGCCACTGTGGCTAGTCTAACATTATGGATTAAAATTGCTTTTGCAATAAGCACAGAGGATTTGAAAAATCGAAAGGTTTTTTTGAAAAAGAATACTTAACTAACACAAAACTGTGGAAAGGAATCGAAGTTTTCTTTTTAGATATGTTTCATTTGTTATTTGATAATATGGTTGATTTAATTAAGATGAAGGAAGAAAGGAGAGTTCTTTTTGAATATCAATTATAATCAAACAACCTTTTAAAGGAAAATAAAAAAAAGTGCATCACAATAGAGTAATAAAAACATGGAGCTGAAAGAATCAACTTTATTTTGAGACTGATCTTAAACAAATTTAATGAGTTAATAAAAATTAATCCTGTTTTAATTCACTTTATTCCTATTATCTTCTAAAAGACTTTAACAAAGCCCATTGCTTTGCAATTTAAAAAGTTAGAAAAGACCATTCCTGATACATGTAAGTGGGCAAGAATTTTCAAAGAATAAAAGGAGATAAATAATGAATTAACCATTTATGAATATCTCCTTCTTTCATATGAACTAGTAGATGATTAAAATGACAAAATAGTAGCTGAGATTTTAAGGGCTGCGCTAAAAGTAAACAACACATTTTATTTAATTCTTTGTGAAAAGTTTATGAAAATGTTTGCTTTTTCCTGTAGAATTTAGAATGCTATTGTAAAAAATGGAAATTTTAATGTAGGTTTTTTACCTTCTCTTTCTTATCTTGTAATTGATTACATTCCATTTTAGAGTACTTTTGATCACTTAATTGAAACGTTAGGAGATGACATTTTAGGTCCCTTGAGCTACTTAAACGCCTATCTTTCAAAAGGGTCAAGTTCAAATATAGATTTTGACGAACTGTCCTTCATTTTGCTTAATATTAGCTTTGAAATGCTAAGGTTTGTAAATCAACTTAAGGTACTGTTATTAAAGTACCCAGAATAAATAATATCAAATTTGTATAAAATTTGTTTTGCTTTGTTTACAAATAATAGCATTTCGATTAAATAAGAGCTTTCATAAAACTTACGATAAAACATTGAGTAAAAGCTAGTAAAAATATTTGTTTTAAATTAGTATAAAGATATAGAGAAAATTATGATTTTTACATTTGTGAATATTTGTGAAGGCTTGCTACTGATAAATAATGAAGAGTTAATACAAAAAGTTCTGCCTTTATTTGTTCATTATTTCTATTTAGGAGTGAATAATTCTCAATTATTTTTAAATAATTTGGCAAAACAAGAAATAGAATTTTGCAGTTTTTCTGCTACAATTATAAGTCATTTACCTTTACTTGTAGCTCTTTCAGAAAGAAAAATGTTCTCTGAATCTGTTGTTAAAAATTTTTTTGCAAAAAATTTTAAGTTTAAAAGTGAGCAAGATAGAAAAAATTTCTTTAAAAGCTTACATTTAATAGCATCTAAATTCATAATTATGAATAGCGAACCTGGAATATTGAGCTAAGCCGAAGAATGGCTTTTGATACTTAATGATAATATAAAAAACTAAGCTGTATAACAACTCGTATCAAATCAGAAATACTTTTTATATTTTCCATATTATAGAATATATGACTTTTTTACTCTTACTCACTCATTAATTTTGTTGGCAGATGATTAACCTTACATTTCTACTCCAGAAAGTTTAATTTCCAGATATTTATAAGGGTGGGATAAATAATTGAAGCAAAATAAAGATCTAACATAATACATAAAAAATTATGACCTTTTAATTAATCTATGTTAGAATTTAATAGATTCAACTACTTTCTTTAATGTTTTTTCAAAGTGTCATGATTTATACTTCCCAGAGCTAAGTTAAAATGGCGAAAATTAAAAAATATTTTAGCAAAATATAAATGAGATAATCATTACCTGCATAAATTAATAAATAGACAAGAAAATCTATATAAAAGATGTTGAAGAAATTTCTAAAACTATTCTTAATTAAACTAATTTAATTGAAAGCAGTATCTAACAAGTTTGTACTTTTGAGGATTAGAGCTAAAATATTTAATCTTAGTATCTGAAAATTTAAAATGGATATAAGTAAAAATTTTACTTTAGACACTTACTAAGGGGGAAATAATGGTTGGAAGACCTCTGCATTATGGCTTCAGAATTAAACAGTTAAAATTATTCAATTTTAGGAAGTGATTTTAAACTCTAAAATTTATTCCCTTATCAAAGAGAAATTTATAAGAAATTGATTTTAAACGAAGAATTTATTAGTTAAATTGTAACAATAAACTTAAATCCAAAAATTTAACCATAATTTTTCTCAGCAATTAATCACATAATTCTTCTTGCAATTTAGTTAATCTAATCCAAAAGTGAATTTGAAATATTTTCTGAAGAAGAAATTACAAAAATTGAAAAAATTGAATCAATCTTAAAAAATGAATAGCTAAAAGAAAAATACATAAATATCAACAATATGTTAATTCCATAATAAAAAATGAACTATTTAATGATAGTAAACAAAATGATTTCAGAATACTTAAACCAGAAAGAATGAATGGATGAATGAATGAATTTATTACAGCTTATTTGAGTGAAACTTTTTGATTGATATTTATTTTATGTTCATTTTTAAATTTTAATAAAATGGTTAACTTAATAAAAATTTTTTATGTTTTAAAATTATATATTTTATTTTAGTTTTCTATTATTTCCAAAAGCAACAAATATATTTGAAATAAACAATCTCAAGATATATATTATTTTAACCTAATATGAGCATTCTTTGCAATATAAAATTAAACTAAAAAGAAAATATACTTAGTGTATTAAAAAAAAAATATTTTAAAAATTATTCTTTACTGTTTAATTAAAATGACACTTTTAAACAATAAGTTATTTATTGACCAAATTAATTAAGATTCTGATATCGATGCTATAAACAACATAAATTTAATTTTAAAAAGAGTTTTTACTAAATAAAGCAGAAATTAATTCATTAAAGAATAAATACTCAACATTAAACAAATTAGGCAATTAATTAAAAAAAAAACTTTAATTAAAATACTTTTGCTTTTAAAGATGAATTTGAGAAAAAAAGGATAAGATCCAGCTTAAAAAGGAGAAAAAATAGAAAATGTTGTTAAATTAATTTACTTGATAAGAGCTTTTTGGTTAGTATACAGAATTTCAATGGTTTATATGCTGATAATATTATATTAAACAATGTTTTCTCTATTTTATGGTTTAATATTGCTTTGTTAGATCATTGAAATACTATAAATCATCAAGTAAAATGAATAAAATCCATAAAAAGTAAATATAATTTGTTAGTATTTATTACTAACAAACTATTATTAAAGTAGCTAAATAACTTTTTAAGCTGCTTAAATTGTTATAATTAGCTTTTAGGCTCTTATTTTATAGATTTAATCTATATTTAACAGCGATTAGCATCTATACTTAATTTCTACAATTTAGTTTATTAGTTCTTGTTTATCTGTTTTAATGTCTTTAGCAAATAAAACTCAGTTAATACAAATAAGATAGATATACAAGATTTATTTAATTAGATTAGCTCATAAAATATTAGTTCCTGGTCTTTTCTTTCAATGCGTCTATCAAGCTCCTTATATAACAATTGGATACTTGTTAGTATAAATATATTTGCTCAGTTTTTTTCATTCAATGAGATTCGAAGAAAAGATATTATCAATTAAGTTTAAACATGATGAAATTGATAAAAAAATGAAGCTTTATCTTATTTTTAACATAATTTTTACTTTCCTAGGATTCTCAATAAATTTGTTAGCACTAAACAACGAAAGCTCTATTAATTTTGACAAAGTTAATTTATTTTATGAAAAAGTCTTTTAAGGAATACTTTCAATATAAATAATTGTGCTTTTTATAATTTCTGAAATTGTGATTTCCAAAATAAGCTTATCCATGTTGATAATCTATACGTTTTTTGGGTTATTATTGATTAACTTTAAGGATAATATATCTTACTTAATAAAATGCATAAAGCACGGTCCTTTACTAAGAACAATCAATATGGATGGTGACAAAATAAAACACCTAACTGAAGATCAAATCTTCTCTGAGTATTATAACTTTACTAAAGAATAAAAATACATAGGAGTTAAAACATAAAACTTTAATAGCGAATTACTTTGTAAAGTTGCTTTACAACTAATTTAATATGGAAAAACAATAAAGATATCTACTTTAATGGAAGATTATTTTGTACTATTTCAAGATTAAAAGTGTTTAAAATTAATCATTAAGTCAAATTGGTTTGCATAGGGATGCTTTAACATTTTAAATAATTTAAGACCTTTATCTTTAAATATTGAGATAAAATACACATTATTAATAGAAAATCAAATTTCCTGTTTTATCTTTTAGAATTTTGATTTGATTCCTTTCTTACAAATTTATTTCAGAGATAATTTTTCTATGGAATTAATTAACAAAATAAAGTCTGAAACCCTAAGATTCATTGCTTACAGTAAAATCTAATCAACTAATATGACAGTAAATCCTGAATAAGTTTATTTTGATCTTTTAGATTTCTGAATGAACAATAATCGATAATATATACTCTTTTATTTAGTATTACATTAAGAAAAAATTTATTATTCCATAAATTTATATTTTTTTATTGTGATTAAATTGAAATGAAATTTATTTAAAAATAGAATAATTTTTTCAAAAATTTTAAAACATTTTTTTAATTTTTAAATTATGTTTAAAATTTAATTTAAAAATATAAATTCATTTTTTGATATTTTTAAGAAATTTAAAAAGAAAGGAATTGACTACAAAAATTTTAATGAAACTAAAAATTAAAGAAACTTCAAGTCCTTTTTTATTTAAAATGGTGCGTAAATTACTAGAAATTTAGTTAGTATTAAAATATCATCAAGCTTTTTGAATAGTATGTAAATATTCATGATGGTATATTACTGAACTTAAATAGAATTTTGGTAGATTTAAGAATTCCATAAACAAATAATTTATTAACCAAAAGAAAATGTGTTTGTTTGTTTATTAAATTTAGATGGATGTTATAAATTAAATCTTTTACCAAACATTTTGTTTAAGAAATTTTGATTAAAAAAAAAGATTTCTTAAATTTGTTTGAATTAAAAAAAAAGGTTAGAGTTTAGATATTAGTTTCAAGAGAGAATGCCAACAAATTTAAAATTAGAAGGCAAAAGCCTGTAGTTTTTAAGACTGATTCTAGCAATTACTGCTTCGATTTATAGGATATCTGTTATTGTTTCGATAGTCAATTTTATTTAGCAAGATCTTTTGAAGTTAGCGATTCCTTTAATAATAACTTAATTATTTATGATAGGATCTTCAGTTTTTGGGATAGTTAGCAGCTAAAATTAGCAAAGTTTTAAGGATAACATTCTCAGAGAGTTAGTTTATTTAATACCAAACATAAAAAAGAATGAGCAAGGACCTCATTGGCCAAGCTCGTTTAGTTTATTGTCTAAAGTTTATGGTCATTTCCTTGAGATGATATACTTAATGGCCATAATAATATTCACAGAAAAAACTAGCTTAAATGATCAAATAGTTTAGATACTCAATTTTTTTCTGCTTGTATTTATTTTGGAATCATAATATGCAAAAAACAACGTAAGCTTATTTTAGTTGCTTTCAAATGTCATTTTGAGATTTGCAGCGAGAAGTTTGTTTCTTGGATAGTTTTTGCTTTGTCATAGATCGATATATTTCTTTGTCTTTGATTTGATAGTCGTAGTCTTGTTTATAAGTTTTTCTGGAATTGAGGAATTACAGTAAAATGCTTTCACATTTGGATACAAGTATGATGAACCCAAAGAAAAACTGTCATCTTCGTTTCCAGAAAATCTTATTTTGCCTCCTCTTAGCTTTGGTATTCATTTTATAAAAAGTTCAAAAAGTGAAAATGAAGAGCTAGATGTAGAGAAAGAAAATATTTTTTCAGGAATACAAGTCATACATATAGCAGCAATGATTCTCTTTGATCTTGTATTCAATAATTGGGAATAAAATAAAACTTTCAGAAGAATCCTTCATATTTATTTGATCATTCTTTTTTATTAATTCATTAAATCTCTCATTTGGCTTTTTAAATTCTTGATGTATGGACCCATTGTTAGGACTTTACTTGTAGATTGTTAAGACCTGGCTTTTGTGAGTGATGCAAATTTATAAAAACAATACTTCCGCTTTAAGCCTTTATAAAAGATAATTAATTTGAAGTTCTAGAACTTCTAAGCGTACTAGTTTAAAAGAATAGTAAAGATCCTAATGTAAACATAAAAGCAGTTTAATATTTTCATGAAATGTGGATAATTCGATGACGAGTTTGTAACAGCTAAAAGCGAAAATGCTATTTACTTATATATCTCGAATATAGAGTTTACTTCAACAATAGTTTCTTTGATTGCAGAGGAGTAATATTATTAATTACCTTTTCAAATAAAAGTGTCAGAGCAAGTCACTTAATTCAAAGAAAAGTTTCTACTCAACGAGTTTGTGTAAAATTACTAAATTATTCCAAACATAGCAGAAGATAGTGATATGAATAATTGTATCATCCATTTTAAGCTCATAGTTCTACAATCAGTCGTTTTCCAAAAATTCATTTAAAGCGAATTGCATTTCATGCCAAAGCAAATCTTTTACGATATTTTTGATGAATGAAAATGATGCGAAGGCAATAACTAGTTCATTTTTCAATTTAATTTAACATAACAAAAAATGTTAAACTTTAAAATCTTTCAAAAGGATAAAAATCTAAAAATGTGTAATCATCTCAACTAAATAAACTAAATAGAACTAATCAAGAAATTTAGTAAATGAAATGAAATTAAATTAACAAAGATTTAATTCTAAATAAAAATAATAATACAAACTAAAAATAGGTAAAAATAAATAATTAAATAAAGTCTAAAAATAAAAAATAATTTAAATATTCAAAAGATAATTTTAGTGCTATTTAATCTGAAATATATCTCAATATATTGTTTGCTGCTAATAAAAATTATTGCTTTGTATTTATTAGAATTCTTATAAATTTCATATTGTAAATATCAATAATTTAATTTATTACCTCATCAAAAATAATTAAATGCTTGGTTAGGTAATTTTTTATCACTGAGCCAAATTATTTTCAAATTTTTAAAATATCTAATTGAAATTCTGTCTATCTTTATTTTGATATCTTTGCTCCTATTTCTCAATAAATTCAACTTTGAATTATTTTGTTAAATTATTTCAAATCTCTTTTTGTAGAATCTTAGATTAATAGTTTTTTATTATTAAAATAATAACTTACATCAATAATTATTAGCGGCATTTTAATGAAATTTTTGCTAAAAATATAAAATTTATTTGAAAAAATATGGCGTTTTTAGATGAATATTTATTTTTTTAAAAATTATTCAAGCTTTTACTCCAAAATAATAACAAAATCAATAAGTTTTATGTTAGTAAAAATACCAAATTTAAAATTTTAGATTACTTGAAAATTATTACTAAGATTAAATTTTATAAATTTATAAATGTTTGATTGATTGATTGAGTATCTATCTATCTATCTATCTATCTATCTATCTATCTATCTATCTATTAATCAATCAATCTGAAATATTTATTTGTAAATTAATTGAAAACGTAATTTCGATATGTATTTTAAATTATAGTTAGCATCATTGATTAATGATCTAAATGACATAATTGGTATTAAACAAGCAAAAGTTTATAATTAATAAATTAATTAATAATCAAATTAAGATATAAGAATATAGACATTATATAAATTAATTTGTTTTTACTTATTGTTTTAACTGCACTCATTCATACATAAATACATACATTCTATGGAAAACTACAATCCATACCCAAATACTAAACTTTCCAGATTAGACTTATGGCTTATAAGATTATTTATTTCCTCTGTGTGCTTAGCTCAGCGTATTCTCTTTATAATAACTCTTGTCCATTTATTCTAAGAGGCATAGCTTTTCACCTTTACTTTTATGCTGCTATTTCATATTTTTTTAGTCATCTTTTCATTCATTAATATCCTCCTAAACTTTCATCACTAAATTAAGATTTCAAGACTGCAGCGTCTCTTTTGGGAGTTTTTATATTTTCTTCCAGACTCTGATGCTCAAGACAAAATGATAGTTGACAATAGTGCGAATATGATTATCAAGCTGGTGTTTGATGTCATTTGCAATTTTATACTGCTTATTAACATAATCATATTAAAGTAGGAAAAATGGAGCTGGATAGCAACTTAAATAGTCAACACACTCATGATATTAATTGAGTTTTACATTATTGAAAGCAAGCATGAAACTTTTAAAAAGAAAATATCTTACATAGTAACAGCTTTTCCTCTCCTTGTGCTGCTGCAAGGCTACATTATAATTAATCTAAGGTCTCTAGTAATTTTCTTCTACATAGCCTTTTTATTTATTTTCTCTCTTTTACTGCATCTCTGTAAAACATTTTAATCTCTACGCTTTAAACTTCAGTATGAGCACGAAGTAATTAATCCTTATAAGTCATTCTTTAAGACATTCTTTTGGTTTATATCTCAGCTATCAGTTTATTTTAAATTCAGAAAAAACTGTCATGCAGAGACTTTTTAGAGAAAATATGAAGTATACAACTTGTACTCTGCTTCACAAATTACATAAATTTTCCTTTTAGGATATTTAGATATAAAATTCAATCCTTAAAATTCAAATGAAAGTTATAGGAGAATCCTGCATGTTTGTTTGATATCATTAACATTTTACATTACTAAAGTATTTAAATGGTTTAAGAAATACATGAAGGAAGGTCCTTACTGCAGAAACATAGAATTAGATTGCAGTAAGACTCAAGCTTTGAGCATGGAAGAAGTTAAAAAATAATATTTCAACTTCAACTAAAAACAAAAATTTATGAAAGTCAGGTTTATCCGATTTGATTAGCAATAATTTGAAAGAATATTCGATTATTTAATTAAGCAAGAAAAATCCTTAACAATGTATGTTAAAGAGGAAAACATCAACAGACGTAATTTAGAAAACTTCGAAACTTATAACTTCAACAAATTAGTTTCAGTTTAATTAAAGTCTGCTGAATACACTTAAGCTGTATTAAAAATAATAAACCAGAACCTGTTAAAAGACTATCGATATATAATTAAAATATGTGATAACAATATTAAATATCATGTTTTGTACAACATTCTCCTCAATCATTAGCTAATTCCTAATTTAGTCATCCACTCCTAGCTCTTTAATCCAAACATTTTCCTCTATGTAAATGAAATACGAAAAATAATTGTTTACAATAAATACATATCTGAATTTATGATACACTCTCCTGTGCAAATCTACTATGATCTCTTCGATTATTGACTGAATGAGATATATCTAAATACAAATATATTTTTTTATTACTTACATTCAATAAAGAATAAATATTATAAATTTCAATCTACTATTTACTAAAAGCTTACTTAGTTAAAGAAATCAAAAAAATAGTTTAAAAATTTTCTTAGTTATACTTTATAAAACACTTGCTCTATTAAAAATGCTGACTAATCTTAAATTTTCTCCCTCAAAAGCGATTCAATCACTTAATAATGTGTATAAATGAAAAAAATATATTTTATATGAAAAAAATAATTTATTTTCTAAATTAATTTTATCACTTTTTCTTTTGATTTGTAAATTTTATAATATTTAACAGCTTAAAATCTGAGATTTGTACAATAAAAATACTTTTTTCTCAATAAATTTACAAAATTTAATGGTGAATTTATTTGCTCTCTTAGTAAATATCTCTTTTCTGATTCTATTAGCCAATATCTTCAAAACTATTTTAATTAAAAATAGACAGACAGACAAATCAATCTTATCTTCTAAAATTATAGCAATAAAAAAAGAGGCTTTTGATTAATTTTTTTGACTATTTTAATTTGTTTCGTATTTGATCAAATAATTCATTCAATACCATATCTGATTGAATATAAATACTATATAACTCAAACAAAATATTAAATTATAAAATATAGTTACTAAATATTTATCTTGTTAATAATTTTTAATTAAGAAAAAAATGTTAATAATGAAATTTACTAATAAAATCAAATTAAATTATTTAAAGTAAAACGCTTAAATTATTCTAATGAAAAATATTATTTATTATTTTGAAGTATCTAAAATATTTTGAAATTTTAATTTTTAATTGAAATTAAATTTATTGGATAAAGATATTTAACTTAAATTAATGATTGTAATTTAAATTTGTAAAAAAGAATAATCTGTTGGTTGATTCTACTTTAATTAAATTTCCCTCGTTCCCGCAAAATATTTAATTTTTGTTATTTTTTAACGCAATTATTTCAGAATGTCAAGAAAATCTAAATAGTAGAATAAGGAATAAAAAAACTTGCCTTCTTAGGAAGTAACACTCAAAGAATACTTTAAGTCACTTCCTAGTAAAAAAAAGCAGACCATTTCAGAGAGAACATAAGACATTGTAGAATATATATAAGACTAAAACTTAAATCCTAAATATTTTGAGTATAATATTGAATGATGAGTATATTAGTATATTATGAAACTTTTATAAATTTTGAATAGGATACAGAAATGTGAATAAGGTTTCGATGTAAGAATGGAAATTAAAGAGTAAATTGAAATTTTAAGCTGAAATTGAGTTGAATTACTTTATTTTAGAATAGGAAAATAGAGAATGGCTTGTACCTTTTCAGAATTGCTTGTACAAATCAACTCAAAACTTGACTAAAATGTCATCATTTTGAACCTTAATGCAAAGTACATAAAATAAAATTATTTATTCTATTATTTATTTCTTTATATATCAAAATAGTGATTTAGTTGCAAAACTTGATATAAATTTGCTTTAGGATTTAAAGGTTTTCTAAAAAACACTTAAGCAATTCACTTTTTCCATGAGCAAACACAGCTCTCTATAAAGTAAAAGTAATGGAAAAAAAATAGGATCTTTTATGGATATTATTTGTAAACTAGATCTTTTGGAAAAACTACATCTCAATCTTTCGCATAAGTAAATTAAATAAAGAGAATAACAATCACTCTAAAATTTTTTTTAGCTTTATAGGGTCGTACTTATCTGATATTTTAAAAAAGATTTCAAAGTTAAAAAAGCTAAATAATTTGTCCTTAAACTTCAACAACTGCGAAGTTTCAGAATCAGATTTAGAAGATTTTTCTAAGAATTTATAATAATTTACCAATTTAAATAAACTTTCTTTGATGTTCATGAAAAATAATTTACCAAATCCAAGTCAATTATTTTTCTGTATAGCATAGATGAATAACATAAAAGAATTAGAATTAGATTTAAGGTAATTTCTATTTATTTTATTTTGTATAAAATTCTAATTTGTTAATTATATTTTAGGCATAATGAAATAGAGAGCTAAAGTGTTTAATAACTTTGCTTTAGCATAGAACAATTTAGCTTCCTTTACAAATTGCATCTGAATCTCTCAAATAACAAAGTTTACAAAGAAGGTGCTAAGTATTTGGGAATGTCAATAAAAAAATTGGATAAATTAGTCGATCTGCTTCTCTCCCTTCAGTAAAATACAAACATAATTTTTTAATTTTTATTCTCACTTAATAATAAATAGATGGGATAATATTTAAGACTTAGGAAGTGATTGGCTTGGCTAAGAAATCAGCTAAATGGATAATTTAATTAAATTAAGATTAGAATTATGGTAAATAATCTAATAATTCTTCAAAACAAAAGTTATTTTAATAATTTTAATAAAAAGGTTTGATAAAATAAAAACTCCTGAAATAATTTGTAACCATTTGATGCAAATGAATAATCTTATATAAGTAAATACTTTTTTGACATCTTACGAAAATATGCCTTTGAATTATACAATATTTGAAGAACTTATAAATTAAAAAGCAAGTCTATTTCACAGTATAATAGGATATTACAAGCTTATATCAAATAAAATGACATACAATCCAAACTATGTTTTTTGGGATTTATATATTGATTGAGTTTTTATTAAAAATATTATTTATTTTTTTATTTACTCATTTATTAATTCATTATCTTAATTAATTTAAAAACATTTTTCAATTTTATTTTATTTTGATAATATTTTGAAGTATATTTTAATTATTTACATGAAATTTTTAATACTTTTTTTAATTCAATTTTAAACTTTGTTATATTTTAACAAATTTTTTACCTAAAATTTTAAAGAATTATAAAAATAAATAAGGAATATTCAAAAAAATAATTTAAATAAAAATTGTATGAATTAATTTAATTTTTTAAGATATTTTTTATAATGTAATTTTTAAATTTTAAAATGATTTATTTTTAAAAGATATTTATTAATATTAAAATTTACATTCTAAATAAAACAAATGTTAGTTACTAAGTGTTTATGATCTAATTAACAATTAAATGATCTTATTATAATTTTAAAATATTTTAGTAAAAGAGGAAAAATAATTAGTTTTATGTTATGATATTAAATTAAATATTTTACCACTTTGAACATTCTTGTTTTTAAATTTAAAACTACCAATCAAATAATATTTAATATTTATTTATTTCTTTATTTTTTTGAATTTTTAATAATCAATCAGCTATAATTTTGATTATCTTTAAATTAAGTAACAAATCTATTTATTAAATAATTATTATGACTGAAAAAAGCAGATATTTTAAAAAAGATATTTTTGATGATAACGATTATGAAGATCAAGATAAAATTGAATAGAAACAGTTTTTTGGAATAGATCTGAAACAAGCATTTTTAGATTAACATTTTAATGAGGATTAAATCCAGAAAATGAAGCTGTTAGATTAAGAATATAGACTTTAGACTGAAGATATAAATAGTGTTCGAAGAAAATTAGGTTAATAAAATAGAAGGATTTAATTAGCTTGCACAATGAAGCTTTACTCTTAGGCTACTGAAACAGATTAAGATATATAAGATGAAATAGTTGAAATAGGAGAAAAATGTCCAATTATTTTATAAAGTTATAAAGACAATAATACTTTTTATAGATCTTTTATGATCTAATTTCTATTTAAATTAGTGTTTAATGAAAAAGATGATAAGGCATGTAATAAAAGCATCTTTAAGTTCATCAAAAAAATATAGTCAATAGAAAAATTCGATTGCGTTTATCCTTTATAATTTCATTAGTTTAAAGATAATGAGTTAAAATGTTTCTTAATATCTTTTATTTTGAAAATGTATATTCTAAAGCTGGCTGATAATTTAGCCAGCTTAGAAAAGATAATAAAGATGTATAATGAAATGCCTGAAGTAGATACAGCTTCTATAATTATATGCAAAAATTTGTTATCTATAACTTTCACTCAGCTAGTTACTCATGATACCTATAGGTTTCTATTGGAGAATAATTAAATTATAACCGTGCCATAAATTTTAGCACAATTTGATGAGTCAGAAAATCAAACTATCATAGGAGTCTTTGTTGAAGTAAGTAACTAAAAAATAATATTAAATATTTAATATGAAATTTAATAAAAATAATTTATAGGTTTTCTAATGCAATTTAATTATTCTAAATGACGAGAGAGCAGAGTAGCCAGAATATTATGTTCCTTAAACATCTAAAACTATAAACGATGATATTTACATTTACAAGGCTAGTGATAAAAGCTACCATTCTATTTTTGAGACGAAGTATGCTTAATAATATTTAACCTTCTGTTCCAAAGAGGGTTATTTATATCAACAGGACTTAAAAGATTTAGTACAAAAATTACATTAAGCTAATATAAAACTCTCTGAACATAGTAATTGATTTTAATTTTGCATAAATAAATTATTTTTAAATAAGATTCAACCAACAATCTCATTTCACATTAAACATTTTTAAAATGCAATCAAATAAATAAATATGTATTTATAATGGATTTATTAAGAATCAAGTATTAAATAAATTATTAGGATTAAATTATGGAAGGTATTGCTATTAAAATTTTTTTAAATCTTGATAAACCTAAACATGAATATCCCTCAAATACATACATACATTCATTCATTTGTTAATATTTTGGAATCCCTCTTTATTTGAATTTAATTTTTTGTTGGTAATATGAAAATATTAAATAATTTACTGGTTTTAAGATTTGTTAATAATTTTTTAAATTAATTAAATGAATGTTTTTTAAAATTGCAGATGATGAAGAGAATTTCAAAGGCTAAAAAGAGTAAAAGAAATGGGATGAGAGGGTTTTTGAAATGGAGAAAAAGAATAAATAAATGAAAGATAAGTCAGAAGACTTTTTTCCTGTGATTTAGTGTTGTGAATGTGATAGAGAATTGAGTGATTTTGTTCCTTTACTGAAATTCGATAATTATTACTTTTGTGAGGGGTGCATTTTGGATATGATAGCTTAACTTAATAGGGAAGATAAATAATTTATAAATATTGGCAGTACATAAGTCAAAAGGTACTAATTAAGAGATGCAATAACTGAACTTAACAATGAAAGAGAAAAAACAAGCTAGTTATAGAGCATGCAAAAAGAAAAAAAGAAAAATAAAGGTATTGGAGATAAATCTGAACTAGTCTCTATGCATCTAACAAATAATTCTTCTCAACAGACTGAAAAAAAGTGGTAAAATTTATAAAAGATATGCGTTCGATGTAACGATGATAAATGCTATTAGCAAGAGCTCTACCTAGTGAAAGAAGTGAAGACATAAAGATAAATAGCATTATGCATGAGCTGTTTAGTTTTTCTTTATGATTAAGTTAAATACACTTTCAGAAATATTTCTCTTCATAAATCTTTTGAACTGTCAAACGAAGAGATCAAGAATACTTACAAAGATTTTTCTATGTACCACTTAGAGAAAACAAAGTATACCTGTACTATGTGCTTAAAAATCAGACTAAATAATTACATCATTCAACCTTTAACAAAGGTAAAGGAGCTCAAAATCATTTGCAAACAGTGCTTTATTACAATTTTCTAGTACGATGAAAAATTACAAGCTTTGGGAATATCAGATATTCTGAAAGAGTAAATTTTGGATTAACTCTTTTAGCAAGACTTTGAGCTAAACATTTGCGTTTCTTGTGATAAACCTGATTTGAAGACTTTTAATATTGAGAATATTACTCAGTATCCTTCAAGCTTAAAATAAAATAATATCAACTTTGACTCAAATAACGTTTATCATACTATGACTAGTATAAAAAAGGAATCATAAAATTAATCAAAGAAGGAGTTAAAAGATATTCTAATTGAAGGATATTCTAAGAAACCTTCAAGTAATAGTCTAAATTAAGATGAGGAGAGTTTGGCTGATGAAAATTCAAATAGAAGATTATCAAAAATATGTATTGATTGCATATTTTTGAATATTGGAAAATGTAAGAATCCATACATGGACTACCTTATCACATACTCTAAACTTCACACAAATATTGTTTATAAATATAATAATTAAATTAAAACTTTATTGGAGAACGATGCTCGCCTTAAAATGCAATAAATTCTGAATACTTGCACTATGTGTTTTAGAAAATTGAAAGACTTGCATGAGATGAATGATAAGGGCTAAAGGATATGCACTTCATGTTTCGTCTAATACAAAAAAGAATTTAAACTAAATTAAGGAGAATTTGAAGGCTATCATTGTGATTAAAAGCACTAAGATATCATTCTAGGATCCATTTTAGCATATTTGGTAGATATTACTTAATGCATAGGCTGTTCTGAAAAGATAAAAACATTTGATTATGAAGCTCTAAAAATATAAAATAGCTTTTCGAATGTTATTGTTTGTGACAACTGTATAAGAGAATAGTTGGTTTAAGCAAATTAAGATTTAAGGAATCCTTACGAAATAAAGAGCTAGTATTTAAATGAAGTTTTAATACTTTAAAATAAAAAAGAAGTCAATGAAAAAATTAAATAATTTTCCTTTCAGATGTAGATAAATAATGAAGCTAATTAAACAGAAGCAGAAAAACAAGAAGGTGCAGCTGATCAAAGCTAGGAGAAAAAGCTATTTTAAAGAAAATAGAATAAAGAAATGCCAAATAAAAACAAATAGCACTTAACAAGTAGAAATTATAATTTAAGGTGCTTCAACAGATCTTGTAAAGAAGTTGAGTTGTGTAAAAAATAAAAGATTGAGCTTTAGTTTGTCAAAATGCCAAAATGCTAATGTCTGTTTTGCATACATTGTTTGACAGCATTTTACATGAAACTATCAGATGCTAATTCTTAAAAATAGCAGATATAGTAAAAATAATCTTAGATTAAAAGCAAGATAGAAGTAGCAAGAACTGGAGATAATTATGGTTCAATAAAAAAAGAAGAAAACTAAAACGTTGAAGATGGAGATCAGGTTGAGAGATATTGTCCCAGCATGCTGTGCAATGAAAAATATTCAGAATATTAGATAAGAGACTTAGTTAATGGGTATGAAATCTAAGTTAATGGCTAAGAAAATGAAGATGAAGAATTTCAAAAAAAATTAAATGAAGCCCTATTAGAAGAAAACAAGAAAAAATATGTAAATGAGAGAGTTTTCTGTTCGGTGTGTAAAAAAGAAAACCTATTGGTTGTGCAAATAAATGATGATTTTTTGGTAAATTATAGGAAAGAAAAAGAAAAAGAATAAAATAAAAACTAAAAAGGGTTTAAAATGTTAGAAAACAATATCTTCGGTTCAAATGAGAAAGATGAATTATCAAAGATAGAAGGTGAGTGTGAGTGTTTTTATAGTTGCAAACCTTGTTTGTTTTAAACTTATTATAAAGACAGATGCTCAAGATGTCTTAAAAAAGCTCCTTATACAGTTTATAAATTGCTCTTTAATTTCAAAGATAATATGAAATGCTCTTAGTGTTAACATAATAAATTTATCACATTAGAAGATGGACCTCTTATGTATAGGACTGATACTAAATTCTAATGCACAAATTGTAAAACAAAATTTAAAATAAACTGAAAAAATAAATTAGATTTTTTTCAAAGAAAATCATATTTATTAAAATAAAAAAAAAGTGTTTTAATATTATTTGTTTATCTTTTATTTTGTCATCAAAATTTACTGTTCATTAAAAAATTAATTAATAATTTGCCAAAAAATAATTTAAAATAATTAAATTATATAATTATCATTTGTTTATTGTAAATCATCACTACAATCAATTTAATTTTAATATAAAAATTATTAATAATTATAACTTTGCAATTTTTATCCTTAATCATCCAATTACAATGAAATTAATAAATGAAAAAGAATAATAATTAAAATATTTGCATTGATTGGATTTATTTATTATTAAAATTAATTATAATATAATAAAATAATTAAATTATTTATATTTCCTTTGTTTATTGTAAATTATCAAGTTCAAGCACAAACAAACATATTTCATGGCTTTAAAGTGCCGTAACAGCAATCAAACGTGTAAGACACGTAGCTCTATCAAACTACAATCAATTTAATTATAATATAAAAAAATAATTAATAATTAATATTGCATTTTTTTATCTTTCTTTAATAATCAAATTACAATGAAATTAATAAAAGAAGAAAGAAAAAAAAAATTAAAACATTTGCATTGATTGGATTTATTTATTATTAAAATTAATTATGAATTAATAAAATAATTAAATTATTTATATTTAATTTGTTTATTTATAAGTAATCAAATTATTATCAATAAATTTTATAATTAAGATTATTTTTACTTATGATTATATATTTTATTTTTAGTTTACAATTTAAACTGGAGGTATTTCTTACTTAAGAAATTAATTAATTAATTATTTTATTTTTTTAAAATTATAATTTTAAATAATTAACGCTATTATTAAAAATAAATTTTAACTATTTTTATATTATGAATTATAAAATAGATCAAATACTCAATATTCTTCATTATTTATATGATTAAATTAAATAGTTTGTTTGCAACAATTATTTTTGATGAATTATTATCATTTAAAGTAGAGGATATTATTATTTTAAAATTAATAAAAGCTTTTTATAAAATATATAATAGGCTAGCAACAATATAAGTAAGCAAAATCTTTAAATATTTGAATATATTTAATAGAAATCAAATATATTAATTTTGTAAAAAGTTAATTATATTAAATGTGTCAACATACATACTTCTACTTACATTTAAAATATTAAAAGAATCAAAAAAGTAAATCAAATTCAGCATTATTACTATTAATAGGTTATCCAATATCATCTTATTCAATTTCTTAATTATTATAATTCAAAAATTATTAATTTGGTACCTAATAGATTGGTTTTTATGGCTATTATTAGTAAAATATATCATCTAAAGCAGTTAAATTAGCATTGAGAGCTTATGATATAGCTTAGGAATTTATTTATTGAATTGGATAACTTTAAGGTCTATCCATTTAACAGAAATCATCAAAAGGATTATAAGCTTAATTATATGCTAGTTGTGGTTTTGCTTACTATTATTATGGGTAATTGTTGTACTAATTCTAAGCAAATAGAGAAATAGAATTAAAAGCTGGTGCTTGATTAAAATATTGATTATTAGCAGCTAAGTAATCTTAATTATATCCAAATAAACTATTTTATTGATGATTTTGCTCTGTTTATTCTAATATATTTACATTTTTATATAAAAATGATGAATTATTTATTTATGCTTTTTGATAATTAAATTAGATAAATTTACAAATCTGATTATGACCCTACTGTTAATTCTTTATAACATTTAATAAAGGTTGTATGTCTAATGGAGGCAAATCTTAATACTTTTAGTAACTATTATAGCCGCCAAATAAACCTTCTGAATTATCGTTGTACATTACTTCTGATTGTGCTTTTATTTAGTATTTTTTTTATTTTAAAAATTATTAAATTAATTGGATTATAAAAAAATTTTGGTTTATAATTTAATAATTTTTACAACTTGTAACTTATTCTATAAAATAATCAAATAATTGAGCGTCTCCTTCAATAACAAAGCGTCTCTAATAAAAATTTAGAATCTAGTTTAAATTATAATAATTTAGGTTTTATCAATAGTATAGAAAAAATTTTTTAAAATAGATTGAATAAATAAATATTATTGAAATCTGATAGAATCTAAATTATTGCAAAACATCAATAGTTTCATAAATATTTAAATATTTATGGTGAAACTTACTATTTGTTAAACCAAATATAAGATGTTAAGCAAAATACTAAAAACATTTTTATTATTCAAAATTTAAACTTTCTCTTTGCCTTTTTTATGTTTAAAATTCAAAGTTAAAACGGTATTTTTTAGTTCATTTTTATTTATATTATTAAAGTATAGCATTAAGTTAATTTTAATATTGATAGATTCTAAAAATTAAAATATTAATATCAGATTCTACTTCAAAATAAATTTTTGATTCTTTAAATTATTAATTTGAAAAAAAAATATTAAAACCTTTTAAAATAAAATAAACTTTATTTGAAATTTAATTGTTAAACTAGCAAAATAAAAAATAAAAAATTGATATTTTTTTAGTTTTGAACCTATTAATGAAACATAATTTAACTTACTGATTGATATAAAATGTTTATTAATTTTTTATATTAATAGAATACTTCAAAATGTAAATTAATTATTTTTATTTGGTTATCATTTCTTGCCTTGTTCTTAGTCTATTTGCTTTTAATATTTTTTATATATCAACAAAGCTGCTCTTGCATCAGAAATAGAGTCGTGAGAGCCTTCTTGGAAGGTAATTCCTAATTCTTATTTAACCATCTTTTTAAGAGAAACCTTTTTTCCTGATTACTTAAGTTCTTTATAATTTGAGATATCTCTGATCATTTTATCTTTGGGAGGCTCAAATTTGATGGAACTCAAATCATGCTATACTGAATGACCTACTATAATTTTGTCTTTAAGTATCTCAAATATTTTGTTTTTAACCTCTGGATAAGTAGGAGCATTTTTTATGTGAGTAAATGTGATACCACTAACTTTAGTCAAATAATTTTTAATTTTCTTTTGAGGTCTTACATAGGTATCTAAAAGAACATGTCCATTATAATTTACTATAGATACTCTAGCCAGTTCTTAAGTAGGAAAGCCGTCTTTTTGGCTAGCTTCGCACTGAACCATTTCACAATCTATTGCAACTATGGGAGTTACTCCTTTATATCCATCTTTTTAAGGTTCTAAGGACTTAAATACATTTTATTAATTACCCGAGCTTTCACTTGACTAACTTTTTTTATTGGTTATTTATTTTTTAGAGCTATTGTCTTCATTGTCATTGCTTTGAGTAGGTTGACTACTCATAAACTTTTTCCAATTACTAGAAACTTCCTATGGAGCTTTTTATTTTACATTTCTAATTTATTTCTATTATTTTACTTCTTCCCCATTTTCCTGATTATCTTTCTATTATTCATCTGTTTATTATTCATTTTTCTATTCAGTTTTCTAAACTTTATTAAATTTTCTATCTTTCTAATGAACATTTTTGGCATCTCCAAATTAATTTTTGAACTTTTTTTTCACCTATCCACCAAATTGCTCTTCTAAATCATCTTTATTAGAGTTGTAACAACTAAAATCAAGGGATTCAAGTATCTTTAATTAAGAATCTTTCTCCTTTTTGATTAATTCTAAATCTTCTACTTAGTCAACCATATTGATTGTACTGCTTTTTTCTACTTATTTGTAAATTTTATAATAATTAAAATCTAAATCAATCTTAAAATTATTAAATTAATTTAAGCCCTTAAATTTTCTGACAAATATCCAAAGCGATAATTATAATTTAGAAAATTTAATTTGTGCTAGAAATGGTAAAAAAGTAATTAATAATAAAATTGATCTTAAATTAAATTAAATAAAAACATTGATAATTTTTAAAAATATTTAGAAAATAATTAAATTCTACTTCAAAAATATTAAATTTTTCAAAATTTATTTTATTAATTAAGTAAGTTTTTTCTTTAATAATAATAAGAATATAAAAATAATTAAGAGTTAAATTCAATAACTTTTATGAAAAATTGTTAATAAAATAAATTTATATGTAATGAATAAATTTTAACAATTAAAAATGGATTTTACTATTAAGTAAGTAGATAAATAAATTGATTTTATCAATAAAAATTATATGGTATATATACTCTAAAGTTTATTCAAATTGCTTTTATCTTATTCTATTAGAATTTCAATATTTTATCTCCAATACTATTGAACCAATAAGCCCAAGACAGAAATAAAATATACAATCATTTATTAATGGACTGCTTGTATGTTAAATTTCTCTTTTGGAATTATAATTAGGATAATCTTTAAATTTCAAAATATTTTTCAATTAATAATTTTAAATAAAAAATATTTTATCAATAATAGAATACATTTAAACAAAAAAAAAAATATCTTAATTAAATTATTACCATAAATTAATTTTCAATAAAAATGATATGGTATATTCCATGATTAATTAGAACTGCATCAATTTTATTCTAGAATTTCAATAATTTAAATTTTATCTCCAATTCTACTTGCACCATAAAATCCAAGGCAGAAATAAAATCTATAATCATTTTTTAACAGACTTCCTATATGTTAAATTTCTCTTTAGGAATTATAATTCGGATAATCTGTTATTTGAATGAAATAATTTGAAATTTATACTCTAATTTCGAAGAACTCTTCATTTGAATTTTTTTAATCATTTTTTTGATCAGATTTAATAGTATCTTAGATTTCAGAAGTACAAATCAATAGTCTATAATTTGCATCATATTTTTTATTCTTGAAATCAGGGCTATATAATCCAAATTTAAAAGATGTTTTGTCTGATGCTTTTACAACTTTTATTCTAAAAGTATAACTTTTATATCTATTTAAATTGTAATTCAAATAACATAAACTTTGCTAACAATAATAATAACTAAGATATTTTTCTTATTTTAATTAAGTCCAAAAATAACCTTATTCGTCTATTCCTAAATCAAAATACTATTCTTCATCCCTATATTAGTCGAATTTCATTAGCATATAACCTTTTAGAAAGAGATTT